TGGTAATTTTTCCAAAATTTTAAATAGATAGCTAGAAATAAATGTCTCAAGCAAGTTTTGGAGAATTTTTTTTAATCTAAAAACTTATTTCATCAATGAAAGTTAGTTTTTTGAAATTGCAAATTATTTTGAAATGTTAATGAGCATTAATCTAGAATAATAAGTGGAGATATTGTGTGAAAATGTGTTTCAAATGCGCGCATGTAGATGAAGTTCATACTTTTACGAGTTGTAACACTAGGGTTTAGAAAAAAATTCATTTGATAATAAATCGTAAACTGTGAAATTGAAATAACTCAAATTGTTTTACTTTTCCTAATATAAATACTTTAAATTTATACACAAACATAAGGTATTCTTTTCATCTACCAATTCACTCACAATGAATTGATGAGATGGCAGATATATTTAATGAGCATAGCAATTGATGACATATTGCTCTGAATCAACACACTAACTAGCACACGGATTGCTAACATGACAATATGGATATTCCACTATATTATATTCCACTCAAAATTGAGTAGAATTATTCAATTTAAATCTTTTCTTTAGTTGTAACTAACTAAAGTTGGTTATAAAATCATGATGACCTACCAAAAAGACATCTAATATAAATCTAAGTGAAAGTTAAACTGAATATCAAAGAATTTTAAAAAAATAAAATTTTTGAAATTAAATTTTAAGAGTTTTTCTTATAACTCTCTTGAGTTCACAAGCCGTCTCATCCGTGACATTTAACATCTTTGAATCGTGCACACATGTGTGATTTTGAAGATTACAATAAGCAAGTTTTTTAATATATCACAATTTGATATTGAAATTATAGAAATATCTTTTGAGAAAATCTCTAGTTTATATTATCTATGTAGTACTTTGGATGGCAATTGCAAGGATCATTCAATGTATTGATGAAATTGAATTGACTTGCAAGTAAGATAATTGCAATAAATGAAATAAAATATTGAAACGTATGAAAAAAATTGTTATTGCTGAAAGATATTGGTCTTTAGTGTTTTGTTTTCAAGTGTTTGTTTGGAATTTTTTAGATGATGTTGAAAATGCATCTTATTGTGAGTATGTCTTACTCACAATAAGATGCATTTTCAACATCATCTAATCATTCACTGTTTGACTTGGCGTTACGAGTTGTTGGAAAATTTTTAGCTTGCTTTTTCATCGTTCAAGTATAAATCAGAGTTGAAAAAAAAAATATTAAACTTAAACAAAGCGATCATGTAAAGAATTGCTTTTGAAAGTCAAAAGAAAGAGCAATGTTTGTTTGAGCTAGCAGAATAGATTGATGGTTGTGGAACGATTTTTTTTTCAATTTTTGTAACACGCAGATATACACACGTTTGATAATTTTAACATATCTTTGATCTTTTGTTGAATAGATTGATCATCAAGATTATTAAGTTAGTTTTTTTGAGTTTGTAGTATATCATCAATATTTTGAGTAAGAAAGAAGAGTAAAAAATTCAACATTAGCACAAAAAGGAGAACCAATAAACAAACAAAATTGATTAAGAGCTGGGAAAAAATGTATTAAATGGAAGAAAAAATGGATTAGAGAAAAGAAGTATTGGCCACACGCATGTTGAAATAGTCAGCGATGCCACTTAAATGATCATTTTAACTTTGAGTTTGATGTCTGCAAATCATCTTGTTGTTGCTACTCCTTTGCTACTATTTTACTCCGTCAATTGTTTGTATTGTGTTGATGTTATCTTGTTTTGATCAATACAATGATTATAAAGATTAAATATGATAATAGGGGATTTTTTTATCTTTTGCTCCGTCTTTACAGCAAAAACTATCTTTAAATCAATTTTCTTTTCATTTTTTGGATTGTTTTTCTGAATATTTATAATCTTGAATCACTCAATAAACAATCATTGACATTTTTTTGAGATTCTTCATTATCTATGACTATCTTGCTCTCCTTAAAAACAAAAAGTCTTGCATTTTTTAGTTCAAATGAAATTGCAAGAACATATAGTGTAGTTAAAAGTATTTTGCTTGATATATTAAAGCATTTAATCATATTCAAGAAATGAATTCAATCTGGAAAAAAAGAAATGAAGAAATTGTATCTCAAAGCAAAATTTTTATAAATGCTTATGATATATTCGTATCAAACAGAGTGAGTACATGAATGCACATGAGGATGCAGGTTATGATTTTAAATATGATGAGATTGGGAGTTGAATTTTTTTTTTAACTGAAAAAACAATTAAGCAAGGCTTAGGCCTTAGAAAAAAAGTGCGTATTCTTGTTATAATTCATTTTGAAAATAAAACGTGTCAAATGTTGAAAAAAAAAACCAATTAAAAATGGAACAATTATGTAGGGATGAAAAAATTTTGAAAGTTGCAAAACAAGAATTGACCAAGGATCTAAATTTATCATTTTAGTTGCACTATCTTGCCAAAAGGAGTAAAGTTGTCTCATTCCATATGTGTTTGCATAGATTTGGATCTTTTTCTTCTCCAAACAAATATGATGTTTTAGAGAAACAATCCTCAGATTTAAGAATGCAATTCCATGTTGTTTACCATTTTGACCAATCATTAGCTAAGTGCTAATTCTGAATTTAAAAGTTGAACTCAAGTTGATGTTTTTTGCAAAAATCAAAGAAAGTGTTTACTTAAAAACATTTAGAATATAATAATCAAATTTATTGATGGAGAAATACATTTAGTTTATTACGTTACGCATGGAATATTTTGTATGGAATATTTTGTATCTTGATGCCACAATTGTTCATCTCGTTCCATTAAATTACATCATTGTCTTTCACAATGGGTTCTTCTCTTGCAACCTGCAAGAGAAAAACCCATTGTGAATCTAGCACAATTTGCTAACGGCCAACTTCCACGTGAATCTAAAACTACAAATCTGATTGGAAGACGAAACTGGAATGTTAAATCTTCACCTTCCTATGCTGGTCATCCCATTCTCTCTACTTCAGATTTGCTTGGATGGGTATAAGCCGCGGTGAAAGCTGGTGCGGTTGATGATTGTTGTGTGCCAATCTTACTCACTGCCCCAAATGCATAGGTGGATAAAACCAATAAATCTTTGTGAAATCAATCAGGTTGATGGTTTAATGCAATAAAACTGGAAATTTGGTGGGTTTAATTATTGACACGTTGACGTTTTTGAAATGATTTCATCAAGCAAAAGTGACAAGTGTAAGTTTCTAATAGAGACTTGCACTTGTCGTAGTATTCACCTCATTAAAATCAAATTAAAGCCCATTTATGTGGCCTCAGTAACATCGGATTAAACACTAATACCCAATAAAACCCCACCTGGTATAACCGTGCCGTGTCACCCTTGCCCACATGTGATCAATCCATCATAATTTGCATCTAAAGAAAACCCAGTCTTGCAAATATCTACAAAAATTTCTGCAACATCACCAATTTTATCAAATCTGTTTTGCTTTGCATTTGCATGGTTAGTGAGAGCTCAGCGAAAGATAAGTTTCTAAGGCATGTGCCTACAGTCTATTATTAATTTTAACTCAGGTGTGGCATATTCCTCGTTAATGATTTTGAATCAACTCAATTTGATTGCTTCGCACCACAGTCACGGAAGAGAGAAAAGTCCAAATGAAAAAAATTGTACCGCGACAATGTGGACATGGCCAACAAACCTACTGGACGAGTAGGACAATCTGCTCTCTTGTTGGAATATGCACTATAGTCGTCCATACATTGATTTGGTAAGGGCTCTCTGCTGAGTACTTCTATAACATGAGAATTCTCCAACATGTCTTCCATTTTCGTCCATGAAAAACCTTACGAAAAAAGGTATGTACCATAAATGGTAATAGATCAACCCCGTGGGACCCAAAGGGTGAAAAATATAGTACAAGCGAAAAACCGCAAACAAGTGAAAAGACCCTAAAGATCATCAACGGTAACTAATGTTGTCACTAATATAACAACCAAAATCAAAATGTACTAACTACATACCTCGTGCACTAAATCATCTAGCCAATCATTAGCACACTTTGGGAATGGTTGAAGCCGTGGATTGTATTCTCTGCCGCATCTGTAAACTCGGCCGAAGATGAAACCTTACCATATCGGGGTCGAGGGAAGTCACAACGAGCTCAATTTGGTAGTGGCAGTGCTTTGATGTTTCTTATGACCTCTGCTTCCACCTCCCGCGGAAGCAAAGTTTTTTTTGGTGAGATTAAATCATCACTATCGCAAGACCCGATGCCACATTAGAATCCCCTCATCATGCGATGGATATTTTGGCTGTGCAGATGAAGAGCTCGTAACCATCTAGAAACAATGCAATTTTGAATAAGAGAATAATCTAATGGTTGTTTATCCATACCATTTCCATATCACTTGCATCGGAACTCGACAAGTGTACTGCATCCGTGGTTGGGCGACACGCACTTCGACAGCTATTACGTACACAGACGCGCACTAGCTGTCAATGCGCTCCCGCCAATGGTTCAGTACCTTCAAGCGAACTACGTGGAGGGACCAACGACGTGACGACATCTTTTAATATGAATCAAATCAATATTCTTCCTCTGAGTAGAAACTTGGATGTACTGTACAAAGTTAGCATGTCTTGGATGTAGTAAGACGTAGTTCACACCACGACTGGTTCGCGTGGCCCATTCCATGGTGGAACATTCCGCTACATTGCGCTCCATTCTGACATCTCCATTTTGGCGGTACCACCGTATCTGGAGAAGGCTCGAATACCAAAGGACTAAATCACGACGGTCACTTGAAGAGAGTGGTGAGTGGCCAAATTAGGCCTCTTCCAAGATGAACCAGCTCACGTAACGTCCGAAGGACGGGTGGGCCACCGGGCCGGGTCTTGCGCAGTTTGGACGCGGCGTCGCAGTCAACCCCGTCCCCAATAGGAACTCGTCCGTCAGCGAGAACCTCCAACTTGGAACCCTTCCAAGTCCACAAGGAGATCCAGAGACACGGGATGATGATCCATTCAGCCTCCAATTTAGGAGTGCCTCCATTGTGAAGAGCAGTTTCGGCGGCGGGAGCTGGTGCGTCGACAGCGAAGAAGAAGAAACAGAGAAGAAACGATGCTGGCATTTTCGGTGTTTGGGCAGATTGGGGCGAGAGATGATCAGTCTTGTGAATTTGCTGTCTCTGAGGGCGATTGGAATGGAGATGTAGAAGTGGTCGACTGGGAATTATCATTGGGATTCTCTTCAAAGTGAGCGTTCTTGAAGATTCCGGCGGCTGAAAGTCATGGCGATGTCGAGTCGCGACCAGAAGTTGATGTGGTGGGGTGCAGCTTTGCTGCTATTCGTTCTCCTCATGCTCGTGACGCCAAAGATTCCTCAAGATCAAAGCTATCACAATTTTGCGGATCGTCGCAACTACTTCGGTTGGATTCGATGTTACTTTCCCCCTGATTTTTTGAATGATTTGCTTCCAGTACGTTGTGTAGGAGTCCCCGTCAACAAGTTTTCCGACTCGCTGAAGTTCTGGATAAATTGGTCAATTTCAAGAACGGGAATCGAAGTGGAAGGGGAATGGTCATATCGTCGCCTGTTTTCCAACATAAGGGGTGCTGTCAACAGACATCGATGGATTCACTACTTTGAATGCTAGTGTAATGTAGAGCCGCGATGGTCATGAAGGTTTTTTGAGGTGGTGAGGTTTTGTTCATAGCATCACCCACATAAGACAATGCGAGATTTACAAACTGTGTAGATCAACACAGATTGCTTCTCAGTGCCCACGGCACCAGTTCGAGGAGGTGTTCTGATCAAAAAGATCAGATTGCATAGAAGAACACTGCTCTTAGCTGAGACTTACGCACTGTGTGTTGCTTCTGTCAGGAATCCCGAATACTCTCAACGTTGTTTCCAACTTTCCTTTCTTAGTCATTGGTGTTATTGGACTGGTTCTCACCCTTCACGGAAATACATTCGCCTTGAGGTAACCTTTTTTTGAATCACAATTGTGTTGTTTCGTGCTCAGATTTGGAGGAAAAATAAACGCTGATATCTTTGTATGCGCAGCTTGAAGGGAGAATTATGGGGATGGACGGCATTTTTTTTTGGAATAGCATCAACGTCCTTCGGTTCCGCTTACTATCATCTCAAGCCCAGCGATGCTCGCCTTGTTTGGGACCGTCTTCCTGTGAGTTTTACGCAGCTATGAACCCTTCTTCCGTTTCTTTTCCAGACTCCTTACCTTCACGTGCGTGAGTTCTCTTTTCACTAACACAAATCTGAATTTATCATATTCACCTTCTTCATAGGAAAGTGGAATTTTTATGAGAAGTGCAGATATTAACTTACAGTGCCATTGAAGTGAAGTTGAGGTCAAGCGGATCACTGAGTTGGCACTGGGACGTGTATCTACGTCTCATTTGGGCACTAGCATGTGTTTGTAGAGCATTATCTATCCAAAGAGCAGTGGAAAACTTTCCACTGCTCAAGAAAGAGCTGAATGTAGGAGAAAGCATCTTTACTCCAGCCCAGTGCGCTTCTGAGTGTTTTAGTTTGGCTTATCAGGTTCTGTGCATGAATGTAATAAGATTTACGCACAATGTACTGCGTAGAACTTTGAACATGAGTGTGTTTTGGGAAAGTGCCAACAACAATAGCAGATTTATTCTGTGAGTCTAGCAGATTCTTGAAAACTTATTTGGGAAACCTGTTTCTAGCAAGCTCTTCTTATTCAGCATCTACCACGGCCTTGAACCATTGCATCATTTAAGTTCTATGAACAATGACAGGCGTATTCTAATTTTGCAGATGACGATTGCATTTTCATCAGTGATGGCAGTATTTATCATTGAAAGAATAGATGAAGTCACTGGAAGAGCATCACTTGCCCCACTTCTTGGGGCTGGAGTCGTTAGTGTTGGTTATTGGTGGTACTTGCCCTTCCCATCAAACTTGAAGACGCAGTCTTTGATTGTTTTCGGAAAGAGTATAAGCATTATGTGTGCAGTGTGTCTGTTTAATAGATTAGCAACAGGGGATGGGGGCGTTTAACCTGGTTATGGGTTTCTCTTGCAAATTGGAAGATTTTTCTTCTCAGGACGTGCATTCTCATTCTCATCGGCTGTGTACGTTTGTCTTTCTCCCTATTCATCATTCGTCTTGAACAATTGTACAGGTTCGCTGACGACCTCCGACTCTACGCCTTGGTGCAGTTTGTCCCCTGTGTAGCAATTCCTGCCATGACTATAGCCTTGCCTCCAAGATACTCGCATTCATCATATTGGCTTTGGGCTGCAGGTACGCTCAACATTTGTATGTTGGTGTCATGTTTCAAGAGCTACATCTTCTAGTGCGAATACCGGGATCGCTTAAAAAGTCGCTCTGAGTTACAAGTTTCAATTTTTCTTTACTTTAGGTACTGGATGAATTCAAGTTGCTCTTTTTGGATTATGTAGCAGCATGTGTAGACGCAACTAATCAAGAGTAAAGATATGTTCTATAGCTGAAGTTAATGATATATATTCGTAATATATATTCGTTGCTTCTGTTGTCATCATTACATAATCGGAGTTACTTCTATGGTATCTCCGAGTGCTAGTCTGATAGTTTGCTGGAAAAATAGGTTTTTATCTGTTGGCGAAGGTGCTAGAAGCGAATGATATGAAGTTTTACCGATGGACAAAGTTTTTGGCGAGCGGCCACACTCTGAAGCATCTGAGTGCCGCAATGGTCCCGGTTTTTATCATTATCATGCTCTACAAACGAAACATGCGCAATGAGAGGTGGTTATCCTATCCCGCGCTCTACCTTACTTTAGTAGGCAAGTTCATTCCTCTTGATTGCAACTGTAGTTTTTTAAGTCTGGCAAAAGACAAGAATTACTGTCGAGGATCTGAAGTACATCTTGTCGTGCAAGATTTATGAAGTTGAGACCAATATTTCTATGTCTTTCAGACTCAATGATGTTCTTCGTGGTTTTAAATACTCAAGAGATTAAGGCCCTCTTTGATAGGACTGCCTATTGGCCTTTTGACGCAGTTGAAACTTTTCTTAAGATGTCTTGTGAGGAAATTATTAGATGTACACATGCTTTCGATTAGTCATATAGATGTTGGATGTACTAATGAAATGAATACCTGCAGGCAAAGCATGCTTGATAGATGGAAAGGACAGTGGAGAGGAACCAATGCTGTAAGAGATGAGAGGGACACTACAGGCTCCAAGTGGAGATACTATTGGTCAGGCTCACAAGAGCAGGCTCAGAGTCTTGTCTCGGAGACCTGAAACAGACTTCTTTATCAAGACTGCATACGTCTGGTCTGGTCTCAATATCGTAAGGACTTTGAAAAAAATTTAGGCAACAGGGATCAGGGATCTTCTACATATTTATCAGCGTGGAAACAGCCAATACTGAAGGGTTGCTGTTTCCAGCGATGGGTCTGAGTGGAGTGTACTCTCCACGTGGACATCTGCTTTCGCACATCGCCTTGATATCATCTTAGTCCTTAAAATTTGATCAAGTACAACCCATCGGCTTGTTGGCCATCGTGTGGGTTCAATACAATGAACAAGCTGTTTGGGGGTCCGGACTTAATAACTCGATGCGAAGGTAACTGTAGGAAAGGGTAAGGTAGATCTTCTTAAGGAGCATGGAGACCCTCATTGGCAGACATGTAGCACTCTTTTCCGGTTCATGCCGGGTACATCCCATTGTACAAGCACCCAAATTATTTGGCCTCGCTTTCACTACATTGTACTTTGCAATGTATATTAGTATTTTCAAGCTTATTTGGTGCGTGATTTACGAGTTACTAGATTCTCATTCGTGGAATGTCATCATCTCGGACATCTATGTAACTGCATATTCCACTCACACTATGGATGGGTTGGAAGCTGTTGGAACCACACTTGTGGTGGGCCATAGTCTGCAATCGTCTGAAATCTCGTGAGAGCTATTATTGACAGAAATACTCGTATCTCTCCGTCAATAGGAAGAGCGTTTCCAGGTTCAGTTTCCTTTCATGCTTCCTTCTATACAGGGGGATTATATGCCTACAATGTGTACGCAGTTGTGATTGCGGCTTATCCGTATTCACCTGTTTCAAAGATGGAACACAGTTTTCTCGCTGTGAAGAACGAGGGCCATTCTTAGAATGTATGTCATTAGCTAAAGAGTTTTTTGTTTGCAGTGTCGGATGGTTTTGTAGTCATCAACAGATACTTTTGTCCATCTCATTTCACTAAGAAATGCCATCAACTCACTGCGCACGGCAGGTCGTTCTCGGCTAGCTTTGGTATGTACACATTTCATACCAGTTCTGAAAATTTGACAATTGTGCCGTCGACATTCCTTTGTCGGAAGCAGGAAATCTGCCCTACGCATGACGGACATAAATGTGATGAAAGTGAGTCTCAATGTGCAAACGTTAGTCCAGCTCAGTCCTCCGAAATTTAACATATGCAATTTGTGCGGACTTTTGTCTTCTGTGTATATCTTGGTCTAAGGATCCGTGCCAAGAGACTAGTGCAAGAGACTAGCCCAGACTAGACTCTACTTGCTTCTGCAGTCCGCGATCAATTAATCAAATAGGTACACACGCAAGATTCTGCGCCTCCTTGATTTTGCAATTTCCTTGGAGCTGTGTTTGGTGGCCGATATATTCAACTTTCAGTGGGGTCCCTACGTCTTTGACCGATTATTGCGCCTGAATGTAGGATGGACCGTCAATTCAGCTTTTGTTTCCCTACTCTGGAGTAGGTTTTGAGATTCTCTGTTCGGCAAACAGTCGGCTGTGATGCGACGCCTTTACATAATTGACCTCCTGTAGTTTGGCCAAAAGGTTGCTTACATGCAACTTCCAATTTTCATCATTCCGTGTGCCTGTTTTACTCGTTTAGACATCAGAGCTAGGAGACAAATAGGGGAAAGATTCATCGGAGTGCTTCCGTCACGCACGAAGCAAAGTAACATGCTTAGTACATCAACCGCCCCACAATTCTCGGTGAGGTCTATTCGCACCTGTGGGGCCGTTACTCTTCAATCTCCTGCATTCCTGCAACATGTACTTGCCGAGAAACCTACATAGAGTCAGGGTCAAGTGATGGTAAATACAGGTCCGGTAGGTCCACCTGGACGATCAATAGGCGTTTCGGTCCCATAAACCGTTTTTTAACTTCACTTTTGGTCTCTCTATATACATTTTGGCTTTCTCTTTGTCCACTACTCTTGCCATGTGCCAAGTCTAGAGTCAGCACACTTCGTTGGCAGCCAGGCCTAGGCAGGTTACCCTGAACACGGCTGGTTTGCTCCATCCCGTAGCCTCCACTCAGCCGTCCCGTCAACTTTTCGGCCCGCAGAATGGTGATTATTCTGTCCAATGTCAAGTGATCCTGTCTTGTATGGGAAATAACGTGCCTATCGCAGTAGAGTCGTGAAAGGAAGTAGGCTTCTACAATCTATCTGCCAATTTCTAAACCTTGATTATGCAACTGGCCAGAAAGTTCCATCGGTGTCCAGAGTAAACGCATCAAATACGCCTCGGGAGGACTAGGAATCCAGAAACGTGCTAGCAGCATCCACCGCAATATTGCATAAATGTCCACAGTAATTTGACCTTGACCTTTTTCTATCTCTTAGTAGTTGCCGCAAGGTACAGTCCTGTATGAATTTCATCTTCTCGTTATAAGGAATCAGCACAGTATTGTTTATTCGAACAAGGCAGAATAATCAACATTCAAACAAGCAAACAAGCAATAGGGCACAGAAAGCATGAATGTGCAAAGCTCACTAGTCCTATCAAAGTCCCCTTCGACGACCTTATCTTCATATTAATGGCTGGCACAATGTACAATTCTTAGTACAGTCTTGAAAAGCAATGATTGATGGGAAAAAAATGTATGAACTAATTTTACAGAAGGAAGAATTTTTCTTCTTTCAAATGTTACAAATTCATCTAAAAGTAACGAAAATTGCTGTCTCATCTAGAAAATAACGAGGGCACGTTACAAGCAGAAGCAGGATCTTGCAAACATTTGCAGAAACTTTCTACGTCCATAGGAAGTCCCACGGTTAGTGGAAGATCTGGTGTAATTCCCACCTGCACGTAAGTAACTTCTATCAGTGACACCAGGACTATACCAGCAAATCAATCAGATCTGAACACTTCAAAGAAATGGCTTCTTCACACTCCTGGTGTAGATAAATGTGGCACTCGCAAAACAGTTCTCTATCAAAACAGTTCTCAATCGAAATACGTTCAGGTGTTGCAGGAAATTTTAAAAGGTGGGTGAAATTCATGTTGTGGACGTTCCCTTAGCCTCGCTCATGATAATTGTCGAGCAACTCATAAGTCCGAAATAAGGGTTGATAGACTATTATATGCTGTGGTACATACATCCACGTAAACAAGAAGAATTCTCCTGAAATCTAGCGTTGACACAATTTACCCTTTCAAAATAACCCTTGACCAAAGTGGGTAAGTTACCTTATCAATGTTGATGTGTGCTGGGGTCTCGTATCTAGCAACTGTGACTGCCATCCCCGATCCATCTGAAAGTTGAAAAATCGACTGAATACGCCTGTACATCATGAAGTCAAGATTATAATCAAAAAACCTCTATGAAAGGTTGGACTGTTTTTCACAAATAAATCATCATGCCTGTGTTCATGTGACTGGACAATCATTCGTATCTTCCGTTGCTTCTCAGGTTTCTAACTCTAAGAAGGGCTATGCACTTAAATACCACAAGTAGATCACGCAAAAGCAGCAAAATAATCTGGAATTTCAGGGCATTCCAAGCCGTGAGAAGACCAGGCATATCTTTCAAGCGTCTGACTTCAGCTGGGAACTGCATAAGACTTGCTTGTTATCTTACCCCTTCCCAAACGTAGGCTCTCCCACAATCAATGCCCTCTTGTTATCCTTCAAGGCACCAGCTAGAATCTCGCTTGCACTTGCAGTGCCCTTGTTGACCTGGAAGAAACGGGGAAAGCGCTCTTGACTACAAAAAAGATAAATAATTCATAAATCCTACAATCTAGACAAGACTTCGAAAAAAAGGGTGACAGAGTGTCACTCAGGTGAGTCTTGAGTTCCTCCCTAAAGTTAAAAATTGAAAGGGAACTACGTACAAGCACTGTTAGAGGTTCTGTTGTAGCGATTGCATCTTCGCCGTCTGTCTCGTAGATATCTCGAACACCCATGCTGTCAGATATGTATACAATCACACCTTTATCGAGCCTGTGAAAGTATAGACATAAGCAATCATTACTAACCGCAAAAGGTGGAAGTTACAGAATGGACGTAGAACGTTGCTTGGCCACTTCTTATACTTTTTGACATGTCGATCCTTTCTTCGTAAAGCGAGAAAAGATCTTGAAGGATTAGGCCCTCGCCGAATGAGCTGATTACTCAGTTGGTATCTTTGAGATTGCCGCAAATTTTTCCAGGGACTGTGCACACACACTATTGTGCACAATTTTGACCTCCGTTAAGGCAAGAGCTCCTTCAGCTGAGATATCATGAGTGCTAAAAAAAGTAATAATTCAAATACATAATCACGAGACAAATTCCACTTGTCCGATATGAAAACCACATACAAATACGTCCTGCAACTCAGAAGGATGGCAAGAAACAATGCAAGAATGAAGTCATACCACATTTTTGCAATCTCGACGCCTGCCGGAAAGAGTCCACCACTGTGATTCGACGGACATGTAAGTGAGACTTTTCTTCGAACACTATTTCAAGTACAAATTTGAAGTATTTGAAATAGTATGCAACCCGAAAAGACTTTTACTAAACGAATCACGGTCGTAACAATCTGAACCATTACCTGTTATTACGGATGTCTAGAACAAATGCTGTTGCTCCGCTCTCTCTAAGGTTTTCAATCGCGGTTCGAACAGCTCCTACAGACACAAACCAGAACAACTATGGAAAGGACGAAGACAATTTCTTGAAAGAGAAACAATAAAATGCAATATGGAACTTCTGCACATGATGCCCGAAAGAAGTGCAACTACTTCAAATCCTATAAGAATTCATTAGAAGAAGGCACTGAATGCAGTCACACTCGACTAGAAGTGACCTTCCACAACACGGGTTCGTCACCACTCAGCATCATCACGTGCGTTCTTATCATCACTTTCTACAGGAAGACAAACGTATATGCCGGAGAGTTTCATGCGATCTGGACCTAAAGTAGTCTGTATTGCCCAACATGTGCTCCTTTCAAAAAAGTATCTTAGGTCATAATGATCATTCAATGACGAGTCAACTGGGCACAGTGACGCTAGAAAGGCATGGCAATGGAATTCTAAGTGGACAACAAAGCTTGATCAGATGAAATGAACTGATACTAACGAGATGAATTGGAGTTGAATGTTGAAAGACGAATATATCCTATCTTTGCTGGAACCCCGTCAGATCGAGGAATTTCACACAATTTCCACGTGACGGGATTCAAGGTGATCTTTTCCCTCCTGCAACACATGCCGTAGAGAAAAACTTGAGCGATAAGAAGTCTACACGACGACAGAAAAAGTGAAAGGGTAATGAGCCAACAATACTGCTCAAAAGCAGGAAATATCATCAGAAGGCCATAAAACTCACGATACTGTGACTTTCTTCGGGACAGAAACCGCTTTGTTGAGCACCGTCAGTTCCACTTCAGAGTTTAAGGGACCCCTGTTATCACGAAGAAAACAAGCTGTAAATAAGAACTTGATGGACTTCATCGTCTTCACTCCTACACCAACATCTACTTAATCATCAGTTTTTCCGGAATTCCTGTTGTGAACAAACAAGTAATGAAATAGCTTACTGCAAGCGTCGTGCAGCATCATACAACCCCATCCCTTGAGTCGCTACTCCATCTATGGCCAATATAACATCACCGGGCAGAATTCCTGCCCGACCTGCAGGGCCTCCAGAAACCGGAGACACCACTACAAGGTCTTCCGAAGTACCCCCTGTGCTGACATCGAAGCCAACTTCTAACCCGACACCTGTTAGAGCGCCACTAGTGCCTGACTGCCTTTCACAAGCACAAAGCGGCAAATATTTGGAGCGTAAGTATCACTGATATGAAATCCAGTCGCTGACACGGGAAGTTCCAGTCTCATTCAAAAGATAATGCGAAGCCAATGCGCAGGATTCAAATACTAAGATAGTGAAAGCAACACACTTCCTGTTCCAGGCGTACCTTCAGAGCTTTGAATTTGTCAGGCTCCAAAAAACGAGTGAACGGATCATCCAGGGTTGCGAGCATCTTCCTTATTGCAGCATCTAGTGGGTTTGTACCAATGATATATGTCAAAGGTAAAATATATATAAACAAGGTCTCAGAAGTTTGTTGAACTGAGTTTGTAATGACAAACAAAACTTCTGGGAGCGGCTAGAATTCCTCGCGACTTCAATCCAGCCCTCTGACACATGAGCAACGAGAGTAACCGGCAAGTCTCAGGGAGTCTTACATCCAAAACTGAGACCAAGGTTATACGTACAAGTCTCTTCACGTGTTTTCATCGGCTCGCGACGGAGGACATCTTCACGATACCGGAACCAACTTTGTCCATTGAAAGACTTATCGACATAAGCCCTGTCAACCGTCCGCCAAGCCTCCAAAAACAGCAGATTCTCTTCGGTAAGAGCATCTGAACAAAACTCAACTTCAGTCAAGTGTGATTCATTCATAGACGCTATGTAAAAGCTAAGTCTGCTAAGTAAGAGTCTGCTAAGCTGGGACTTTTTATGCTATCGACATTCAAGTTCATTGACAACAAGCATTTTCAAACCTAAGAATCGCGTACTCAAGCGCTTAAAGAGTCCAATTTTCTTAAGCGCAACTGAAATGCATCAACTATTTCACTCAGATGTGAACCGAGTTGTCGAACATGTAATGTGGGACTGCAAGGTGGTGAATAGAAATTTCTAACTTGCTGCTGACTGCGGTTTTCCAAATTGTATCACCTGCTGTCCAATTATCAAGGAGAGGTGGATGCTGAAAATATCACAAATTCGAATTCAAGGAATCGTGGGGGAAGGCAAGTAGAAGATGATTACACGTAGGTTGCAGAGCATAAGGTGCCAAAGCGCAGGTCGTTGGCCCGCTGACAATGAGAAGGGCAATAAAAGCCGAGCCTATAAGAAAAATCAGCCCTCTCCTCTTCGCAATTGGAAGCCATTGAGAGTGTAGCTTTTGCTCATTAGCTCTCGTCACTACATTTTCAGCAACACTGGTGCCCCTAAACAACGGCGACCAAAAAAAGTTCGACCTCCCTAAATTCTTCAGTTTCTGGCTGACCACCCGCTTCAAAAAGAGTCCTTGTCTCTTCAGAAAAATCAATTCACCATCAAAACCAGCCGTAATTCTATCTTGAGATTTCAAAAAACATCTAATAGTACAAAGCTCTAATCCTCTTCTCCCCGTAACCCCACCAAGCTTGCAATTCGCCGTTCCTAGCGGCTTCCAGGATGAGGAAGTCATCGCCATTGTCGTTTCAATTTTTCTTCCTTCGCCACAGGAGCGGGAGAAATCCCCGAAAAACCTCAGCACACCGAACAAGTTTAAGTAATGGATAATTCTCCCATTGAATCGACGACTAGCTCACAATCATGCACCCACACAATTTTAAAACACTGGCGCACAGCTGAGGCTCCATTGCCAGCATCCACTTCCTGCGCCAGTCCGAACTTTCAAGAACAAGAACGAAGCGTGGAGCGTAGCGGACGACGAGTGAGAGCGTCTGTGGTACAAGAGATAAATCCACCGTCGTCGAATCCGAGTTCTGGCTCCTCCGTCCGTCGGGACCGTCGCAGAGAGGACGCCCGCAGTCACTCTTTGGATCCTTCATCCACAATCGACAGCTCCACCGTCCTCTGAGTCTCTGACGGAGTCCCCTTCCCGTCCTGGATCCTCAACTCGTAGCCGGGTTTCACATGAACCAAAAAAGGCCCGACCCCGTGCTTCCGAATACGACTGTCGTTGTTCGGCATGTACGTGCTTTCCTGAGGACGGTCTACAATACAGAACGTACAGATTCGGACACCTGATTCGGCTGAGAACCGATCGTGGTGTAAGTCACCGGAGATGCTCCCGGGGAGCAACGTAATACTGTGCGCGACTCTCCGTATTCGTGTATCTCTCTCCGACAGACTCAGCCCTACAGCGAGGGTTTACGCTGTCCAGTCTTCTGTTCCCGTGTAAAACAAGGAGTTTCTACATTTTCCTCTTCGTTGTCATCTCACACCATGGACCGATCATATCGTGCAGTACTTTGAGTGAGTGTGTGTGTGAGCCATAAGGCGATGCAGCCCGAAGGCTAAAATTTCAGAGACAAGAAATGAACCCAAGGAATAGCGCGTGATGAAACACCGTCTATTCTTTGGGTTCTTTCGTACAAAAAGAAAGGAAAGAAACAAAATGAATTACTGTTGGAAATGCAAAATGTTCAGAGGAACATAATGTGAATCTTGTGCTTTGGAGTAAATGCTAATGTAATAAAAAACGCTCTCACCTCGACTTTGTTTCTCAGTTCAGGTATACTGAGAAAATGATTTGTTGAAAGTTTATGACCATTTTTATTTTGTGTCGCCGTAATCGTCTAGTCCGAGAACATTCATTCTAATAGGTGATACTCAATTTATCATGGCTTGGTGTGTGTGAAAAGAGATTCCTCCATATTAATTCGTTTGAAATAAGATATACATTCACAAAATAAGATCTACAGTTAGTATGATCGTATCATCATTACATCGAATTTTAAGAAAGAATGAAAACCTAGGGTTTACCAATAGCTTTAAACTCGATGATACAAATAAACTATGTTCCAAGTTGTGTTGCTGTCTAGTGATAAATTCAAGCCAGCTTCTGTTGAATAATTTATGAATGTTTTGCATAGTGTGTGATATGTAGAATGATTTGTCAGTGAACGCATTACCCGCACTCTAATGGGCTAAGAAAATTGTGGAAAAAGGTTTGTTCAATACATGATATATCATTGTTTGTGGTGTTATGCTGAAACCCATCTATAATATATACCATGTTCATTTATTTGGCTATTGCAGGTGTTGAAAGTCTAGAATGTCTTAAAGTAAAGAAGGCCAATATATTAAAATGTATGAGGATTTTCCTCTTGAATGAAAAAAATATCATCGTGATCCAATCGTAATGACCATTATATCATAACAGGCAGTCGACCAAAACTTAGAAACATCTAAAGTTTTTATATAACGCGACCTTCTAACTTCTAAAAGAAGTGTGATAAATGGTAATGTTATTATTAAAATCCTCCTATTGATTTTTTCTGTAAATGAGTGATTCTAGCCTATTTGAACAAGAAGAATGATGTAGCTAAATTCTAATTCCTATGACTAGTCACAGGCGAGACATACTATATCAAGGGATGAACTAGAGTGATTTTACCAAAAAACATTATTCTCCGTAATTATGAATTAATATACATATTTGGAAAAATTTTCTTTGATTGCATTAGTTGTAATTTTTTCTAATTAAAATTTAATATTTTATTATCTAATAGCTTGCAAGTGACTGGAAGTTATTTTAATCTAGAAAATCAAAATTATCAAATGCATTGATCCAATTCATTGACATATATTGTTTATTGTATGTCAAAACATACAACAAATATGTCAAAATGTTGACATTAATTGGATCTATGTGGCCGTTGAAAACTATCATTTAATGGCTTTCAAACGAATAAATACTATTTGAGTCTAAAAACTAAACTATTTAATGCATATTTTATATTAATAACTTAAATTGAATATCATGAAAATATAATATATTAAAAATACAAATTAATAAATATATTTAAATAGACCATGGATTTAGTATAGAAAATAAAATAAGTTATAATAATAATAATAATTCATTTAATAATATACAAAAAATTGATGAATAGAGTGTTTATTTTTTTTCCTTTCATGTGGCAACACAATTTTTTATATTTTATATAGAAGTAATGACATTAATGACATATATGAATTGCATGATGAAATTTTTTATGTAATTTTATTATTTTAAAAATTAATTCATATTCATAAATGAATATATTTAAAATTCACTAATGACAAATAAATTTGATTTTAATTCTGTTAGGAAGATAATATATCAAAGCAATGAGCTATTTGTACATTTTCTAATTGCAGTGATGTAATATATGTTCAGCAGTTCCACACATCAGCAATGCATACTCAAATTTCAGTTTGTATTGATGAAGACATTGAAAATGTTGACTATATTAAGAAAAATAGATTACAGAATTATATTAGAGAATACTATGAACGATAGAAAATTTGAATTACATGCTTCAGATTCTTGATGAATTATTGATTCCATGTTCAATCAAATATTTTATTGTTAAACAATTTTATCCACAATGATTTAATGATTGTAAATATTTTTATGACAATTTTATTCAAATTTTTTCATATTGAAACATAATTCTTGCAGATTAAATATCGCGTTATTAAATTTATATTAATCTTTTGAAATCTTGAGATATATTTTATTAATCACTCATTTTTTATATTATAGTTATTCAAATCGGATAATTCCACGAGGTAATGTGCAGCTTTTTTTCTCATACCCTCAATTCTTATAATTTCTGTCTTTCTCTAATACTACAGTAGATACTTTTTATAGTGTTATATATTTAATTATCTTATGGATCTACAATCAAGTAAGTATGAAAGATTATTTCACATGTAAAAACAAAATAACACCTGAACATCATCATGCTTGTTGCATGATTAAAACTTAATCTTAATACTCGTTTAGTATAGATATGATATAATTTGTGTTATAAATCAAGTCTATTAACTTAGAATTTTATTACCTTTGATGCTTACTAATTCACTTCAAATCACATCTGTTTTATATATGCCAATATAAAACAGACGCATACAGTGAAAGTAAGTCGGAAAACCGGTACATTTACTCAAAAAAGAAAAATGGCCACGCGACGAGGAAACTCGTCGTTCAATAAACTGTCAACGTACGAGAGCCAAAGGCCCTGCAAACCCTAACCCTACAAAAAACCATCCGACTTGACAAGTTGAGACAAAATGAAAATTTTCGTTTTATGATTGTTAAATTAGCTAGTACATCCTAAAGACTTCTCCGTGATCGGCCACTAAATCAAATGTGATTAGCTCTGTTAGAATTACCAGATGTGTAATACACAACGAAGTTAGTGAACCTCGTCCAAATCATCACTTGCATATGATTAACTCTCATTTGCTTCTAGGATCGTAGACTTTGTGTGTGACGTGCAATGTGCCACCTCCGCGTAATTATTCCATCTAACCTTGACACACTTGTTTGCAATCTGCCACCTACGCGTAAGTATTCCATCGAACCTTGACATAGTTGTTGATCTATCGCATGTTTCTAGCGTTAAAGCTGGTAAGTTAGCAAGAATGATGGGAACAGCCATCAAGTGGCAGAGGGATGAAACCAACGGGCAGGATGGGGCTAGGGTCCAGTAGCATCACAATGGGAAATATGAGAATGAAACCGCGAACACTCCGTTGGATTCTCATCCATCCTGATGGATCCATGGAATCACATTTTCCGCAACGCAGTCGACTCCCAAATATGTACGCTGTCCCATGTCTCTCTTTACCTACGGCCGCGATTGGCGAAGGCGGTGGGATGGAGCGTGGCGATTCGACCGCGGCCGACTCAGGGTTAACTTTGTAAACCGAGTTCGCGCATGTGACTTTATAGCTGTACAGCAATTATAAAGAGCAAGACCATGCATCGAGATGCGTCCAGGAAGGGCGTCAAATGTTCCCCATCCGAGAACGACTGGCTTCTCCCGCAGCTCACATAACAAGAACAGCGGAACCAAATGAGTCCCGTATGGGTCGACAAACATAATATAACGATATATTGATTGCGGCCAGCCAGCCAGCCAGCCAGCCTGGTGAAGTCTACGCCGCTACGCGCGTCGTCTAGTACAATACTCGGCCTCACGGACAAGGGCAGGAGCGGGAGGGTAGGAGCGGGAGGGTCGAAGAAACTGGATGGTTACGTGGCACGATGAATCGTGGCGACAGACTGCGAATTTCGCGTCGTGCCGCGAGTCGCGAACACGGGTCGACGAACCGATCCAGCCAGTCAGCTACGAGGTTTAGAAATAACGCTGCCTACCGAGAGCCCATTCCGACCACCGTTCGGCAGCCAATCAGCGCAAACCTGTGCGCGATTCAGGCTGACTGGGCAGCCTGAGTCCAGGTCGCGCGCCAATCAGAGAAGAATCCACATAGGCAAGACGCACACGTCGTCTGTCGGCTGTTGCACAGCTGGAAGGATCCCCATGAACAAGGAGCAAGTCCCTTGCATCGAGCGGAAGCAGTGTCGACCTGTCGAAAACGCCTCGATCTGCCTCCTTCCGTTAACCAAGACAGAGATCATTCGACTTGTGTCGACCACATCCAACCCAGCCAGTGCTGCGCTGGACTGCAGTACCTTCAAAACCGCGAGCTCTGCAGACTCAGGATTTTCCGAATTCCGAAATCGACGGGCGAACGGTCACACTCGCACGCGCAAGATCAATCGGAAGGCAGTCGTCGTAGATGTGGAATATGTTCGCATGTACATTCTACGGAGCTGTGAGCAACTGGCGCGGAGTCGTACTGTAACGCAGTGGAGGTCTTCGCGTTACTGTAGTTCAACCGGCTTCAACCTTTTTTTCTCCGCGTTCTTTGCCGAGACCTGTTCTTTGAACCGCGACGGGAAGTCGGTCACCACGGAGGGCGAACTGCGTCGAGAGCACGGACCTAGACGGCGACCTCGGTTGCTGGTGGCCGATGAACCCACACCTGGAAGCGCGCCTCGGACGCTCGCTCGGGGGGGTCGGCGGATCCATGATCGTGAGGGGACGGCGAGTGGAGGAACGGCGAGGGAGAATCGGGAAATTGGAGCTGCGAGTATTTTCTTGACGAGGAGGCGATGCGAGAATATTTCGAGGAGGCAGGACGAGCAGCATAGGTAGCGCAGCGCGGCCCAGCTAGACGCAGAAGCGAGCGAGCAAGGGAGCGGGTGCCTGCATCGCATCGAGCGAGGTGCGCAGCAGGCGGGACGAGGAGGAGGAGGAGGTGTGCCAGACACGAGAGGAGGAGCAGAGTTTCGCGAGACGGAGCGGAAGCCGATGCAGACGACGACGGACCAGCTGGGCTTGCAGCTGAGCTCTTATCGGTCGTTGCTTTAGGTCATTTGCCCCTGCAGGTGCGAGCATTCCTCATCGCCTCTTTCCTCTCTGATTTCTGTGATTGCGACAGGCGTCGAGGTTGCGGTGTAGATCTGCATCTTTCGACGCTCGTTGCGGCGAAGGTTTCTTTCCGCTGAGCGTTTGTGTCCGGCTCTGGAATGCACCGTGGCCGCCGGAGAGTTGGGAGTTCTTCCTGCGGATGGGTCTTTTGTCGATCGTTTGTCCGCGAGCTGAAGGTTTGGTTGGCTTGGTTGGATTAGGCGAGGCCAGTGAGTCGGGATCGTTTGTTTTCTGAGCAGAAGGTTTTGTTGTGGTTGGTTTTGCTAGGTTTGTACTGGAAGGTAGATAACTGAAAAGAACGTGGTCTCAAGACACGCCGATATCATTGCCAAGGTTAGATCTGGAGAGGGAAGCGCTCTTTCAGGGACGAAACTCTGGAGCCTAGGTCGGGAAGCTCCATGATGTGCAGATCGAGCCGTTTCTCAGCCCAGTAGTGAATCACATTTCCTCTTCGTTTTGACCTGAAACCCTCGATTGGTCTCTTGTTTCTCAAGATGGGTAAGCCTGTGCCGTCAGGCACGCTCAGGCTCTATGCCGTGATTGGCATTGTATGCTGTCTCGGCCTCTTCGCTCCTCGAATAGTGCATGGATTCTATCTACCCGGAAGCTACATGCACCCGTACGGCGACGGGGACTCTATCTCGGTGAAAGTGAATTCTTTGACATCGATCGACACGGAACTTCCCTTCGGCTACTACACTCTTCCCTTCTGCCAGCCCGAGCAAGGAGTGAAACAGGTTACAGAGAATCTTGGAGAGCTCCTGATGGGGGATAGAATTGAGAATTCGCCGTACATCTTCAAAATGAATGTAAATCAGTCCAGCCTGATGCTGTGTCTGGGACATGCACTTGATGACAATGAAGTTAAGCACTTCAGGCAGAGAATTGATGACTATTATCAGATCAATCTCATCCTGGACAATCTGCCAGTCACCAGGTACACTAAGCCCAAAGACTCGGAGCTTGTCCTCCGGTGGACCGGTTTCCCGATTGGGTTCTCGATCGACAAGAAGTACTATATCTACAATCACCTCAAATTCAAGGTACTCGTTCACGAGTACGAAGACGCAGGTATCGGTCAAGTCATGGGTACGGGGGATGGAATTGACACTTTTCCAACGGAGAACGGTGGCAAGAAGTCTGGTTCCCTGATTGTGGGATTCGAGGTGATTCCTTGCAGCGTCACACATCCAGATCCAAGGGATGCACAGGTCGGGAATTACGGAACTCTTGCCCCTATCAGTTGCGGTACAGACTCAGACACCCCTTACCAGGAAATCAAAGTCGGTCAAAGCATCGTGTACTCGTACGATGTCACCTTCGTGAAAAGCGAAATCAGATGGCCCAGTCGTTGGGACGCATTCTTGAAGATGGAAGGTGCCAGAGTACACTGGTTCTCGATCTTGAACTCCCTTATGGTGATTTCATTCCTGGCCGGTATTGTGTTCGTTATCTTCTTGAGAACCGTGCGTAGGGATTTGACGAAGTACGAGGAGCTGGACAAGGAGGCCCAGGCTCAGATGACCGAGGAGCTCTCCGGTTGGAAGTTAGTCGTCGGAGATGTTTTTCGCGCTCCCGCACACACTTCTTTGCTCTGTGTAATGGTTGGTGACGGAGTGCAGATTACTGGAATGGCAATCGTCACCATACTCTTTGCTGCTTTCGGGTTCATGTCTCCTGCTTCAAGGGGCATGCTTCTTACTGGAATGGTTCTCCTCTACCTGTTTTTGGGTATTGCTGCCGGTTACGTGGCATCCAGATTATGGCGCACCTTGAAGGGGGATCCCAAGGGCTGGAGATCGATATCTTGGAAGGTTGCTTGTTTCTTCCCTGGAATTACCTTCTCAGTTCTTACTGTGCTCAACTCCCTTCTATGGGCTTACGGCAGCACCGGAGCAATCCCCATCTCACTCTTCTTTATTTTGTTGGCACTTTGGTTCTGCATCTCCGTGCCTTTGACCCTCTTGGGAGGATTCCTCGGCGCAAGAGCGGAGCAGATTCAGTACCCTGTCCGCACCAACCAGATTCCCCGCGAAGTCCCACTACAAAAGTACCCGTCATGGCTTCTGGTTCTCGGAGCCGGGACCCTGCCTTTCGGAACACTCTTCATCGAGCTTTTCTTCATTATGTCCAGCATCTGGATGGGAAGAGTTTACTACGTGTTTGGGTTCTTGTTCGTCGTATTGGTCTTGCTTGTCATCGTGTGCGCAGAAGTCTCGGTTGTGCTCACCTACATGCATCTTTGTGTGGAGGATTGGCGTTGGTGGTGGAAATCATTTTTCGCCTCCGGCTCGGTTGCAGTATACGTTTTCCTCTACTCTATCAACTATCTACTTTTCGACCTGCATGTTAACGGCACGGTGTCTGCAGTTCTGTACATTGGATACTCTTTGCTCATGGCGTTGGCGATCATGCTTGCAACAGGAACCATTGGCTTCCTTGCATCATTCTACTTCGTGCATTACCTCTTTTCTTCAGTCAAACTTGATTAAGGTCCACCTTTGGAGATATAAAACCTTTTCTTTACTGCAAACGTGAGGACTAAGCTTATGAGGTAGAGAGGCCACCTCTCTAGGGAAAAAAACTTCATTTCAAGTGCTCCTCGTAACTCGCAAGGGCATAGGTATAGGGCTTATCAGGAAATTTTAAGGAACCTAGGTGACAGCGTCCATGGCAGAGCTGGAAGAGTGTTAGAAACTCTTCTCTGTAACATGAGTTTCGCAGGTTAGTACCAGTATGGTTTGTCATGCTGTCAATTTTTTCAAGGTCTATGAACACCTTCCACTATTTTATTTCCAAATGTGCAGGCTTTTCTCTGTTGGTTGGATCTCGTCGGTCAACTTGGAGATCATAGACAGATCTCTTTGTAATCTATGTACTGCTCATCTGTCCCATGAGTGGAATGGCTTGTTAAGTGGCGAGTTTTTTGATGACACTATTACACTGTTTTGATTGCAATCTATTGGCACATCTCCGCAATCCTACAGCCGGTCTCCTCGGCGCCTTTCAGATACCACTGTTCTTCTACCCCGTGGCAATCCACTGACGAGAGATTTCATGCACTCACTATTACAGCTCATACATCATAGGTCTCAGTGTTTCAAACGTCTTGATTTATCTTACTTGTAATATATAGTGTTAAACCTACCAATAGTGACATATATTGGTACGAAGGTTTTATCTCACTATTGTCAGGTGGCACTCACAAGAGTAATATGCTACACCCTGCTAATAGTAACCTGCATTGGTGTTAGAATTGGATGTTACTATTGGGAGGTGTGTAATTTTAATATAACTTCGTACTAGTAACATATATTGGTGTTGGGTTTAGATGTCACTGTTGGGAGGTGTCAATTCAAAAAGAAATAAAGTATAGAATTTTTATCTTGCAGTACATCAGTCCTAGGAAATTCTAGAGATGTGTTGTTTGATTTCAATATCGCTTTCAATTTGCGCATATGTATTGTTCATGATGATTATCGTAGACACATAATTACGTATGAATTCAGATTAATAAACAACAATGTGATTGAAACAATTGATGATAATATATGTAGCGAATTATTCCACTTGAGCCCAGAAAGAGTGAATTATTGAGATATAATTTTAATTAAACTAATGACATTTTTTGAAGTCTCGTAGTTATGTATCGTGATCAGGATACAAATTTTTACTTCGAAATTATACTTGACATCATAGTATCATGTGATTATTGGGAAAACTGTTTTTATTGAGTAAAATACAACCCAAAAACTAATGGCTGTGGAATTTTATGTCACTCATAAGAGGTGACACTATGGGAAAATTTAACTCTTCACTCCTATATGACTCCAAGATGAGCGGCGTGAATCTCTTGCATACGAAGCCCCAGATGTGGATCATGTACTATCTTATCTGTAGGCTTCGTCTGCTCTACCAGAGCGACATGAGTTACTCTTCAGATTTTGCTTAAGGCCACGGTTCAATCAGTACTCCCATCCACTCACCGGGTACGAGACAGTGGAGCAATTTTTTCTTCCCCCCTTTAACCGCTTCAGCCATCTTTCTGGATAGAGATGGTATGAACACATTCTGATTTAATGCTTCTGAAATTCCCTTTTCCAGGGCTGTGCGGTGATTGTCATATATATCTCACGTACCTCAAAATAACGAAAAACGCCAGGGGACATAATGATGCATTCGTAACGAAAACTAGAATGTTGCTAGCCACTGGTCGGCAAAATTTCCTCATAGAACGACCGACGCAGCACATTCTTATTTTAATGCGGACAAACGTACAACAATCTCGTGCCTTCGTAACATCGTACCTTGGCGTGGACATGCGCCTCCACGGCTGTTTTCTTGCATTGCAGAGAAAGGATTAGGACATATGTCGATAAAGTGCATCGATTGATTGGATGGTGCGCGTGGTAAATTGGGAGTGTTTGCATTACAGTCATCTCCCGGTAACTACGCAAATTGATTCTAGTAACATTTAGTATACTAAACAAAAACAAGTATGTTCATGGCAAGGTCTGGGTTATGAATGTTTGTTTTGTTCACAATTATATGAACTTAAGCCTTTGAGTGTAATATGAACTATGTCTACATCCTGGGACAAAAGAATGTTTTGTTTCGAACTTCAAAACGAGGTCAAGTACGTGAACTAAAAGTTCTCAAATTGTGTAAAATAATAGTAAATCCAATTGCGTACTCAAATCAAATTAGCTATGGACATTATATATGGTAAAGAAATTATACAAACACGAAATAAAGATTTCACAAGAAAGTCGCGAATTGTGATTGTGTCTTTGGAGTGATACGCGGAAGTAGCTAACCATCCTCTTCAAATGATTAATATTTATTAACGCCAAGTTTTTAATGGCTGAAGTCAACATTACACAAATTCTCAAAAACTGCCCATGCAATTGAACTTTTGTATCGGGGCTAGGACTAACACAAAATCTTTCTTATAAAAACTTGTCCTTTGGGTTTGTTAAAGGACAAGTTTGCTCAATCCTAATACTAATTTCATTTGGATCATTCATATATATATATATATGATTTGATGCTTGAACACTCCAAGGCAACTCCATATTCATACCTGCACACACAATCTTTTGGTGCTATGCTCCAAAGTCAATGCTCTAAAGTACTTAAGCAATTATTTAGTGGAATTAAACTGCAATTCAAAACCGGAACGGATAAGCAAAGCCTCGAATAAAGCTTTATGCCTTGATGAGTCCAACCCTATATATGAAGAGATGAATGGAGTGGTTGTTTCAATTTTTTTTTCACTATGTATTTCTTTGGTATTTTGTTGCTACAATTTTTTTGATTTTTCCTAAATCTTAAACTTTTTGGTAAAAAATTGTGTACTTATCCGAGATGCTTACTTAAAGTGATGCGTATTTGATGGGGAAGATACTGTACTATTTATTGAAAGAATAAAGAACAAGACGCGTAGACATAGATAATGGTTATATCGTGGAGAATCACACGCCAAACACGACCCAATCGGAGCTCCAGCGAGACTAGTCCAATTCTGATGAGAGGACCACACTCGTGAATAATTGAATAATTCAATTATACTGTTCGCTTGCACCACAAAGTCAAGAACAATTTTTGACTTTGTTGGATATTTAGAGAAATATTTCGTTTTGGCTAGAAAAGACATTGAGTAGACCGTGACCATGAAGACAGAATATCCAACCGTGAGGAACGCACCCTCTAGAAGACGTCGGATGGCGGTCAGGGTTGATCTAGCCAAAAATGTTGTTAGTGTTTGTATGTTGTTAGACTGCAGGCTAGAACAACCCCGACAGTATGCCATCCGACGGCTTCTAGATTGTGCGTGATCTGCGGGTGAGTTCTTCACGGTCAGATGGGCATAGGACCAGAGTGCCCGCATGTTTTTTGATTTTGAAAAGACATGCCGTGACTGTAAACCTAATCCATTCAGGAGCTAGAAATACAACCTCGCCGCCGGTCAACTCTTTTACTTTTTATTCCAAATCACAATAATAAATGACGTGAGTTCTTTACGGATGGGCATACCGTCGGGGTTGTTCTAGCATGAAGTGTTGTAGAAGAAAACCAGGTTTTCGTAGGCCTCAGTAGGCCAGGTGGAGACAATTCCATAACCTCTACCACACTGCCGGTACTGCAAAATGTCTACTAATTGCAATGCAGAAGTCATTGGAAGAATAACCCAAGAAGGCGAGGAAATACACGTGGATTCGATATAGTCCGGACAAAACGGATTTCCAGGCGGAAGTGCACTGTAGAAGTCCTTGGAGTCGATATATTCCGGACAAAACGGATTTCCAGGCGGAAGTGCAATGTAGAAGTCCTTGGAGTCGATATATTCCGGACAAAACGGATTTCCAGGCGGAAGTGCAATGTAGAAGTCCTTGGAGGAGTAACCCAAGAAGGCGAGAAAGTACACGAAGAAGGCGAGCAGTGCTCCAAACTATCAGGCAAACTTCCGCTGGAAATCCGGTCGATCAGTGAGATCAGCTACGCGCTACCCATCGTAGGGTGTGTCTTCCCATGGTCTTAATGCATCTAGAATTGCATTCTCCCAGTCCAGTTGCACATTGAGATTTGCACAACGCAGAGTACTTCTTCACATCTGAAATATCTGCGATTCCATGCTTTCCATGATATCCTTCGTACTAGTTCAATTCTGATGAGAGGACCAAGGCGCACTCGTGAATAATTGTATAATCAGCTGAACTGCTGTAGAGTCAGAGAGAGAAGGAGAATAGTGCTTTGGGGTGACGATCGAGGCACTGGGACGAGGGCGAACACCCGTGATGAAACTGTGAATGGTTGCGTCGTTGCACCGTATCTTGAAGCCAAAACAAAATTCAGCATTGGGCTTACCGTTGTGCCAAATCGACTGCCGGCCTGCAAGGCAAGGTTCATCTGCCGAAGTCGACTGTGAGAGATGTGTCGAGTGTGCAAGATGTGTGGACCGTGCAAGATGTGTGGAGTGTGCAAGATGAAAATTGATTTTGAAGATGTGTTGCTTCACCTGGTTGACCTGCTTAAAGAGTTGTATACTGAAGCCATGATAGGCAAAGCACGGTTTGAAGAAACTGTGTCCACTGCTCGGCCGCCATCCGATTTTCCGAATTTGCTGCGCGATGTTGACAATCGGCTGGGCGATGTTGACACGCTGATGAAGAAGACGTCTTACCATTTTCAAATGAGAATTACGTACGAGTACCTGCGCATGAGTGAGGAGGAGCTGCTCGAGGGTAAGAAGCTGTACCTGCGCATGAGTGAGGAGGAGCTGCTCGAGGGTAAGAAGCTGCTGCTCGAGGGTAAGAAGCTGCTGCTCGATGTTAAGAAGCTGCTGCTGGTCGGATTTTGCACTCTTCCGTCGCTGTCCGATTCCGATTGCACTCTTCCGTCGCTGTCCTATCTTGAGAAGCGGATGTCCGATGTGAAGAAGCAGGTGTCCGATGCTCTAGACCTGCTTGATGGTACAGATTATATCATAGCCATAGCCAGGATACAAGAAACTTTTCTTAGGGTGTACACTGCTTGGCCGAAAGAAATTGAAGAATTGAAGAATATTTTTTTCCATGGATTACCGTTCGATTTCGATTTCGATCGAAATCGAAATCTGCCGAAGTCGACTGTGAGAGGAGCCGGCCACGGCGGGAAGATGTCGACTGTGATCAATTGGGATCGAATTTTGGGAAAGTACGAGGAGAGAACTATTGTTCTCAATTGGGAAGATGAGTCCACTTTTTTCTCGCCGCTCTCCGTGTACTTTTTGAAGATGGAGCTGTCCGGTTTGAAGAAGGAGCTGTCCGATTTGAAGGATATGTCCATATTCAAGGATGAGCAGCTGTTCGATGCTACAGACGTGCTTGACCTGCTTGACCAGCTTAAAGCGTTGTATATTGGAGTCACGAATTGCAGAGCACGGTTTGAAGAAACTGTGTCCACTGCTCGGCCGCCATCCGATTTTCCGAATTTGCTGCGCGATGTTGACAATCGGCTGGGCGATGTTGACACGCTGATGAAGAAGACGTCTTACCATTTTGAAATGGGAATTACGTATTTACTAAAGTCTCTATCCTTTGCACGCTTTTGGTACTCCTCCCAGTACCTGCGCATGAGTGAGGAGGAGCTGCTCGAGGGTAAGAAGCTGCTGCTCGATGTTAAGAAGCTGCTGCTGGTCGGATTTTGCACTCTTCCGTCGCTGTCCGATTCCGATTGCACTCTTCCGTCGCTGTCCTATCTTGAGAAGCGGATGTCCGATGTGAAGAAGCAGGTGTCTGATTTGAAGGATAAGCAGCTGTCCGATGCTCTAGACCTGCTTGATGGTACAGATTATATCATAGCCATAGCCATGATACGTGAAACTTTTCTTTGGGTGTACACTGCTTGGCCGCGGTCCGGTCTCCTGATGGGGATTACAAGACCTGAAGAACGAATAAATTTCGGTCATGAAACCAGATTGTTTTTCAGTCTAGATTTTACGTCGCTGTTCTATCTTGTGAAGCGGATGTCCGATTTGAAGAAGCAGGCGTCCGATTTGAACCATAAGCAGCTGTTAGATGCTCTAGACCTGCTTGATGAGACAGTTTCTATGCATATCATAGCCATAATAAGCAGAGAAACTCGTGTTTTTGGAGAACCTGGCTTGTTTGGAGAAACTGTGTACACTGCTCGGCCGCCGTCCGACCTTCTGAAGCGGCTGTTCGATTTGTGTGTGCGGCATGATGAAGCAGTGTCGGATACTGATTTGGTAAAAGAAACTGGTTTTGAAGGAATTATTTTTTTCCATGGATTACCGTTCGATTTCGATTTCGATTTCGATCGAAATCTGCCGAAGTCGACTGTGAGAGGAGCCGGCCACGGCGGGAAGATGATGTGCAGAAAAACTCGGCCTCGTCCGTTATCGGCCTCAAAAACTCGGCGCCCGTCCGACGCAGTGTTGGATTCTGATAGAAACTGTTCTCCTAAACAGTTTCTGTTAAAAGAAAGTGATCGGGCCAATCAATTTCTTCAAACCAATGTGGATCGTGGACTCGAAATAATTTCCGATCATGGAATCGAAAGATCGTTTTCCAATCTACATGAAATCGTCATCGGAAACGATGCGCCAAATCGATTGCCGGCCTGCAAGGCAAGGTTCAATCGAAATCCGCCTAAGTCGACTGTGAGAGGAGCCGGCCACGGCGGGAAGATGATGTCAGAAGCAGCTATGTACTATCCTCCGATGTCGTCCGATTTTGAGAAGCTGTCCAGTCCGCTGTTATTTGAAAGGCCTCCTTGTCCGAAGTGGATAAGAAACACGGCTCTGGAGCGTCTGAACTGTCCGAAGTGGGTTTTGGCGATAAGAAACACGGCTCTGGAGCGTCTGAACTGTCCGAAGTGGGTTTTGGCGATAAGAAACACGGCTCTGGAGCGTCTGAACGGTCCGAAGCGGGTTTTGGCGATAAGAAACACGGCTCTGGAGCGTCTGAACTGTCCGAAGTGGGTTTTGGCGATAAGAAACACGGCTCTGGAGCGTCTGAACGGTCCGAAGTGGGTTTTGTGGATAAGAAACACGGCTCTGGAGCGTCTGAACGGTCCGAAGCGGGTTTTGGCGATAAGAAACACGGGTCTGGAGCGTCTGAACGGTCCGAAGCGGGTTTTGGCGATAAGAAACACGGCTCTGGAGCGTCTGAACTGTCCGAAGTGGGTTTTGGCGATAAGAAACACGGCTCTGGAGCGTCTGAACTGTCCGAAGTGGCTTTTGGCGATAAGAAACACGGCTCTGGAGCGTCTGAACTGTCCGAAGTGGTTATTGTCTGCGGCATCCATATCAGCCTCATATCTGTAAGTTCCTCAATCGACTTTTATCACACATTGCAAAAAGGCCATGCATGATTGAAAATTGTTCAGATGATGCCAGCGAAAGTGTCATATAATTCACAAGGTAACGGCCATAGAACGCAACATGGACTTAATGTTGTCTAAGAAGTCGTTCAAAACTCACCAGGGGTGAGTTCTAAAGGAATATGGGGAACCTGTGGTTCATCCACCTGACAGCGGGGCGAGGAAGGATGGCGCCTTCCCGTCAGTGGACTGTCTAATCCAGTGAAGAGAAGCACAGGCTAGTGTCTCTCGCTGGCAGTCCTTGCCAGCTCAAATATGTTTTCTTCTGTCTGTGGGAGACTTTCTAATTTCCGACTTTCGGGACCTAGGAAGAGATTATGATCGGCTCGACGTAACAGCTTCCTGTCACAAATGATTGTTTCTTTCACGGTACTCAGAGTCCATGGTTTTATACCACGTTTCAGACGAAGGGGGCAGGTTGGTCGAAGTGTAGACTGCAGGGGTGTACGAGAACTTCTCAATTTCCTGATACCTTTCACATGAATTCTCCTCAATGTTTAGTGTTCTCCGTTAAAACTACTGAGTTTGACATATTCGAGTGAAATTCCATGGCTGTGAGTGATACCCACAGAAGCTACAAGTTGTAGATTCTTCTTTTCTCATAGACAGTTTTTCCTTACAGAAAATTACGGCATCTCATCTTTGAGACCCTTCGATTTCAACACCCGACCTTCCAAACTCTCATCTGCTAGATATGCAAGAGATGATTTGTTCTCGCTGATACGAAGATAGGAAGGAAAATATTTTGGAATGAAATCACGATAGAACTTACAGTTTGACTGAATTGGGCGTGTCCTGGGGAGAGCTAGATGCTGCCAGGGTTCGGAGCATGCACAGAGATGTTCCACCATTCATTTGGATTAAGAGAGGGAAGGAGCGGATGCTCCATCATTAGGCATCAAAGTCCACAGAGAATTCAAGCACACATGGGACCAGTTTTCTCAAAATATCGAAAAAGGGTCACATAATCTGATCGTATGCTGAAAATTGCAGACTTGTACAGCCTACTTGGTTATTGAGATTCGTACAGTGGTGTTATCCATCGGTTTTTTTTCTCAAATCAACTACAGGTACGCATCACCGTTAAGCCTTCCCACATGTTATCTCCATCTTTTTCATGGTGCTATCGATCATATATTTTTGCTGCGGTGGTATGGTCTCTGAGCTGAAGAGTTGAATACTAAGTTATCAATCCAATGTTCTTGTGCATTGAAATGAAATTGCTCTCCTTCAACAACACATTCGTGAACTGTCTTTTTTTTAACATATTCTTTTGACACACAAACACGAAACGTGGGAATGCTTAAGGCAGGTGACGGCTAATCTCCTTAGGGGGTGACACCCTATCTTTTTGGGGCCCCGTCAGAGAGAGGCATCGGGTGTTCCGTAGTAGCGATTATCGCGAAGGGATCAAGAGAGAGATAACTTACCAGGGACGACTGGCTCGTATGAGTTGTACCGTCTGTTGTAGGGAAGGCTCAGCCCGAACTAATTGGGACTCGGGAAGAGAGAATCCTGAAATCGTAAAGCCGAGGGGCTATAGGCACGTAGTGCGCGGGGAGCGTATTCGGGTATCGTGCGCGGAAATTGTAAAGTTCTTCGGAACCTTCGGCGCTGCTTCCGTAAAGGCATAGAAGTCTCCGTGGGGCCATGGAGGACTCGACCAGGGGGAGAGCCCCAGGGACTTTTTTTTGTCATTTTCTGCCCGTAAAGTAGATACTTCACGGTCCGAGAGGTCAGAAATGGCTTTACGATTTTCGCACACGCATCCTAACGGGGAGAACTCAAGCCTACAGGCTCATGGATTTTGAAAAGGAAGAGTTGTGAGAGACACGTAAAGGACTCAATCCAGCCACCCCAGCAACTATCTAGTCATGGTCATTTAAGTACGGACTTCTTTGGAACATTGTGTGGAGCCCCGGAGGAGACTTCTTTGCCTTTGCCTATACTCGAGTGCTACGCATCTCTCCCCTCACCCTATGGCACCCTCACCCTATGGCACTTTTTTCGTAAAGGCAAAGAAAGTTGCGGAAATGGCTTATTCCCGCGCACGAGTGCTACAGGGAGAGGTGCTACGCACTTTGTGGGTCTGAAGGGCACTAGCTCCCCCGCACCTGCCGGGAGAGGGCGTGCAACTATCTTGAACCGATAGAGGATTCGTTTTGTCGTGTCGGACAGCCTTATGCGAGGAAATCTTGCGCGTACGGTTTGGAGGGAGGCGACTCAAGCATACATTTTATTTTTTTCCCCCCTGCTTCTGGTCCCATAGGGAGACTTCTTTGCCTTTACGAAAGAAGCGCCGGAGGCCGGAAATGTCTTGACGATTTCCGCGCACGAACACTAGAAGGAGAGGGCTGAGTGCTCTTTGGCCCTGAAACTTCAAAGTTTATGCCCACAGGCTCGTAGTGCTCGACAAAAGGGAGAAAGTCTCTGCTAATGGGCGGGTGAATTGCTATTAACTCAATTGAGTTAATGTTACTGGCTGTCAATTTGAACTTTTTGGTATTTTCTGTTTATTTGTTAGATCTGATACTACGCACTGACTTCTCGGTACACTGCAGTTACTTCTCAGTACACGTGTTAGTAGATATGTGCACCTTGCATGTTTATAGTAAGTAGTTAGTAAGCGGTGCTAGTAAGATTTAGATACGTGGATGCATGCATCAGAGTGGATGCATGTATCAAATTTGTTCCTGTGTATCGTCTGGGTATAAACCCGGTCTCATTCCCCAGTTAAGTTATTCCTGTTCAGATCCCCCTTGCACAAGACTGACTGTAACTATCTAATATGATATCAGAGCTTCGGAGCTCTGCGCACTTCTGGCCGACTGTTCGATATGGAGCAGAGAGTTAGACGAGCGAAGAGTTAGACCTCGAGTGTAGAATTAAAGGGGAAGCACAAAGGTTTCAAGCGATTCAAGAGCGTTTAGAGAGGATGACAACTCCAGGGGCCTCAACACGAGGCGTTTGAAAAGAACCCCTCCCCAAGTTCAATGGGGAGTTTTTCCATTCGTGAAATAAATTGGGTTGGATTCTTCGCAGAGAAGATTTGATTAGTATAATGGAGGGCCAGGAGATTAGGCCAAGCACTCCACTTGGATGTGGAACCTGTAGACCAGATTCAGATGCAGGGAGTAAGAAAGATTGGGATGATAAAAATCTCCTATCTTTGGCATTGTTAAACAATGCGCTGGATGATCTCTAGCAACCTCTCGTTGCTCATTGCCCAATAGCAGCTGAGGCCTGGGAAGAGTTACAAAGGATGTACGAATCGCAAGATATTTCCATGCATGTGCATCTCCGAGATGATTTGTATCCTTTGAAGAAACGACCTGATGACACAATGTCTGAACACATTACCAAGTTTTGTCTTCTTCTAAATCAGTTAGCTGCTATAGGGCGGACAATTCCTGAGGACAAGACATACATTTGTCTTCTCAGAAGTCCAACCCCTGAGTACAGTTCATTCGTTCGATGAGGTCGCTATAAGTGTCATTCACGCAATCGTTGATTGCTAGTATTCTTCACGAGGAATCTCACCTCCAAGAAGAAGAGTTGGCGAATGGTATGGCAGCATTGTACACTACACCCAGACATGGGTGGACCTCAACGCCCAAGATCGCGAATGGAGGACACTCTGGGACTTCATCAAGACAACCATCAGTAACTTCTCAGAAACCACCTCTTTTCAGGAAAAACGTGAAGTGCTTCTACAGTCAGAAGCAAGGCCACCTTGCTAACGAGTGCCGAAAGAAGAAACAGGATAAATCTGCTTCACACTCTACAGCAAATGTCCAGCAGTATCTATACATTGCTGCCCTTTCCACAATCGGCATAGATACTGCTTGGTACGTAGACCCAAGCACTACTCAACACATGGCTTACAACAAGAACGACTTTTGTGTCATACACTGAATTTCCATCAGAAGAGTTCGTATATCTAGGCGATGATAGTCGCCAACCCATTCAAGGTAAAGGGAATGTTATCATTTCGTTGAATGATGGTCAGGAAAGGATAATTTCTGATGTTCTGCATGTTCCTGCTCTGAGAAAGAATCTTTTCTCAATCAATCAGTTTGTTATTCACGGAAGGAGTTTACTGGTTCAACCTAATCAGTGCATCTTGAAAGACAAGATGAGTAACGTCATTGCTTAGTGCATCAGTGAAAACAAGCTGTACAGGTTGGGAACGACTTCTTCAAATCCACGTAGTGTTCCTACAACTGCCAATTCGGTTTCTGACACTGTAGAGCACAACACCTACCAATTGCATATGTAGCTCGGCCACATGAGTCTACCAAGAATTCTGCAGATGAAGCAGCATCACATAGTGACAGGGATGGAGAAATGTTCTGCAAGTACTCTTCCCTTTTGCACATTATGTGCATAGGGAAATCCACGAGAGCAAAATTCCCAAGGGAAGGAGCTACTCCTGCTACAGACCTTCGTGGTCTGGTACACACAGACATCTGTGGTCAACTGAGAATACCAACATTCTCAAGACGAAAGTACTTCATCACCTTTATTGATGACTTGTCAAGGTACACTCATGTTTATTTACAATCACAAAAATCTGAAGCCTTTTCGAAATTTCAAGAGTTCAAATCAATGGTTGAAAACCATTTGAATAAGCGCATCAAGGTTCTACGTTCAAATAATGGCTTGGAATATAAATCCCGAGCATTTTCTGACTTCTGTAAGCTTAATGGTGTACACTGAATGTATACCATACCGGATACCCCTGAGCAAAACGGAGTAGCCGAGAGGAAGAATCGCACATTGATAGATGCTGTTGTTGCAATGCTATCGCATTCCCGTCTTCCTCATGGATACTGGGGCGAGGCAATCCACACTGAAGTTTACTTGTAGAACAGATCTCCTTCAAAGGCTCTACCCAATGACAAAACTCCTCATGAGCTTTGGCATGGACACAAGCCGGATCTGCGTCACTTGCAAGTCTTTGGCTGCACTGCCTTTGCACATATTGAAAAAGGTCAGCGAGGTAAGATCAACCACAAAATTGTTGAATGTATATTCCTTGGCTATTCTCTATAGCAAAAGGATATTGATTGCAGCGAAAGGACAATCAAAAAATTATTGAAAACAGGTCTGTCAGATTTATGCCACTTGCGGTTTAGCATCAGCATCTGCAGACTTCTGTTGCTCCACCCACTAAGCATGAAAAATTCGCTCCATTTCGCCCTACCCCATCAATTGCTGATCCAGTTTGCAGATTTCCTCATCCACCGACATCACCAGCGGAACGGCCAGCAGCCGTTGGAGTATTCACACCGATCACTCCATCACCTAGAGTGGGAGCACCATCACCTCCTTCCACTCCCTGTGTGAATCATATTTTTCCAGTTGAAGTATCTGCCTTTATCCGGTTCATTTTGGCCAGACTTATCAGAGGCGCACAAGGAAACAACGAGAGAATCCTCTCTCTTCTACTCCTCTTGCGGAGTTAGTCTGCAACCTGGAGCACTTGTTGGATGAACTCCAGCTTCTGAGGCACTACATCTGAGGCTCCGGCCACAGATACACCTTCCGAAGCAGCTTATTCCTCTTCCCGCACCATCGCCACTATCTTACGAAGGGGGGAGAGAGTAAGAAAACGCGTCGAAAAATTATCACTTTTGGTGGAGAAGAAGAAGAAGCATCAATGTCTCTTTTCATACGAAGAGACTCGTAAAGAGCCGATTTCTTACCAGGAAGCTTTGCAGAATGGTGATTCCACTAAATGGAAGGAGGCGATGGAGGAAGAATTTCTTCCTTGAAGAAAAATCAAACCTGGAAGTTGACAAAGTTACCTGAGGGCAAGAATGTTGTTGGCTGCAAATGGATTTACAAAATCAAGTACAAGCCGGACGGTTCTGTTTGCTGATACAAGGCCACGATGGTAGCCAAAGGCTATTCATAGGTTTATGGTGTCGATTTTTCAGAATCGTTTTCTCCTGTGGTGAAAATAACATCCATCAGAGTGTTAATAGCTCTAGCAGCTCAATACAATCTAGAGCTGCACCAGATGGACGTGAAAACTGCATTCCTGAACGGACGGTTGGATGAAGAAGTCTACATGGCCCTTCCTGAAGGTTTGAATATCCCTTCTGAGAAAAACATGGTGTGCAGATTTAATAAGTCCATTTATGGACTGAAGCAATCCTCTCGACAGTTGTATCAGAGGATTGACTCGTTTTTACTGCAGATTGCCTTTACCAGAGCTAATGCAAATCAGAACGTTTACGTTTACTCTCAGGATAATACATTTGTGTATTTAGCTCGATATGTAGACGATTGTGTATTAGTGAGTGATTCCTTGCGTCTCCTCACAAAGATCAAGGAGAACTTAAAACAGAGTTCGAGATGGTGGACTTAGAAGAGATACATCTCTGTCTTGGTATGCAAGTTGACAAAAATCGTGAAGAAGGGTGGATTCGGATCTCCCAACCACGATATTTGGTTGAAAAGCTTGCGAGGTTCAATATGGCTGACTATAAGCCTATTGATACACCCATGGAACCCAGGATGAAGTTAAGTGTGCTTGACTCTCCTAAGTCAGTGGGAGAAGCGAAGAGATGAAAGATGTTCCATATCAAGCTGCTGTTGGAAGCTTGATGTGGGTTATGGTCTGTACTAGACCCGATATATTTTTTTGCTGTCAGTTCTGTGGCTCAGTTCATGTCAAACCCTGGATTGACACATTGGAAGGCTGTTAAAAGGATTTTCAGATATCTGAAAGGGACTCTCGACTTTGGCCTCGTATTCACGAGGGTTGACAAGCAATCCGGTTTAACTGGATATTCCGATGCGGACTGGGGTGGCTGTATTGACACAAGACGATCTACTTCTAGATATTGCTTCCAACTCAATGGTGGAACCATTAGTTGGACATCGAAGAAGCAAAAATCAGTAGCGTTTTCTTCTACAGAAGCAGCAGAATACATGGCTTTGTCCAAGGTTGGGGCTGAAGCCATGTGGTTGAGAGATTTACTGACCGATCTAGGTTTTGGGCTGGAGTCGACCACCATTTTATGTGATAACCAGAGTGCTATCTCCCAAATAGAAAATCAGAAAAACCACAAGAGATCTAAGCATATAGACATTAGATATCATTTTGTTAGAGATCTGGTCACCCGTAAGTTGGTGAAGCTACTTTATGTCCCAACTGAAGAGATGATTGCTGATATTATGACAAAACCATTAGCTAGAGAAAAGCACTGGTATCATATTCAGAACTTAGGTTTATTAGCTGGAAGTGAGAAAGAGAGAAGTCAGTAGGTAGTAAGTGGGAGTGTTATAATTGATACTACGCACTTACTTCTCAGTACAGGTGTTAGTAGATACGTGCAGCTTGCATGTTTATAGTAACTAGTTAGTAAGCGGTGCTAGTAAGATTTAGATACGTGGATGCATGTATCAGAGTGGATACATGTATCAGATTTGTTCCTGTGTATCGTCTGGATATAAACCCGGTCTCGTTCCCCAGTTAAGTTATTCCTGTTCAGATCCCCTTGCACGAGAGTGACTGTAACTATCTAATAGTTTTCATATCAGTCGATGAGTCTCTTCAACATTATTGATATTGTTGCCGTTCTTCTGGTGATTCACAACAGAGCCGTTCGTTGCCTTGACAATCGATGATGCACCTCACGTAAATATAACGCCCGAGGTGTGCTATCTCATTTTCGCCATCTTTTGTGCTCAGAGTACTGCTTCTTGATTCACAAGATGTTAGCTAATTCTGTGAGGGTAGTTGATAGTTCATGTACAGAGCAAGGTATTAGACTACATTTCATTGTATTCTTAAACTAATGATGCAATCTCGAGAACAGATCTTGAATATACTTAAAGACCATGGCTGCAAGGCCACCTTCTTTGCTATTGGAGAAAACTTGGACAATGATGCGCCGGATCGGCCGCTGTTTACACGCATGTGTAAAGAAGGTATGTTCGAAAAGCACCAGTACGTAACAAGTTAGATCATGTCATGTCGAACAGCCACCGTTTTCTTGATCTGCTCTACATGGAGTTGTCAAACTTTTCCCAGCAGCCATGAACACAATCCTTGTGTATTTGCAATTTTGCCTGCCATGGGCATCGCTATCTGGGCACTGCCAGGAGACAAGCATTTCAGATCGAAGTATCGTGATTTCCTACTAATGCAGTCGCTGACTCGTCGAGAAATGTTGTTGAGTTGCATGCGTTGGTCACCGCAACGAGATCTGAGAAACGAATACAAGGAAGGCAGAAGGACCAAAGAGCTAATGGAACCCGAGTGTTACGTTATGTCTGAGCGTTTCTGTTTTGTTTGATCCTCTTTCGTAGTGGTCCTAATTTGCCTTCTCACAACAGGCCATGAGGTTGCAAACCATACGATGCGCGACTTTCCCAGTTGGCGACTCTCGCGTGTACTATCCTCACTCCGCACATGCTGAAATCGGTCCAGTTTTATCACACGAAACACTGTGTGCTTGTCGTCCTTGTGCTTGTCGCTTGTAAGTATACGGTTAAGTGTGTATAACCTTGAATTGTGACTGGTTGCAGGAAGAGCTTCGTAAAGAATTGAGTGAAACGGATCGTCGAATAAGGCCGATCGGGAAAGACCCTACAGTACAAGATCTGAAATGGTTCCGTCCCGTAAGTGTCAAGCTGGCGTGTACTTGTGTTTCTCAGATAGGAAAAGAAGATCAAGGGACCATTCTTGCGAACCTCGTCATGGGTTGAGGGAAGGAATTAATATATACCTCGCCATTAATATTCTCCTTGTTTCGATTTTGAAATGCAGGGTCATGGCTTCTTTAACGAGGGCATGATAGCCGAGGCCGAGGCTCAAGGCTACAGGGTAGCTTTAGGTTCTATCTACCCATGGGATACTCTGTTTACAGCACAAGGATCGCTACTTTCCCAGTCGATTTTACGTCGGGTAAGGTTCTCATTAAACAAGTAGTTTAGTATTGCCTTCGCTTTCACGATTGGCGTATACCAGCTGAGATAAGGTCTACTCCTATGTTCGCTCAAATTTCAAACAAACGTTTTCTTTGCGATGGATTGCAGATACATCCCGGAGCAGTAATTGTTCTCCACGATCGAGAACCTCAAAAAGAGCAAACCCTCCAGGTGCACATCGTTTGCCAATTTAAATTCAATTGAGTACAATCATATGTTGGGTACTTGCACCGATTCTGCCAACGAGCAATGTAGTTACTGGTCTATCACTGAAGGCACTTCCCCTACTCCCCAATCTGCTTCCCACCGATGGGTTCCAAACCGTCGTAACCTTCATGGCAATGCCGACATTGTACATAGACCTTGCATAGTGTCGACTTTTGCATGTCAAGCCGGGCTTGCATTTGATGTGAAATGAGGAAACTTCTTCCATCTGTAAGAGATGAATTTAAAAATAAAATAAAAAATACTGACTTTGTTCCCTTTCGCTCTAATGTCTCAGATACTGAAGACAATTCTGCCAGAGTTGAAGGCAAAAGGCTACCATGTGGTGACTCTCTCACATCTCCACTCTCTCACATCTCCACCTGTCACCATCTCATCAAGTAGTGAGTCTGATATAGTAATGAAGACAGGTACTCAAAGGTGGTCCTGGTGTCAACGAGTGAGTATGAACGTTGTAATGGATACAGTAAAAGAGACATTTACTCGATGGTGGTCCCGGTTTCAACAAGTGAGTATGACCGTTGTAATGGGTAATGGAGACAGTAAAAGAGACATTTACTCAAAGGTGGTTTGAGTTTGACCCTGGTGAACTCAGTTAACTCAGTTAACTCACTCAAACTCACAGGGTGAGTTTGACCCTGGTGAAACTCACAGGTACTCAAAGGTGGTCCAGGTGTCAACTAGTGAGTCTGACCCTTGTGAAACGCACAGGTACTCACAGGTTATCCCGGTGTCAAAATAATCTTGCGCCCTCAATGAGCTGTCCTCATGTATGCTACTCAAATTCATCAACCTTCTCTTTTATAAGTCTTTATTGATGTATTACAGTATTTATCACAAAAAATAATAGAAATAAAAATATTATTAATTTAAATAACACAGTTTTCATATATAAGAAAATATGTTGACATTTTTTTTAATTTTTTTTTAATGTATTTAAATTTATAAATTCTATTTTGTTTCATACTAATATCTATCCTTTGCATATATTAAACAAGTATTGTAAAAATTAATCTGTCGTACATGTAACATATGAATGTTGCTCCTCAACGAGTAGCAACATGAAAACATCTCGTTGAGGGCTTTGACGATGTAGACGCGTTTGGCATATATACGATATAGACACGATGACATAGATCTCTCCTAGAGTCTGCAGTATTGTCAGTATGCACTATGTAGAAACTAATATAGAATAGCAGTTAATTTACCAACTCGATGGGCAATTAATGTAAACATTTACATACACAACATATTAATTTATTGTGTATGTACTTAATGTGTTGCTCAGGAGTATCTGAATTTAATCACAGGTCATTTTCTGGTTTACAAACTGAGCGTGACATTGCACATGCCACCGAGGTTTATTTCATATCATTTCACTAGTTAATTATCGATTTACTTTTAGTCAATTTCCTATGAAGTAATTGGAAATAAAATATGTTTATAGTACTTATGTACGCAAACTCCACGTTTGCAAAATGTCAAAATATGTCCTGATATTAAATGGAAGGATGCAAAAGCATATTTCAAGATTATTTGTATCACACGGGCAAGACTTGTCAGTGTGCTTTGTAAAGTTCAGAAACACCGCAACTTTTTTTAGGCACGAAGAGGGGAATATTTTCATTACTTTGGGTTTTAAATCTCTTCAGATCCAAGAAGTTTGAATCTGAATAAGCCCTTTGTTTCATTATTTGTCGGCAAAACAAACGGAAAGTGAAGATCTGATAGCTAAGCACATTTTTCCATGGCTATTCCCGGTAACTACCTAGAGGGTAGATCTTTTCTTCATCTTGCTAACCCTAATGTTAACAAATGATTGACGGCGACTAATAGGAGAGGAAGTGTGAAGACTAGGGTAACTGTAAGACGGGCTTCGGAAGTTACGTTATGCGTGCCAACACCAGGTTTGTACCAAGATTTGAAATTTAGAAAAAGCGTGAAATTTGTATCTTACCTCTTTGTCTCCCCTCTCGATAGCTCCGTTGAGAGGAATTCAGTGACTGTTGATGAAGTACACTCAAACGTAAGAATCTACTTCGGAACCAAGTGGGGTATGCTCGACTCGGTAGAGTAAGTCATGTTTCAAGATCGTGTGACACCTTCATTAGGTCAGATCTGATCGGAGATTGAATCCGGGTTGATTGCTGTTTTGATGACAATCTAAAAGTGAGCACTGTCTTTATTAAGGAGCCTTTGCTCTTGTTCGGGCTTTGCACAACTTGGCCAGCAAACCCGCCAGTTGCAACAAGCTTCCAACACCATCAGCTATCCGCATGTGAGCAAAACCCACCTCCTGTTCAAACATCCGCGTAACAGAGCAAAGTGAGGTCTCCGTAGCTGCTTGTACCAAGTCAGAAAACAAACAACGGCAGGTAGGCGGTGTGCAAATACCGCCTACCTGCCGTTGGCGGTATTTGCACACAAATCCAGGACTGACGAATCAGAAATGACAATTAGGCAAAATTACCCTGATGAATTCCAGCTTTAAGTACTCCGCCATGTCATAGTTCTTGACAAGTCGAAACAACGTTGTAATAATATCGGATGCTGAATATCCCATATCAAATAGATGTTTCATTCCTCGATATGCCTCGTCGATGTTGCCTTCCAACGTGTGACGAATCATTGATGAGATCAGTAATGGATGAGGTTGATCACAAACCTGAGATAAGCAATAAATAAAACTTCTTCAGATGGGGAGCAGTCCAGGAGTATTGATTGCAACTATCTTTAATTCGCAAGATCGAGCACTAGTAATCAATACGAGTGACTATACCTGAAACTAAAAGGCGTCCCACTAAAAAGCCCCAATATGACCTGCAGAATGCAAATGTAGTTGGAAGTGTTGCGTGTGAGCAACAATTTATGACCTACTTGAATAAAGCTAGGAGCAAAGCAATGCTATGCAGTCCAGTCCGACACATACGAGTGAACAGATAAAGGGCAGTCATGTTTATGCTAACGAAACAAAAAGACACACAAAGGACATCGAACTAACGGCTAGACTGGAAGAGAAGTGTTAGAAGGTAGCATTATAGTAGTCAGGAAGGTATGAGCAATTGTAGATCCTGTTGATGCTGAATCCGTATATAGAGGCTATAATCAATGTAGAATTGGAGAGTGCATAAACGCCTTCAGTGCCCACCAAGATCTCATCAGACCACCTTTGAGGAATTACTTGTACAGACGCAAGCTCTCATAACTACCTAGTTTCATATGGAGGTTATCGCACTGGGTTTGGATCCAGTTAACGACGACCCGATATCAGGCAATGAAACGCACGAAAGCATAAAGGAACCCGATTGATATATACAGATCAAAAACATCACACTAAGAGAAGAAGAAAAACGAGTGCAGTAGAACTGAAGCGAGAAGCACAAGCCAATGAGGCAGGTGCTTTCCCGACCTGAGAAACAGGACGAGGAAGAAGGAAGCGAATTGATGCAGTTATACGAATGCAGTGTAAAAATGTAAAGTGTAAATTACAAATATTAGCTTAGCAAGACCGAGTACGAATAGTCAGTGCGAGCAGAAGGGGCTACGATGAAAATTAGAGGCCTGCTCAGATAATGGAGTGAATGTTTCTCTGCACACAGCATATGTTATCAGAAGTGAAAGCTTCAAAAATTAAGCAAAATATCTACATGCGAGCAGTAGATGATGCAGTCCATTTTTTCGCTAAAGTGATTCAACAGATGTTACCAACTCATCGGAAGAATGAAGTGTTGATGTTCCCAAAAAGGTAACCAGAAAGGGAAGTCCTAGCTTATACTATATTAATGCTTGAATGAGCTTGAGCAATCCCTTTTTCAAGAACAGGTGTACCCTTCAAATTTTGATGGGCAGTCTTGGCGCTAGGTTTGGATCCGGTTGAAGAGGACCAAGTATCGTTGCTAACAATGGAGGTTTTAGGACAAGACAACGTTAGGCATTCCAGTCCGCAGCAGTCTTAAGTTGAATATCGAAGCAAAGACGTGCTGCGGGCAGCTCACTTACAAACAAAACACCGGAAGAGATTGCAGGATGTAGCATGAGGGTATCCAGGAAGGTACGTACACGTAGTGGTTATGATAAAAGCAATTTTCAGTTGATACACTCCTATAGAAGATGTTCGAACGGCTCGCTGCAATCACGAATATAACAGGAAGTAGGATCCAAAGATGATTTGGAAGTCGAGGCAGTACCTTGAAGACGTTCTCCTGGTTGACAAATTGAAATCCTGAGAAAGTTGCCTGTAAATTATTCAGAGCTTGCCTCATGTCGCCATCTGCAGTAAACACTACTGCTTCCAATCCTTCAGGAATGTATGCTACCTGCATACAAAACAAAACTCAAAATAAATACTCCTGGGCAGTGATATTTTCCTGTATCCAGCTATTATGTTCTAATTTGACATAAGTACCTGGATACAGGAAACAATCATCTATTTGAACTCCATAATGGCTAAGCTCAAGGTCCTCTGGGAGCCATGATAGGAAAGGTAAGGATCACGAATAAAGACAATCCAAATACTCTAGTTTGTCTTCATTCCGTATTCATAGTTACAGCAGAAGTCCAACACCAACCTTTTCTGCTTCAACGACATCGAGGAGCCTGTTAAGTATATCTTGTTCAGAAAGACGACCAAACCTAACAATCGCACAACGACTTTGAATTGGCTCGATAATTTTAGAAGAGATATTGCAAGCCAAAGCAAATCGGGTGGAGTTGGAGTAGATCTCCATCGTCCTTCGCAGTGCCTGTTGTGCTCCGGACGTCATACTGTCAAAGAGACCATAATACAGGCTTAACACACACTGTTCAGAATGAGTGTACCGAATAAGATGCTTACCTAATGCATTCATCAGGGCAGATCTTGCAATCAGAACAAGGTGAATTTTGGAAAGAAAAGCTAAGAATGATGGCAAGATTCTTTGAGGAATGGATCCCACGCTGAAAAAAGGCACGATGATGAAATCTCAAATTCTAACAACATACACAACAGCTGCGGTACCTGTCAGCTTCATCCAACAGAATGATCTTATGACGACCTGGAGGAAGAGTAACTTTTTTTTGCGCAAACATTTTGATCTTGTTTCTGACTACATCTATACCCCTGCATTCATCAGACGATAAATTAATGCGTTGGAAGAGAATCTGTAAATTTAAATTTCATGCCAGTAGGTACCTTCTCGTGTTGCAAGATAAAGCTTGAAAACAAACCTATCATCAGAAGCGTTTAACTCCAACACTGCTTCTTTATAGTTGGGGCCCAAAAGTTCATGCGCCAAGGCCAAGATACTTGTAGTTTTTCCAGTTCCAGGTGGACCCTGACGTCTAGTCAAAGATCGCATGAAACGAGATAAACAAGATGACATCACCACAAACAAAATACTAACCAATGTGCGAGCAAAAAGTGACCCTAAAACTCGAAAGCCCGACACTCATAATAAAGAAACCTAGGCAAAACACTCGGATCAGCTCAATCGACTTGATGGAATTCACTCATGCCTCAATGATAGTCAGAGAGGATACAGAAAATATAAGGTTTGGCATGTTGCCATCCCGTGCAATGACCTGTAAACGCGTAACCGCGTCCTGATTTCCAACAATATCAGCAATTTTCGATGGCCGATACTTCTCCACCCACGGTAAATGGTAATCTTTTCCCCCTTGCGATATCCCTGAAGCTGCCATTCTGCACAGCTAGTTATCACGACCGTCCCAGGCAATGCTATCGAGACACCCAAGCCTTCCTCCACCTTAAATTCGCCGCCCCTCCATAGCTCCGAACCTCCAGCTACCAAATTCACCGAAACCCCAGGAGGATAGGGATTCAAAAACTGCTGACCCGGAAATTACCCTGGAGCGAAATCTTTGTCAAAGCACGCCCTCCAATTCGGCAAATGTGCCAGGAAACATAACGAGCTCTCTTCTAATTCGAATTCCACGACATCCGAATTATGATTCACAAACATTCCATGCACTCCACCTCTCTGCTTCTCCCTCGCTCGTGCTCATGTTCATCAATCTCTCGGTCCTGGAGCTCAGCGTGCATTCGAGCGTCTCCGTGAAGTCCAAAGATCAAAAGTATTTTGCGCGGGACTTTGCTGCGAGAGTTGCCCACCTCGCGGGACGCCTTCGGCCTTCGCGTTCGCTGCGCAGTAATGGCTTGGGGACGCGGCAAAGATGCCAAATGGCCACTACTCTGTATACGATTCTAGACATGCAGTAATAACCTTTTTACTCTTATCGCTCTACTACTTCTTCTCTCAATTCCCCTGCTAGCATCTAAGAACTTCATTTACCACAACTCAACTAACGGTATTATATGTATCGAAGTAAACTTATCATAAACATATCTTAAATCATAACTAGGTTTTAGAATAAAAAATAGTAGTATATCAATACAGAATGGTAATTCCAATATGTCATTCCTATTTCGCTTATAAGTAATTGATGTTAACATCAACAAATATGAATTGCTTCAATAGTGGCACTAGTCATAAATAAATGATGAATTGATCAAGTGATTCTACTGTAATCTTAGCATTCTCAAGATCTCACACAAATGCAATCAAGAAGAAATTTCTCATCATTGAACAAATGGTGGAGTAGCGAATTTATGTGTTCGCTACTCCACCATTCATCTAACAAAATTTCAATATGAATTCTATGAAAGATGAAAGTTAAAATTGAGAGAAAACAAATTATCTAATGTATGCAACATATCATCATTCTATATGGTTTTATGTTACTTTATTTATTCCCACCAAAATAAGGATCTAAAAGAAATGTGACTGTAACGGTGATTGTAAATTGTAAAATTGAGTTTTCAATTCTCAATTTTGTGAAATTTTGTGAGACATTTTTAAAAAGGCCATTGCGTGAGATTCTAGACCATGAATGGCGCAAAATTTTAAAAAGTTATGCTAAAACCGAACGTAACAAATTTTTGAAACTTTACTATCAATTTCAATTCAATGATGTTCTATAAAACTTTATTTCATTTTGCGAAGTGTAACAAACAACATCATAACTGAAATTAATAGAACTTTCATCTTTCTTAGTAAGGATGAACCTTGTTAGAAAGAGATTCCATAGAGTGTAGCTGTTTCACTCTCATCTCTATTTCTTTGAGCTGTTGGAAGTATAAATTTGATCTTCTTGTGGATAGCATACTATTTTGTTGACTTATCTACTACTAGGGATATAATTCAGGTAAGTACATGAAAAAATTACAAGAGTAGATCCATTCAATATGCTTTGACTATTTCTGCAATATTTCTTGGATGAACAGCTCAGCCTAATAACCACAATGTTCAGAAAAAAGCTCTAGAGTTTTGTACTTGGCCAAAATGTTGACGTTTTTTTTGCAAGTGCTTGTGCAACTGGAACTCACTGCATCTCGTACATGGGGTTAAAAAACATCAAAAGGGCTTAAGTAATGGAATTTTTAATACAGCTCGGATTCAAACTAATGAAATTGATATAAAAAGCCTTGGATTCTCAACTATTGTTGTTCCCTCCAAGTTTAATATCTCAGCTCTGATACAAGAAGTGTGCAACAATAGACGTGCCAGTATATGTTGGAATGAAGTTGTGTGACACAAACGCCAAATGAAAGTCTAAAGGATGAAATTATCTCTGCCTAAAAACTTCAAAATCAACGTGACTTCAATGGTGTTCAATACTACTCAATTCATTTAGCAAAGTTTTAAAAAATAAATTCCACTCAATAGGATAAAGATTAAAAAGATTCAAGTTTTGAGAGTGTTTTATTCTTTGTCATTTATAACATATTAATGGAATCATAATATTAATTTTAATTGACATTTTTTCAAAATTAATAAAATCAATATAAGGTAATTTTTTATGCAATTTATATTTATAGTAAATAAACTCACATATCATTATTAACATAATATTCAAAATAATCCTTAAAATTAATTAATTATTTTACTGTTACAAAAATTAATTTAAATTAAAAAAATATTTATGCGTATGAGTATATATTATGATTATAAAAACTTTTTTGCATCATTCTTTGTCACAAGCTCAATGAACATTTATGATTTAGTCCATTTCATATATAATTGAGAGATGATTGTAAACATTATCTAGCATTTTGAAAATAAATGAACGTAATTTAATTTCATAATGTAAATCTAAAATTTATTTATATTTTTTAAATTAGAATTATTCATATGGAAATCCTACTTTTAGCATATTTCAATCATCAAATTATTTTTTTCATGTGGCTAACATTGTATATAGTTTTAAATCTATCAATTATCCCTGAATTTTGAAATATTTATGATTTGAATGATTGTAATAAAATTTTTGAAATCTAGATTCAAATGAGTATTGATATAGCTTGAACTATAATTTTGATTAAAAAAATTATATGAAATTTATAAAATAAATAAAATATTGAAAAAATAACTAAATTGAATAAACACAAAATATAAATTTTTTTGCTTATGGCTATATAAATTACACATATATATAATTATTAATAAATATTATATATTTTATTTATAGATGTATTAACATGCATTATTTATTTGAAAAACTATACTCTCTTGAACAAATATTCAAAAAGGAAATATAAAGAGTTATCAGCAATAAATCTTGTACAAAATACCAGTAAGGATGGATTTTCTGACAAAAAATATTAAAAAAAATAAAAATAAAAATTTACAAGAATTTAATTGATATTTTATTCTTCAACATGAAATAAAATTTGCAAAGTTTGGTTGATAATAATAGATCGGATAGATGTATTGATTTAAGTTTCAATACAATATGCACTTTTTTCATCATATGATTATACTAATATTATTTTTATTATATAAAAATTGTAAAATGTTCAATTGCGCACGTTCATACACCTAGATTAAACTTCTTTATTTTATTCATGTGAGCATAATGTTTGATAATTTTAAGTGAGTCAAATTAGGTTACTTTGCAATGAAAAGTTTCTCATAACGTTTTATGATCATTCTATTTTGAATTTTGACACACTTCTTGTAATTTTTAATTTTTTTTCAAAATTTATTTGACTTAATATGATTTTTATTCAAAAATATATAATATTGAATTTCGAAATTATTTTAATCATGTATAAAATATTTTTTCAAATTGATTCATGACTCTGATTTTCTTGTGATATATATATATATATATATATACACACATTTAGCACAATCAACTTGACAGATTCTATTGGAAATATATCATACAGTTCTATTAAGATTAGAAATGCTAAAAAGTTATGATAACATAAAATCGTCGATCCCGCCACTTATCGGCCCCTCCTGTACTACTTTAGGCCTAGATCACTTCAGTTACAAAGCCTTCAAGTTGCCCCGGTGCTTCAATCATCTTCTCATGCTGCTGAGGTATGATCGCAAGCGGTCGGTCCACAATCCTTTGTTGACACGATGCCCCCTCACAACGTTCAAGATCACGAGCACGCACCTGGATCCCTGAGAAGAGATGCAGCCCCGACAGTGGACTCGAGGGCAATTTGGGTCAATCGATCAGGAGTCTTTACTGCCGAAGGAGTACTCAGCAAAGTAGAAGAGATTATTTCCACCGACATCTTCCGTTCTGTGGTCTGGAGACACAGACAATGACTGAACGGGCACTCGAATTGAAATTCCAGCCATCGAACCTGACGAGCTCCCGACTTACCATCATCTACCGATTTGCGCAAAAAACTCATCGTGTACATACTGCTACTACCACGTTTGACAATGTTCAACAACCATCCACCCTTTCACGTGACCTGTCGATTCTCCCAATTTTGCCCCGCCCTTCCCCCTCAACGCATTCCGATCGTCGCAACTCCAGATTAACTGAATTGATACCGCGACACCGTACACACCGACCCCGGGCTCTCCCCTGGATGCTGCCAGCACTTCTTGTTTTCTGCAATCTTGACCTCTTGAATTATTCAAGACAATCCAATCTTGCTGGTCATTAGTAGGGTTCGGAATCCTGCACTCACCATGCAATTTAGATTGTAATTCCGCGGCTGGGAAACAAAGTTTTGAGTTCCTAGCTTGCGTGCACTTCAACGCGGGACACGCAAAGCCACACCTCCCGATTCGTGCTTCCTTTATATACTTTCGCTAACGTCCGATTCGTGTCCGAAGCCACGACCAATTGAACATACGGCGGAAACTGATCTTTCAAGGTAATTCCTAGCACGATTGCACTGGAGCTCTTTAAAATTGCAAATTCAACAGTCGACGAACTCGGCAAAGCGCCACACTCTTGCCGGTCTGTATTGCAGATGGGTCGAGCGAAAGCGATGACGAGGTGCGTGCAATTTCGCATGTATTGAGGGTGATCTGGTGACACAATTGTTACCGAAATCAGTACACCGTCGATCGTCTCTGTGCTCGAGCTGTGACTACCAACAATGACTTTGATACAAATTATTGCGAAATTTTAGGAGAACACAAGCACAAACACCGCATAGCCGAGAAATACTGTCAAGATGTTCAGCTCTTACGTTTCAAGAAGTAAACGGCGTTCATCATGTAAAATTTGCCAATTTTTTTTCAAAACATTTATCCAACCGTGATTGAAATCAATAGGAAAATCAGGTACTTTTCCACAGTTTTTTTTAAAAAGTTGACTAAATTGAGAGTCTAATTTTATAAAAGTGATGTCAAGTTTCCTCAATCAGCTGAATCGAAAACATATATACGGTTAGACTTACTCAGATCATTTTCAATACAAGATAAATATTTATGAGCATAATACTGGAATATTCAACCCTGTTTATAGACGTTATGCATGTTGTATTATGCTTCTGACCATATCCTAACTTTAGACTAGCTGGTCAAAATTTCAAATATGTCATGTTTATTATTGTGACATTGTCGTTGAATGTAGATATGCACTTGTTATTTTACGTCCCGTCTGACTGACGGAAGTTTCTACATGGTAATCTAATGTCGGTCAAGTCAAACAAGGTTCTCTACGTAAAGCACTGACCAACTTTTCTTGCATCTATAATTCCATGTCTCCTCCGAGGTCTTCTTAAGTCTACGGTAACCCTAGTGGCCCTTATATCTATAAGGAACTAACAATTGATTATGAAGTGAGCATATCTACTGGATCACTTCCATCGAAGTAGGGCTATATACAAAATTCAAATTTTTTATATCATGCCTCCATTTTTCTTTGAAGTCCTAAATGCACATGAATTGTAAAAATGGACATGAATAGTTAGACATCTGGGGTATCATCCAACTCTTCTGGTCTGATCAAATGTGTCCACAATTTTCTTGATGTCTGTCGAATACCCTCTGGATTTGTTACAAGAGGTATTTGAACATCCCATAGAAGCACTAGGATATTTCTGACTGGAGCATCTGCAAAAAGTTGAGAAATATCAGATATTAAAGTTTTATCTTTAGCAGCTCAACAATCGTGAGAATGCAGTGCACAAAATTCAGTTCTTTTAATTTGTGAATTGAGTTACTTCAATAACCTTCGAATATTTACGGCAAGTTCTGGACTTTTTGGTAATCAAGAATATCACCTTTATGCACTCCTCAAGCCATTTGATGTAGTTGACTGTTCTCTCTAGTATTTCATCTGTGTGTAGTGTACGCTTTCCCTGCATACGTAGAATAATCTGAGGAAGGATAAAAAAACTACTACAACATTTATTTTTCCTACTTTCATGGACTTTTACTTCCAACTATGGAATTGCACATATATTCGAAAACTTAAGAAAACCACTACTTGCCCACTCAAATTCATGTACTAAACTCGGTTCTAACCGATCAATTATAACGCTGTATGGATTAGAACGCTAGGCCCACCTTTTTTTTGGTAGGATATGGCAGTTTGGCCTCTAGTATTTTCACTCTTTCAGCAATACGAGATCTCCTCACCTGTGGGTAAACAGCTTAGCGAGTCATGTGCAGAAAATTGAACCGTTATGTTTATGTCTAAGCACTACCTGAGGAAAGATCACAGCTACATAAGAATATCGTAACCTGATTATATGAGGAAAATTCAAAGAGATTCTTTAATATACGTGTAAAAGAAATCAGACATTGTCTTACTCGTTCTGCAATACTTCTGGGATGAACAGCGCAGCCCCGAGCTGCCCGATAACTGCAATGTTCAGAAAAAAGCTCTGGATCTTTGGACTCGGGCGTGGTGTTGAAGTTTTCTTCGCTGATGCTCGTGCAACTGGAACTCACTGCGTCCTGTACATGAGATTAACAAACATTAACAGGACTTCAGTAATTGGATTTCTTTGATAGAGCTCGGATACAAACTAATGGAACCTATATATAAAGCCCTTCGGTTCTGCATTGTTAATTTTCCATCCAAGTTCCGTATCTCCGCTCGAGATCACTTCAGCCATATTGCAGGTAAGTGTGCAACAATAGACGTACCCGAATTCGTTGGAATGAAGTTCTGTTTACGCAAACGCCAAATGGAAGCACTAATCTCTGTCTAGCACTAAACTTCAAAATTGTGTTCAATACGACTCTACTTCATTTACCGAAGTCTAACAACAAACATCGTACTCAAATTCATACGTAGGTTTCATCTTTCTTGGTAAGGACTAACCTTGTTAGTAAGGAGATCCATTGATTGTAGCTGTTCCACGCTCATTTCCTTACTTTCCTTACTGTTTCTCGGAACTTTCGTGAGTATAGATTTGAACTTCTGGTGGATATCATTCTGCTCAGTCGGCTTGATCCGAGATGCTTCTCCGTAGATATTTTTGGAAGACTGAACGACTACCCTTTCTACGTGAACATTATTTGACCTTATATAGCTGCCTTCACATGATACTTGATGATCGATAAATGTCTTGTTTAGATTGAGAAGAGTCGAGTTTCGAGAGTGTTCAATATCTTCGTCATATACATCAGACATCTTCAGACTCTCCTTATTTGGTACTGATAGATCTCGACCGACAAAGGGTGTGTTGTCAGCAAGTATCTCAGATTCGTTTCTTGTACCTGTGTAGTGGGCATTAACGTTGGCATCAACCCTTTTGATTTTCACGTCCAGGTTCGATGGGTACCTGCTACTAGTGATATTGTTCAGGGAAGTCCATGACAAATCACCAGGAGTAGACCTTGCAGGCAATTCAGTATGCTTCTCTGAGTGCGATGTCGCATGTTGGAGCACACGTGAGCGGTCCATCTCCCAGCAAGTAGTTTGTTGATTGGTTAGTGTTCCACGTGAATCATAAAAGTTTTCAGAAAGCATGAGACATGGGACATATGAAGTGTCCCTGTTTTCATCTTGGGAGAGACAAGTTGTAGATCCCATAATCGGACTTTCTGGTATTTTCTCCTCAATCCATGGATCTTGACCTGAAGTTTCCCTTGTTGCAAAATGTTTACATTTCCTGTCAAGAAAGGTGCGTGAGAAATATGCACGAAATCAGTGTCTACGTTACCTGCAAAATATGAAATTGGACTCTTACGCTGAAATACATTGTATGGTGTTCAGCTTCAATCTTCTGTAAACAGTCAATGAAATCTTTCAACATTCAGAACGGATAGACATCACCTTTCACTTTTCCCCCGAGTAAATCATTTCAATTTGATGCTAACGTTTTAAATGCTACACCACCTACGTGTTTGAACGGTATTATTCATACATAACAGATTCTTACATGGAACAAGTATCACCAAGCCTTAACTATCGATCAAATTCCTCCATTCAAACAGTGAAAATTGAAAAATGCGAAACTAGACCTGACAAGCAAGTCAATGTAAAATCCGGGCTACGTACATGTCGGAGGAAGACGTGTCTGCATTAGCGTAAAACGCAGATGTTGACGCTTCAGCAGATGCAGCGACCTCTGGAGGTTTTAGACCATCCATGATGCTGAAGATATCCGACTAAGATGTTTGCTATGCAGTATCTAGAATCTGCTGTCTTCTGCCGATGTAGACTTAGAAAGCTCGAGTCCTCACAGCAGACGCTGCAGACATGTAATTGTTGGAGAAGTTCATTGGCTTCCGCTCCGCGTGTATAGTAGGACCGATCCAATGGAGAAAGCACGTACAAAGCTCTCTGACAAATAGTTTAACGACAAAATTGACAATCAGAAACCTCCGAGCTCCAAATTTAACAAGAGGGCAATGCGGCTCCCTCCTCCGTATGATCCGACTGAGGTTGACAACAGCGCAGTGGACGAAGCAATGCAGCTTCCAGAGCACTAGAAAGAACCAAAGCCTACAACAGCGAGTACGATTCAATCAACAAGGATGGAAGTGTCCTCGTCCGACACTATTTCGCTGAAAGTTTAAAATGTCTTTGAATCTGAGATGAAAAGAGAATTGGATTCGGCTTATGAAGTCGAGAGCAGGCTTCACAGGGACACTCGAGTTGATTGGCGAATTTACGCCCCGCTTTCTCAGGACGCTGTCTGCCGTTGGGTGACAAACTTTCCTGACCTCTGCCCTCCGCAATTTGAGGAAGCCAGCTTTGGCTGCCTTTCGTGGCCTGACTTTGACCGTAGATTGCATTGAACGCAATCTACGTTTAAACATCAAAATCCTATTATTAGATATACGTACTCAGTTCTTTGTAAACGTTGAGAGTATAATACGGTTACGCATGTCAGAAAGAAACTTGCTAATAAACGGCCAAGAAAGATGATATCATCTCCTCAAATTATCGACATCAAAATGGAATATGTAACTCGTCCAATTTACGTTGATGGTTATTTGCAACAGAATATACAGTATACGTTACGAGTAAACCTTTCCCTAATACGGCTCACTGGTGCTATCGGCTGCCTCGCATAGTCTTTGGGTTTGATCGAGCTGAGTAGGCAATTGGAAGCCCAAGCTTTGCCTGGTGGCACCTTTCTTCCAGCTAATGTCCTGCTCATTCTGGAATCGCATCTGTTGTTGATTTTGAAGGTCCCCTTTGATTCTGTTTTCATTCCAACTGCGAGGAATCGTTCGCACATCTTCCAAAGGTGTTCATTTTGTTTGATCAATTCTCCTGCAGAAACTTACCAAGAGTCCACTTAGTGAATTTTGACCAAGAGGATTCTTGGTGAAATTTCGGCATGAGAATTGATCAGGTAGTTGTTCAGAATGAGTGCAAGTAGAATCAAATGTTTAAATTAAAGTAGTATTTTTACAATTTAAATGAAATATGTTGTTGTCACAGCTTCTTACTGTCCTATTCTAGGATATATCGGAGGATTTTCAGAGTTGCTTATGGTCCAACCCAACAGATCTAGTAAAGAGTAGTTCTCAGATTCTCAGATACATAGATTTTCTTTGCAACATGCTAGATCTGCATACCGTTATTGACAGAATGGATTATATAAAACAAACTGCATGAGGATCTTGTATCTTGTCTCCCGTTTCTCTTGAATTATGAATATTTAAAAGATATTCGACTTCCAAGTTCTGGGAGAGTGCACATTTGCAGTTTGTTGGTAGTCGGATGTGAGCCGCATTTGCAATATATCTTTAGCACTACAATGATGTTTTTACTTTATGTTGGGGCTGCTGAATAACCAACTAGATGGCACGCAGAAGATACTTCGGAACATACGTCAAAATTTTCAAAAAATAAGGATTGCTGTGATGCTTAATTTGTTTGGAGACAGTTAGGTATACCACCGCCACTTATTTGCTACCATGTATCCATGTCTCTCTATGCATATATGGATCTAGACTGCTCCAAGACTTCCAAATTTCATATACAGTCGCATCTTACATATACTGTGCTTCGAATGTGAGTTCATTAGATCCATATGCTCAATAATTGCTACCCATACAAAAAATATAGCAAGAATGTGAAAGAAACTAAGTTGCCACCGATTAGATCTGATTGCATCATACTCATAATGTGTGAGGAAACGAAGTAATATATAACAGAATTCTCAGTGTACAGGAGACCATGGGAAGCTTGATGCATCTTGCTCTACTCTTAATCTCCTCAGGTAAAGTGCTGCCACTTCTCTTGAACGTGGCTGCAAACTGGATAATCTATTAAAGCTGGACATCTCAATATCTTTGTCGACAATTGGTGAAGGACGACGTGATGAAGGCCCATTGTTAGAGCTATTTCAGCATTTTCGGTCGAAGAGATTGTGCACGCACACAACATATGATATAACAAATCTCCCTCTGGAACAAATATCCACCTCATAAGTGCTTCGTCATCAGTTTCTGTCAGTCTTTACCGATACCTGCAGAAACCATACCGCTACGTAAATAATCAGTAATTTTCTTTTCAGACTCATGCAAAGTCTTATACGCTCTGTTATGCTTCTACGAATCTAGTCTAGTAGATTAATACTTTCTAGTTATATCGAAAGAAGAATACAGTTCAAAGCAGGAAACATCTTTTATAATATAAGAGCATTTGAACACCAGAGCAGTAGCATTTCCAGGATTGTGACCTTGCACCAACAGGAGATCTCGGATCAGACGTCGCAGCTCTTTGTTTTCCACGTGAAGAATGCCCACCTGAAAGGTTGACTAGATCAATTCGAGTTTCATCTAGCTCAATAAGTTGAGAATTACTCTAGAGAAAAGTTGTGGCTTTCAGGAGGACTAGCATGAGAAATAAGTAACGAGCAACACCAAATCAAGACCAAAGAGTATGTGTTCATTACTTCTCTCTCCGCTGTCAACAAGTTCCTCCGACATTTGGCTAGTTGATGCACTAACACCTGAACTTGGTGTGAGGCCTTGTCCAATTCTGAACTGGATACGTCTTTCCTGCTCATGTGTAGCAGCACGCAGATCGATTAGAGCATTTTTTCGTAATTGAAGTATTTCCATATTACAATAAGCATAACGCAAACTGCAGGAAAAAAAACCATTTGATAATCAATGCAGATTAAGGAAGTTCAGATCTGTATTGATGCATTCGTACTTATTTTTTGCCGATTCTTGGTGGCGATCATGATGTTTGTGATTGACATTCAAATGATGAGAGTACTGGTCAACTTTATGTACTGATGGGATTTTGTTGACGCCATCTTCTCTAAAGCAACCTTTTCCTTCATTGGTGAAAATTGTATCCATATCATTTACTGCCTGCACAATATATTTTTTCCTCAGGGAGTTGCTATTATCCGTTAGCGTCCATGCATGGCGTATGGACTCACTTTGGACATTTCCTGGAAGACTATGAATATACATTTCGTCTGATTCCCATCTCCGAAGGAAGCAAACAACCTGGTGGCTGTATTCCACGGTTCTTATAAAATCTCAAAGCTGTCATGAGATTTTGAAATTTAACGACCATGTAGAAGGCGCTCCAGGGTTGTGGCCCTCCAGGCTGAATAACCTCTGAAGAAAGTCAGGTTATAATATATTCAATATAGATGAAATAGAGAGAAAATTACCGTTAAAAGAAATACTAGCAAAGATTAAAAACATAGGAATGAGCATGTAAATTTGCTCATGAAGTTCCAAATCGGCCAATGCTTTTAGTGTGATGCTATGTATTTGATAGTTTGATGCTCAACTAAATTATGTTATATTGATTAGCCGTATACATATGTAACTATTATCTCCTCACGAAACTCTTGGAAATCGCAGTGCACCCAGGTATGCATGAGAAACACCGAGGAAAATTCGAGGACAGTTTGAAGACAGTTTGAAGACGAGCTTAGTATTCAAAATTGGAGTAAAAAAGCGGTGATTCAGGTATAGCTGCAGTTGGTTATTTCAGGCTTACCTTCTGAAGAGCTGGCACTGTGCCAGCAGATTGAGTTGCAGCTTGGACGATAGAAGAGAACTTGGAACTCAGGTTTGGGACCGAGGCATCCTCCTCGTTGGAATCATCAATAAGGGCCAGATCCCGATCATTCTGTTCGCTGGTGATGGCGATTTGGTTGTCAATCTTAGAACTCATGAAATTCTCACTTCTCATAACTACTGTCTACCCACATGGTAGACAGTAGTTATGAGAAGATTTTGTTGGTTTCTTGTTCATAGAAATAATGTGATTGAAAACAAGGCAAATCGTTAGCTTTTTAAAAAAAAGAACTTATTACCTGGAGTAGCATAGGGGAGACGTTTCGAAGTTCACCTGCATATCTTGTTTCAGTTCCTTATCCGTTTGATCAGTATCATCGGCATGAAAACTCAGCTTCCGACATATATCATGGGAATCTTGGAGCATCTGTTTCATCCTCTCTTTTGCCTCTGCAATGCGGAGTTCTATATCGATAGAAGCAGCAGCGGACGAGGTTTGGCTTGAGAAGTGTAGAGGACTGTCTCCAGGGGCCAAATCTAAGGAAATTTCTTCCACCAGGTTTCTCATAGACTTTCCTTTTTCGTCCTGATAGCCGCCGATTTCATCCAAATTTTGGACAAAACGCTTCACATTCTCAACTTCATCCATGTGACTTCTCACAGCTTTCTGCACAGTTTAATCTGACAACTATACGTAGTCTCCTCTTCTTTGTGACTTATCTGCAACATAAGACATCACAAATTCTTCAAGAACAATTTGGTAATGTTTCACGAAGCGCATCCGTTATAGATCGAGTATCTATAGATTCGATCACTATACGGAGTTTTCAGAAGTTAGAGTTGAGACAATCACCTGAAAAAGCACTGTGAACCTTCGAAGTCAAACGAGTTCGAAATTTGCGACATCGACAATTTCAGGGCTGCTCGGCGCAGGCAGACTGACAAAAGCACAAACAAAAAGTGAACGAATGTCAAGAACTGATGGCAGTGGCCTGGAACTTATATAGGAGACTAAAGTGAAAATCTGTGTTCGCTTTGATGAAGTACAAACCTTCATTGAAACACCCTGCCTGCCAGACTCCTACGTGCCACGATAAATCTCTATCTTCAGTTCAAGATTCTGTGAGCAAGAGCTACATCGATTTAGGAGGTCCACCCGAGGCTCGTCACAACAAGCCATCCAGGCGACCCTTAGGAGCAAGAAGGTCGATCTCGGCATCTCAAGTCCCCTCTGTTTTCAAACGAGATCTCATTTGAAAACAGGTGAAGATCAGAGGCGCAGAGGGATCTTGTTCAGGACCGTCGATCTTGTTTGTTCATCGCAGTTCATTGGGACTTCGGGCGCCTGTGGTATCCCCTTACAACCCAACGGAACCTGATATCTTCAGCGTACTCGATTCGAATTCAATTGAAGTGGATGCATTGTTTTCACTACAACAGACTTGTTGCAGTTGCAGTCCAGTAAATTGTGTTACTTCTGAGAGGTGTCTATGAATCCCCTTTTTGATGAGGAAAGGATTTGGAGTTGGGAACATAACTTGTGGGAGTGTGCTTGACTGGCCAATCACCAGAATAGTCAAATTTGTTTGTACTTACTTGGGAACTTGTATGCAATGTTGCCACAGTGGCATCATATACTAACGTTGCTGTTCTGCATATTTCAAAATCTCCAATGGATTCATGTATATACTCTTGATTGGCCTTGGCGAGTTGGCTTATGTCAAGCACAGCCCTACTGTGCGTTTGGGGCTACTATCGATGTCCTGAATGTAATTTATTTGGTACACTGAAAGAGCCCAAAGGCTTGAAATTCAGGTGATTACCTGATATTTTCCTCTACCGCAAGGGTATGTCATTCTATGTGTGTATTCTATTATAATCCTTACTTGGTATGCGGTGTATTGATGTATGTAAACAATCATGTTAAAATTGAAGAAACAAATTTCCTGGAATGTAGCACAGTTTTATCTGTCTAAAATGTTTCTAGTCGGGAGTCACTGATTTTGAACAACTTTAAACATATGAAGCGTTCTGCAAGTAGCGTTAACATGGAAGTTTTGATTTAAGAAGTTGATGATAACAAGTTTGCGCTACGGACCAAATTTAGATATACTTATTGATTGATACATGTATATATATAATGTATTCCGTCAAATAGTATCTGTAAGAAAATGCTGTAAAACATATGAGCAAACTGAAAATTCTTGATTTTTCTTCTAGATTTTATAGATGACATTAAGTATATTCATAAAGATAGTTAATTTATTTTTCAAGTACACCATTAATCCAATACAATATCTTATCCTTAGATTGCTTATGCAAAAATCGTACCATCCTAAGATAGCACTTCCGTTAAATAGGTAGATAAAATTATTTTATTTTCAATTCTTAAAATGTTAATCACGGAAGCTTTCAACTTATCGATACTTGAAGCTTACAAAATATTTTACAAACAATATGATATGTACTAATACTTCTGTACTGATTATAGAGTTTAGTAATTTAGGAGTTACTAACCCCTAAAGACTTAGACTTTTGGTAGATATCAAGATTGTATGAATCTCACAGCATTAACACACTCTTTTGCTTGTTCAAGAGTCGAAAGTGCGCTGAAGACGAACTTAATCTATTTCTTCTGGGCGACATTATGTGCGTGTAGTACCTCTTGTCGTACTGAATTCTGCCTAATATGAAACTGAAACTTCTGTACGAAAATCATAGGTTTCCTGGAACTGGGTGAAAAGAGCTATGCAAGCACAGAATAGAACAAAATATAATTGGTTGTGAAATGCGGAGAGCACGACATTCAAGCATGCATCGTGTTTGTCAACTTAACAATTTTCACATTATTTTTCATGATGGAATATGAAAATAATTTTAATGATCAGATTCATCGGCCAATGTGAGAAATTCTATTTCAACTTGTTATAAGATTTCAAGCCAAATTCCTGAATATTTTTTCGAAATTCAATGAACATAACGAAACCGAAAGGCCTCTAACCGTGCATTCTAAGCTTAGAAAAGCTGCCGCTTCACTTAACGCAATATCCTCAACCAGCTGGCCTAGTTTTGTAATTCTGCTTCTAATTCGTCAAGTAGAACTTTCAGATCAGACTCACCACATGCATAGTCCTGGAAAGCATCACGTTGCATGCTTCGACTGCTGTTACTTCTCGAAGTCCGGCCTCACAGTCATGCCATTCCGAGACGTATATGTCTGCTGTTCTTTTGTTTGCATGGCTGCTCGCTTTTTGACGATGTATGAGCATGGTTCCTTATTGACACTTTGTACATCAATGGATCCGCAGCTCTTCAACGTTCTTTGCCGAAGTAGCTCAATAACTTATTTCACACGGCGAATTCTCCTCTCTCATCTTGTGTGTGAGATGGAAAGCATCTGTCGGTAAGAACTTCCACATTTGAAAACTGTTTGAAGTTGACCGATAGTCAAGCTCATAGTCTTCCTAGCTCGTATCTTTCCTCACGAAGTAAGTACTCTGTTTCCCCAGGAAGCAAAATCAAGCTCACTATACTTTCTAACAAAATATATGACCTTCAACATCTTGATTCTTGAATATAATATCATACCAATTCTCCGTCCACATAGGCTCAGACTTAGAAACTCGTGCTCCACGTCTACGAGCATTGAACCTTACCCTCGCGTGGCAAAAATGCTCCTTCGTGAGCTACGTATGCAAACCTTGCTCGTATAATTTTGCAGCTTTATAATGAATTAAATACTTCAAAATAATTTGGCACCATATTCTGATTTGACCTGATATTCGAATGAAATCTAGACGTAAATTTATTGCAATCTTATTCAATTTTTTCCACAAAGGATTTGCACAAAATTAGAGACTCATATCAGTAAATTTTTACCTTACACCGCACATATTACTTACCTTCAACAATGCAAACCTCATAAGCGGTACAGAAATATTTCTCACAAGTAAATCAGAAATAACAATTCTAAAATAATCACCAAAAAAGGTTATATATTATTTTTTACAAATTACTTAGTGACGTTGAAAGTAAACATGTACTTGATTGCAAAAATGAACATGGGAACACGGTTCTAAAACTTAGATGTGCCACAAATACTATGCCTAGACAAGACACCATTTATCACAATAAAACTCGTGTTCATTACCATAACCATGGACCATAGATTTAAAAAAAAAACTTTAAATTGGCCAGTGTAGCACTTTGACTGACAGATGTAATATTTTAGATTTGAAAGGAATCATTAAAGAATTAAGACAACGGGTATAAGATTTTAAGATTAAGGTCTCCGAACATTGGTGTGCATTTCTTTGCGTCATCAACAGCAAAACCTGTTCTTTTTTTGTGATTCTTAATTGAAGTTATGAAAGAAGTTTAAGACTGTTCTGATTGTGCAAAGTATTTTTGTCTCATTTTCTCGTCTCCGCATTCAAATTTGTTGGAGAAATTTCACGGACTTTTCTTGACAACTTCCTCTTGAGATGCAACCAGATGAATTTTCTCGAAATGGGAATAATGACCTCAAGAGCAGGGACAGGTATATTCTGAAAATGAAGGCAGACTTTAATGTGGGAAATTGATGCATAAATGTTTTTGGATACGGGTGGAAAGTTGGAAAAGATGCATTTTGAGGATATATTAAAAAAAGGAAAATAGGAGTAAAACAACTAGATATATAGGTATTCAGAAGAGCGGTTCTATCGTAAGTTTTTCTGTTCCAAGCGATTAAGATTAGAATCTAATCCATTTTACTTGATAAAGAAACACAAGCACTGAATCTTCAATCATGTGAGATATTTAGGGACTACAGTTTGTTCCTGACGTTCGGTTCTACAAGGGATATCAGAAAGACATTTGGTCACAACAATAAACAAACTGAAGTGTTAGTTTCAAATTAATAAATAAATTTTTTTTGGTTCAGCAGGCAGAGCTCTAATATCAGACTTATGTTGTTTAGATGCTCTTAGTGGTATCCAACTTTAGAGAGGCTGGATCCCGAGTTAGACCCGGCCTTGTATGAATTTGTAAGAGTTTCTGACCTCGACTATTGTTAATCAAAGTCGATTCAACTGGTAAACATTGGTTTGCTTTTCATCTTAAGAATGACCCCAATCAGTGATGTGAATGTCGTCAGTATCTGAATCAGATTCTATTTCATAAGGTCAAGAGTTCACATCCCTGGTATTAATATATTCTCATAGGTTCTAGCAAAATCGACAACTATCCCAATCAAGAAACCGATTTAGAGGGGGCACGTTTGATTGATTCAATAAGCAATTAAAACGTGAAGTAAACTTGATATATGTAAATTTGATATAGTAAACTTGATATATGTAAAGAATCGGTCATGAAGAGATGCCTATGATAATGCAAATCCCATATGTATCGTGAATCCTGATAAATTTGTATTCACAAATTTTATTTTATTTATAATTTCAATGAAAGACTGCCAGTTGGAGCTGGATTTTCTTTGATAGTTACTAGACTCATAAGTGGAAGCTAACTCTGGAGAAAACACTAATGTCAATATAAATATCATAAAACCATCACAAATTTACCCTTCAGCGTAGTATCGAGCCATGAATATTCAAAGTGATAAATAAATCGATAAATTTATGTCATCGTGTTTTCAAAATTATTATTGTATTAACAAGTAAACCAATCAAACCAAACTTTTTCTCCGTTCTGCGAAATTTGAACTGAAATTGGTTGATGTCCTTGAATTCATGCAAATAAATGAAGACGAACCAATAGTTTGAGATTTGATGATTGTAAAGAGTAAAGTTGATGTTTGCCATTGCATCAACATTACAAGATTAAACTATCTATTGGGTAGGATTCAGAACATGAAGGGCCCAGTGTATTTTCGTTCTAAGTCACAGGTTTTGAGTAGTCAGATATGGAGTCAAACATGTCTTAAAAGAAACACTGATCTATCACAAAGCTGAGTTAATTTTTTGTTCTCAATACTGCTTCTGTTCAGTTCTTTTCAGCCTCCTCTTCTATTTATATAAGACGGTTTCATCTCTCGATGGCTTTCAAGACACATTTTAGGAACTAACTAACGTCTCGCAACGTTCTCTAATAGTCCACAGGTGACAGTTACGCAAGTGTATAGTTGACTGGTAAACAGTTAACCAGAATTTAAAGTTTGCAAGGATCCAAAGCCGATGCTTAAGATCCAATAGTCACGAAAAACCTTTCCTCCGCCTCGCAAGATAGTTCTTGACATCATGGAGCGATCAGGTGCTTAGGGTATTTGTCAGGAAGTGCTTCCTTTCGGTATCCATCCTTCTTATGGTCTTTCTCCTTAAGTACTGTAGTCGAGGCACGCGTCGAGCTGGTTCGGTTTCCTTGTTCTTGAACATCCATCCAGATTTATTGTTATTTTATCCAGCTCCAGACCCCAACAAATTGCACGATATGTACATATGTCACAGCTATGATCTGCCGTAGCTAAGCTTGTGTTGATTCTCTACCTAGGAGCTACATTAGCTCATTTTGTGGAAGAATCTTCATCGGAATACTAATGGATTGATCGGATTGCTGCTCAGGGAAATGATTGGCAGATTCTAAGTTGCGAGTAGTTGCCAGGAACTCGAAGCTATGGCGAAGTCGGAATCTACAATGCACTTGTTTACGAAGGAAGGCTATCCCGTGAGATATGATACCAAGTGGGGAGATATGCACGAAGAATCAAAGAATGTACTAATTGCGGTGCAGTACGTGACCGAAATTCCAAAACTCGTTTGGCTGCCAGATATTGAGTACAACTGCTGTTGTTCAGCAATTGCAGTCTTGAAAATAAGTTCTTGAGAATGATGTTTTGTGATTGACAAGTTTGATACACGTTGAATTTGATTTGTTATTCGTGAATTGGTTATCAGATTTTCCTGATAATTATTTTAAAAATGTGGAAGCCAAGACTGCAAGCTATTTTAAACGAAATTGCACATCTGACAGGGAAAGAATGACACAATATCGGGAAGAAAGTGAGAAATTAGAACAGAGCGTGGATCTTTACAAATCAAAAGTTTACGAGGAGAACTTTGAGGACAGAGCAACGCATCTACGTCATGTAGGTTTCTCCATTTCTGTTATCATTGTGTTTTTCTAGGAGTGATAGATATCTGATAATTTTGGATCTTCAGTTTAAGTATCTGATCTGAAAATGATTGAACGTTTGTGCTAAAGGTTTTTTGTGTAAGCCCAAGCTAAACCGTTTTTCATGGGAGTTTTTTCTAGAAAAGGTATTATTCCGATCCATGTTCGTCTGTCGAGATGGTACCTGATCTCGTGAAGCTTCCGTGCCCTTGTTCATGATCAATAAGCGTAATGCAACAGTACATGATATATTGAATATCATGTTCTATCTAACATCAAGCCATATTAGTTCCTTCTCTACAGCTAGCGCAGGCAGTAGTTGACATCTATTATGTTCTGGTAATGCACTGATTATAACAAGAGATAAGGAAACGTAGTTCACTTCGTTCTTTTGTTTTGGATTCAAGGCCTCATAAGCAATAAGGACTTGAATCCAGAGAACGGCAGTTTAAGCTCATGCAAGGCCAGTAATAATATTAATGATTGCAGTATCGCCTGTAGCAGCGTTCTCTATTCAAATGAAAGAGTGCATTCAAAGCTCCGACTAAGCCTCATACGCAGTAGATGATAATCTACTGGACGGAATTGTCTCTTTGAGCACTAGATGGAATTTAACTCACATGAATACAAGAAGTGGTTATCACCTCTAACAATTCTTTGGATCTCAGGTATGACCCAGATGGATAATATTCTTCTCTTTCTCACAAAGATAATAATCACGCTCCCTCATCGAATTTGTCATGAGCGACAAAGATATCCTAGACGTCATGATTTTTTTTTTACTATATTTATCTTGCCATAGAGTTATCGCTGTATAGCGAAGATATGCAGACCGAGACCGATGCATCCATCTGTCAGGATGAACTTTTTAGCTCACTCTACATTATCAGGATCTTCTTTTCTCATCCGTCTTGGTCTCTGAGCACCAAGAACTAAGGTCTGCAAACAAATCCAGATACACAAACAATATACTGAGCTTGTTTTAGCAAAATGATCATTGTGTACACAGCAGAGAGATCAGTTCTTGTACCCACCAGACAATTCTTGAATTTATTTCTCGTTTTCAATTTTCCTAAAATTAAACTTCCCGATTTGGTTACATATTATCTCATTGATCATGGAATGATCATGAGTTCACATAATTCTCGCGTTTTCTTACTGTAAGCAAGATATGTGCAGGAACTTGACGAAATCAATGCTGCGGTCAAAAGAAATCAAGCTTCACTAGAAGCACTTCAGACCACGAAGACCATCTTGCGGAATACGGAGACAGCTGTGTTTTGTTTCAAAAGGCTGGCTATTAGAGTTTCGGAAGCACTCAAATTACGACAAAATGAGGGTTTATCTCCTCACATTCCAGAAGTGGAGAATCTTGACTTTTACAGCGGGTTGCCCAACAAACCCTCTCAATACTTACAAGAAACCGTCAGTCGTTTTGAGAAACAGCTGGCAGCCTATCGTGATCATGTAAAAGAACTGGAGATCCTTTTCGCTGATCATGAAGTCACTGGGGACAATTTGCAGGGTCCGGTCTCATATGTCGACAGTCTTTATATGACTATTCAAAATGCCCATCAGTTTCTCATGCACGTGGCTGCAAAGGTCGACGACTATGTACCCAAAATGTTCAGTTACATAATTTCATCTGTTTTACAATGCTGCTGCAAGAGTATGCCGCGATGTAATCGCAGATTCCACAACGTGTAGATGCATCTTGATACAAATTCTATGATGTCCTAAAATTTCTTAGCAAGGGTTGCTAGTGCTTCTTTGAGTTTGTGAGATAGCATGGGGTTTGTAGTATTGAATCTTGGGCTTGAATTGAAATTTTCCTTTCTGTAAGCAGATTGTTTTAAGTTAAGTAATACTGTTTATAGTAAATGATAGTATGCTGCCAGCACTTGAAGTTCGTGATGAATAACAACTTGTTGAAATCTACAGGTGGAGTTCTTGCATCAGAAAGTCGATCGCATGAGGCAAATACATCTTGAAAATCTTCGCCATAAAGGGCTTAACAGGAACCCGTTTCTCGAGGCTGATCGACGGGAAGATATACAGCGTGAGATTGAAGCACGAAGAATGCACCCTACTTCTGATACGCATCTCACACCTCGAGCCCAACCGTTTGGAAGTTCAACGCAAAATCCACTTCTTGTCCGTCATCTGTCACAGCAAAGTCAACTTAATTATGGTAATGCCCCGTATACTTGTATTCCGTAGTATGGATAATAAATAGGACTTTTGTCAAAGTTCTTAGATGTGCTTATATGTACCATCTAGTGACAAATACGATTAGTTAAAGAGTGCAATAAGGCTATGAATTTACTCCTGAACCTGTAATAAGGATAGAAGATAGAATAAGTCACTCTTAAATCTAATCTAAATATAGAAGTTCGTTGTAGTAATTTGAAGATCAATCTTGGACCGACTATAGTTCTCCTTACTGTGCACTTTAACCTACTTATTACAATAGAACCTCCAATAGTGAATACCCTTGGGACCGCACAGCAGGTATTCAGTATCAGAGGTTATTAGCTGACAAAGGTAATGCTTGGGAAGCTGTCCACGACCATGGTAATGCTTTGAGAGGCCTCAAAAAGCTACATATACCCGAAATCGGGACTGAAGGTTTTTCGCCACAGGAGTACTGGAGGTTCTTCTCTAGATGGAACCTCTATCTTCTTTTTCATTTGTATCTTTTCGAGTGTTATCTTAGATCTTAATCTATATCAAAATCATTATGTCTTCAGATCTTAATCTGGGTTATTTTTCTCAGGTTTAGTTGGACATCAGATGGTTGCTCCAACAGCAATGTTCCAATCAGACGGTATGCCTTTAAACCTTCAAGTAAAAAGTATCCACTGTGAGTCAGATTTATCTTATCTAAAGAGAGGAAATTCATAATTATATATCATTAATTATTCAAATGATACATCTTGTACATGTACTTTCCCATGAATGTAATTCGATAGATCTCGCTCCTCAACATTTTTTTTTAACCTACATCTGAACTTAGTACTTTGAGTAAAATATGAATTATATTATCTTAATATAAGGAAAATATCATATCCTCAATTTCAATAATACATTTTTTTTATATTAGGACCATGAACCAGTATTACATGCACCATCATTCACTTCGAAAATATAAGAGATTTTTAAACTCTTAAACACCTTTCCTGGTTTGCATGATCGATTCTCTTCATCCTTGTGATGCAAGAATGTTTTGTTGTCTTACGAGCCTTTCCTATGGCACTTCCAGATAATATCGACAACTTTTTCCAAGACTGGAGTGAGAACTTAATATGTTTGCTGGTTTGATAGGGAAACGCTAACCTAGTCTGCTGGCATGTCCTATAACATATGTTTCATTTTTCTTTGTAACCCTTCGGATGGTAATCCTGAATCGATGATCTTCATCCAGAACAAGTCAAGAAGATATATGACTGCTGTTTATTTAAGGTGCAGGCAATATGTTGAGCTCAGCTCCACTTGAAGGGTCGATTTCACTTCCCCATGATCAATTACAACATTTCGCCGCGGGAGCTCAGGTAATTGCTTTAACATTACCGCTTCAAATTGAGTTTTATTTTTCACTGATACTTTTTCTCATTTTTGGATTATGAATAATATTTTTATCCGAGATATTTCATTCTTTTTGAAGTGATTTTACACTTTAAGCCTTTGAGATCTATGTCTTGAATCATATGAAAATGTTGCAGGATCCTCCTCCAGTATTGAAAAGAACGAAACCACGAAGTTACAGGAAGAAAACTTAGTACAAACTTGAGATCTATTTATTAGTATTTTGCCACAGGTATTGTTCTTTAGCATCTTTGCATGACTACTTGATGCATAAACGCATGGATGCAGCAACTCCTGCGGGAACAATATATACATTTAATCACATGAGTTTTTACTTTTCTGGTCATTCTGCCGTGCTTCTGTTTTCCATATTCAAATCGTTGAAAACGGTGCGCACATCGTGAAGTATCGTTGAATTCGTGGTGAATCATCGAGAAGAAAAATCAATCATGATTGGAGAGATTGTATCATCCCAACTCTGGAATATATAACAATATCTCAAAATGTAAAACATCGGAGGCTAATCTTGATAGAATATATCAATTTTTTGATATTGATTTTTTAGATAATAAAGATGTTTTGGGATATATTTTTCACCAATACTATACGTGGATTAGACTTTAATTCTTTGTTGATTTTTCTTATTTGGCTTGATGTATCTTCCAATGGTTTCTTTCTCAATCTGATTCCACTTTACACTTGAAAATACAGTGAAATATATAAATAAATAATCAAATAGCTTATGAAAATAACAATTATGTATGTAATGTAGGCATACATCTGGACATACACATGTGTCATGCCAAGCAAGGCTTTGCTCACTTAAGAACAAAACGTCTAATTGCAAGTCAAGTAAATATCTTCACACCGCCAACAATGACTCAATATTTAGCTGTCATCATATTAATTGTGCCTATGAGTAACCAAACATGTTTCATGATCACAAGCCCCAAGAAAACATAGGAAATAATCTCATCTTGCTCCATATATAATGTATTTGTGAATCTCATAGGAAAGAAATAACTAAATCTAAGATGATTGACTTAAAAAAATTCATCATATGGATATATGATGAATTGGAAAACTTTAAATCTTTGCGCTTGGGGCAATGACTCAGTTAGTGAGTGAAACCAACACGCATCAATTGTTGGTTGAAAACTATTTCCTTAAACCAATCAAGATTATGCCCAGCTATGACAAAAATATCGTAATTGCTTTAAAGTTTTTACTGTATCATAGCTGCATCCGGAGGTGCAGCTATGATGCATTATCTCGCGATCGCGATTCATTCAAGATAATGAATGAATCGGAAACGCATTATGTCTCAAGTAACGATAACAATAAACTGACATGACTGACCAATGTACATAAGAAGTACATATATAGATCTGAATCTATTCATGATAGCGTGTGCTGATGGCAATGCGAACTCTCACTCAAAAACTCCAAATGCTCGCAAGAATTAACAGAATAGCACCGACAAAGACCGTGAAGACAAGGTCCAGTACGACTGATGCTGGGCCGTTGAGCAAGCCGGTGATGGTCGTCACGAGATCAGTTGCGGCTATTGAATTGTATCTATCAATGCTGTATTATACAACACTGTATAATACAGATGTATAATGCAGCCTCACGGAGTATTGATACAGGGGGTATTTGTATAATTGATTAACTTTACGAAGTTTCATTCGAAGTGCAAGTTTATGAATGTCGAATTTGAACACCTCTGGGATGTGTTGAGAATCGCCCGTCAAGAAAACTCTTTGGCCGATATTACAGATTCCCAGTTGTCTGATGACGAAGAAGTCATGGTACATTTGCAGAGCAATTGAATCGTTTTCTCGCTTCTTTGCCCATAAAATTTGATCGTTTACGCCTAAAATTGCAATTATGCATTCTTTGATACAATTATACTGTATTATGTTGTATTATACATCATATATAGATGAGCTCTATAATACAATTCAATAGTTGCGGCTGAGTTCCTGCGGATGACAATATTGTCACCAATGAACTGGATCTTCGAGATTCTGAAAGATCAGAATTTCAACGGGGTTACCGTTGGTGAATGTGAGAACCGCCTTCGCCGATTTGGCAGCTACTAGGCTCCGTGCTGCGAGCACTACAGGCAAAGCTGCCATCAGAGGAAGAGTAGTTTTCGTGGCCATGGCTGCAGCTGCGGATACAAGTGAGAGCACTGATATTATGCTGAATGAGCGCCTGAACTGGAAGGCGGTGTACCATGACGAAACAGAAGTGGGATCAAATGGATTATATAGTGAGTGCAAATTTCTGTTTCGGACTGTGGAAGAATTTTAGCTGTAGTGGATTCTCGTCTCTCTTCTTTTTTCAAAAACCGACTGTCCGCCCACATGCACACTGTAGCTCGTCATTAATCAATCACGTAGACCCACTAGGATTCTTTGCACATTCGGCCAGCGGGCAATTTTCATTTCGTTTTTCTGAAAATGACTTCCTTCTGAAAAAGAGCTACCGGAGTGAAATTCATTGAATTCCATGGGCGGAATTGCCACTTCATCATACTCGCAAATCTCAACGATTAATTATTCTCGAATAGTTTCATCGTTATTGTGAAAGGAACTTTATTCATGAACATTATTCAGAAGAAAAGTGAGCACTTCATACAACATTTTCTTCAGAATGAAAAGGAGAAAAGGCAGATTCTGTCGTGGAACCATTAACGTAGGTTTTGATTTCATTTCCCTTCTAAGCAGCGAGGACTGAACTCTTTAGATTCAAAATATGCTTAGTTTCCTCAGCACCATGAAAATTAATGTTAAATTTAAGATGGTCAAAAGAATGGTCATGGGATTTTATATGATCTTCAGAAATACTTCCACTTTTATATTGAAGCACGCATTATGAGGAGAGTTTGTCTTGAGTAGACCTTTGAGAACTACGTAGATGATGGGAAATGTTCCACTTAAGAGCAATTTCATTTTTCCCTTTTTATGCCCACTAGTAGTTTGATGGACATGAAATGCCACGTTGTCCTTAATATGATATCTTTTTCAGTCTGCACCAGTTGCAACATGCCATCTTACAATTTAAAAAGGGGTAAAAGGATTTAAAATGTGCAAAACGCCTGAAATAGTACACTTTCATGATCGGGTTGACTAGCAAATCAGTGCATGTTTTTTTGACACCTATGACATGACATGAGGTATCTTTCATGCACATTCGGACTATCCTTGTGTTCTAACATAATGACATTATCATACGGTTGATGTCTCAACAAGGGCATGGCCAATCTTTCAATCCTTTTACGTTCCCTATTTTTGTGAAAAAGGAATGTAAAAGCGAAAAAAAATGCAATAAGAATTGACATCACTAACTTTCAAAGTTAGTGACTCAGTTACATGTGTTATGAAGTATGATTTTTCGATACATTCTATTTTAAATTAATATTGAATCCTTTCATAAGTATAATGAATAAAAATTATATTATATAATCTGTCATACATGTAACATTTATACTAACATAAACTCACATGTTTTTTTAAATAATATCTAACCCAGTCCTGAATAGTAATTATCTTGTTATTTTCAATGCATAAAAAAATCATATTTTTTGTTTATGAGTGAATAATACAATTTCAAAATTTTATTTTTGCACCATTCTTTGTCTCAAGCTTAATGAAAATGTATGATCGAACCTAAGTAAAACATAATTCAGAGATGATTGTTCATATTGTTCAACTTTTTTAAATAATTTTTAATTAATAAAATTTTAATTTCACAGTGTAGCTCTAAATGTTATTGATATATCTTAAATTTGGACTGTGTTGATATGTATATATATCTTATATTTTGCATATTTTAATCATCAATTATTTTTTTGTTGTAGATGTAGAATTATGGTTGTAAAGTAATTCAACCATATGACTAACACTGTTAATTGTTTAAAATCTATCAATTATTTATGAATTTAGAAAAATCTTTGATTCAAATGTCACAATTTAGATTTAAATGAATAATTTTTTTACTCTGAAAACAATTGTAATTGAAAAGAAATGAAATTCATGACAAAAAATAAAATATCTCATGAACATAAAACCAAAAATCTTAGTAAAACATTCAAGCTAAGCATGAACACAAGAAACACTTGTATAACGTGGTTCATACTCAATGGCTACGTCCACAGCTGAAACACGCGAGTTTACTCACAACTAAATACAACTCATACAAAGTAGAAACCTTGGGGATATATATATACCCAACACCAACGACAAACCTAGCTATAGATAGTTAGAACTTGATATTACTCCTTATCGGGGTTAACCTCAACAATCTCCCCCTAATTTTGTATTAAGTAAACAGTATACTCCGTAAGCTATATTATTACTCAGTAAAAAATTCTAGACAGAAACCGAACACAAGGCTCATCTTTACACGAGAAATAATTAGAACTAAAGCGTAGCCATAACATGATGGAGTAATAACATAAAGAGATAACTAGGAAACTTGCTAGCAAAGAAAAATCAGAAATCTCGTAACCTATATAATAATTCCACAGGAGTTTCTAGATAGAAACTTAATGCAAACTTCCTTTTTACACAAGAATTAACTGGAACTAAATTGTAGCCATCATAGGATATAGTAAATATATAAAAAGATAACTAAAGCTACTGTGCTAAAAAATTCTACATCTACTCTCCATGCATGAGTTTTGGGCAACACTAAGCATGTTGCCTAAAACTCTCCAAAGTACTAACTTTGGACAAAGCATTAGTATGATTGAATTTACTGTCAATTTTTAATGGCTCAATTGTTTTATCAAACATTTCTTGTTTGATAAAGTGAAACCTGATGTTGATGTGCTTCACTCTATTCTTCATGACCTAGTTGGCAGCCAAATGTAAAGCACTGTGACTATCACAATGAATATTAATCAAGCCGTGCTTCAATACCAATTCCGTGATAAGTGTTGAGGTTAATTCCAGTTAAGAATTAACCTCAGGTTATAGCTATTCATAGCTAGTTGTATCTATGGCTTTTAGTTATAAATATACTCCCAAATCTCCTACTTGTGTGTGCATTGTGTATTTAGTTGTGAGTAAACCTTATCAAGTTTTCCAGCTATGAATGTAACCTTTGAGTTTGAACCACGTTATATGAATGTCTTGTGTCTTCTTACTTGGCTTGAATGACTCTTGGTTTTACGTTAATAATTGATATTAGAGTGGGCTTACGATTCAGAGTTGGATCCAGGTTTTGGTTAGGTGTTTTTTTTTCACTTACACGTACAGTGAAAATTTTATTTTACTATTTTGAAAGTTTGCTAATAGAAGAAGTTTTCAGTTTTCATACTTTAGAATCTTATCAATAGTTTTTTTTTCCTGTTAGGTTTTTTTTCAATTACAGTGAAAACTCTATTTTTACTTTTTTGAAAGTTTGTTGACATAAGAAGTTTTCCGTTTTTTCATTTTTTTGAATCTTGTCGACAGTTTTTTTTTTTTAGTTTTTGAACTTTGTCCACAATTTTTGTGCTCTCAGAGTGTTTTCAGAACTTTGTACTGATACAGCATTTCAGTCATATCTATATCAGATTTTCTTTATTGTGATTGAAGCTTTCCTGACGTTGTTTAGTGACAAGTTTTCATTGACGTTTTGTTCTAAGCTTGATATTTTGACTGTAACAGGTTCTGGCTACAAGTTGCTACGTAATTGTTCAAAGTTTGAATTCTTGATTGTGACAGGTTCCGGAAACAGTTTTCTGAAGCATGTTGGTTAGTACAACAACTTGAGTCACTAAGATGCACAACAGCTGCGGTTTTTTGACAAGCCTTGAAGTAACTCGCAAGCTTTACTATTTCGTTGGTTTTTGATTTGTGCAGAAGTACGGGAACATGCCTCGTTGCTTGTGATTGGGGTGTGGAAGAGAGAGAGTGACTGGAATGTTTTCTTGAAACATTTGTCTTGGAAAAACCTTGAAGTAAAAAGAGCACCCCTAGGTAAGAGCGGAGTGGCGGACACTTCCCTTCTGGAGGCCGAGTGGCAGGCGTTTTTTCTTCTCCCGAAAGCCAAGTAGTCGCAAGAACGTCTGAACCCGAACGGCGGGGATACCCGACGCAAAACAAAGCCCCCGAACGTCATGGACTAAACGCTTCCCCTCCCCGCTAACCAGGTTGCATCCAGATCCAGGTGTACGTCTCAACATGCTCAAGGTTTACCACAGTTGCAGAGGACGTTGTTGCAATTGGACGTGGTTGCATTTTTCGTGGTAGCAATCGGGCGTGATCAGAGTGTACTACAGTCAAGCTGACGTGGCTGCGGTCGACGTGGTAGAACATAGTCGTGGACGATAGAAACATGGTCAACTGTGGTCTTGACGGTGACGGTACTCACGTTGACGGTGCAGGTTGCGTGCGACGTTAGTTGCGGGTGACAGACATTGTAGTCGCCGGCGACGGTAGTCACGGATTACAGGCAACAGTGTCGTTGCGGCTGACACTGGTCAAGGGCGACGTAAGTCGCGGATGACGGATTTTGCAGTCGCGGGCGACGGTGGTCACAGGCGACAAAAATTGCTGGCGACGGACGTCTCCTCTCGCAAGTTCTCTCGTCACGTCCCATGAATTCCAAGGATGACGAATATCTCGCAAGTCGCCCCCAGCCATTGCCACTACCGTTCCGGTAGGCAATGAGCTAATAAGTGGTGTGACAACCACCAAATCTGCGCGCAAACGGCGTTGCTCGGCCAACCCAAGCTCACAATCCACGTCAAGCAGTTCAGGTCCATAGCCTGACCCAAAACCTGACGACGCGACGCCTCTGAAACTGAAGAAGCCGCGGTCACACCAGTAAGAAACCTCATCGCACGCTCTCTCTCATCAGCGTTGGGCTCCACCAACTGATGTAGGGTACTGTCCCACAGTAGTCCAAGTCCCCCATCACGATATGCATGTGATGTCGGATAACTGACCAACGTAGGCAAAGTCATCCGAGCCTCACCTACGTGGTTCACCAATGCCATGGGTGACCTATCCGCCACTCTCACCACCTGAGAGTATCGAGAGACATCCAAGATCCTGTCAACGGTGAGGGTAGGATCACGATGCACAGAATCATACGCATGACGCAATATCTCTCGTGGTACAAGGTTGGTCCACCATAAACGTGCACAATGAGCACGTGAACCAACCCTCGCAGCATCCAACAACACTGCTGATCCAATCCATGCCTTGATCTCATGGACACTCGCCATCAACTGGGCCCGAGTGTCACCCAACAATGGTACGTTCTCTAGAATGTATGCGGGAGAACGTGTCTGCTGCTCCTGGAGATGACGTAACACTCGTAGCATCTCCCAAAACATCCGAGATCTCGGGTCATGTAACCCTACTCCATGCCCAGCGCGTGTGTGCCCCTGACATGGCCATCCCGCAATCACCAAATCGATATGCAGATTACAGATGACGGTGGTCACGGGGGACGCTAGTCGCAGGTGACGGATATTGCAGTCGCGGGCAATGGTGCAGTTGCGGATGAAGGTTATCGTGGGCGATGGGAGTCATAGGTGACAGACGATGTATCGTAGGCGACGGTGGTTGCGGGCGGAATTCGCGCACATGCAGGCAGTTCAAGCCAGACCGATTTTGCCTCCCTCGCTCATCGCTCACCCATGCAAGCATTTCATGTTCCGGCTTGTGCTGGATCAAGTGCAAAGGACTTTCACAGTTGTAATGTAAGAAGATTTCCAACGACTCGCTGCTTCCTACTGTTGTTGTGCTTGTTTGATGAAATGATTTAAAGAAAGTTGAAGGATGCACGGCTCAGTGGTTTGAATGTGTTAGTGATGATGTAGTTTCAACTCTCCTTGCGTCCATTGCTCTTATGTCTAACAAGTACTTGTAAGGTTCACATATTCATGTCGTGATAAAAATATTAAACAAGACGTGCTGAAGATTTAAAAGATTCTTTTTATAGTGGTGAAAAATCAAGAAGGAAAAAAGTTCAGAAACTCAGATTGTGTATAGGAATTCAGTGTAATGACAAGGAGTTAATTGCTTTCATAGATTGCAAAGATAGCTTCAGATGTAGAATTGATATCACAAAGGAACACATCAAAATAAAATAACTGAAGTAAATATCTTGAAATCTCCTTTTCAATATAATTTCAAATTTTTGTTTACTGATATCTATCATAAATTTAAGGGATTTTTATTTATTATCTTTCAATTTGTATAGGTTTGAGCCAATGTGAATGTGCTGTGCATAGTATGAAGATTATCAATACTTAAAATCTTGTATTATTTCACGGGAAATTTATACCTACAATCTATTCTGCATTCAACCTCAAAAAAACCTGTATCAAATAATCCCGTAAAAGAATATCTAATGATAACATTGATACTATGACCAATATTGGTGTGATTATTTATATATATATGAAATTTCGAAAATCTAATAACCCTATTATGCAAAATCCTGCAGAGGATTTTCACAACTGTTGAACATATGTTCATTATTATTAAGGATGCTAATTCAATCTACATATTCAAGAGTTAAGAAAGCTTTTACTAATCTCTTCATATTTCATTTACCTCAAGCCTACCTGAAAGTACAATACCGAAGGTTTTAAGAAAAAATCGAACGTCGGAAATCTTAAAGCATTTCTATTTTCAGATTCACTGATACGTTAAACCATGCCCTATACAGATACTTTTACAAAAGGATGTTCCTTGTAATCACGCGGAAAAAAATACTATGATATTACTTTTCTATGACTATCATTGTCCAGTATTCCGCAAGCTACGTGATATGACCGGGTCAGATATCCTACATGACTCTAGCAAATTAGAAGACCAAGAAGATCACTGGATGGATGGTGCATGTCCGACGTGAGGAGACTCACTCAGAACGAAACTTAAGAATCACTGTAAAGTGAGGGGTTGACAAAACCGCTTAGCCGCGAAGAAGCACAGAAGGCAGCCCCTTTGTCGAACTTCAAAGTCAACCAAGAAATAAATGTTTTCCACTCCAAGTCAAACCGCACCCGTCACTTCGCCGAGTTGGAAAGGACTATCAAATTAGTATCTGCAATGCATCGTAGCCTCATAGACTGTAGTACTCCACTTGCAGATCCATCCAAAGCTGCTTTTCCATGAATTTATGAAGCTGGAGAAGGAGATATTGCCTTCTGGCTCAGCATCAATATCTGTGTTGACTCCATGTATGTGGGAGGGAACCTAACAGCCGACAAAGGATTTCTTAACTTATCACACGGCTATGCAGTAATTGTAACTCGATGAAGCTTAGGGTGGAATCTCGAGACCAATAAGTCCAACCTCTTCTCACGATCCACTCGCCAGTTTCTACTTTGAGATGGTAAAATTTCTAACGAGCTTTGCAGTTCATGTTTATAATCAATGGAGTATATGTCAGTATCAGGGCTTGGAGCAAGGCGCGAGTCGAATGAGCTACATTCTTCAAGTGTCAGATTATGGCACTCAGCTTCTCTTGCATGAAAGTTCTAGAGTTTGATGAGGTCGAGATACAATGCTGAGGGTCCATTCTGGAATCAGACCACAGATTTTACGGAGTACAGGCAGGCCGACGACCTTTTATTGTAGACTTGATCACATGTAGCCGATGCAGTTTTCTCCTCAAGAGCTGCTCTTCTGAACTGAGAAATCTGATGTTGAGGCCTCGCCAGTCTCCGGGGAAGGGACGTAAGAGCACTACCAGCAGCCGTGTTTCTGAACAGATACGAGTGAAACTGTTCGACTGAGGTGGACGGAAGAAGTGCAATTTGTGTCTCAATCAAGCCCAAGAGACTCTCTCACAGCTTACAGAAATATTGATTATAAGTGTCGAATATGTCGGAACGCAAGTCGGTAGAGATCATCAGCGACGCGCAGCTTAACTGGAACACAGCTCAATCTTTTCTCGGGAGTAAGTTTGACGCAGACCTAATTGCTTCAGCGAAGGAGCAGGTTCGCTTCCTGGCGCTTGTGAAGAAGACCCCAGCTTTACGAAGGCCTGAAGTCTTGAAATGCGCCATACATCGGTACGTATTCGCGTCAACTTACTGCCAAAATCTCTTAGAATCCCACAGGAATTTGCTAGCATAAAAGATACTTCTGGATCAAAGTGTATGCATCTGCTATAGGAAATGGTAGGGATAAAATAAAGCAGCAATAACTCTTCGAAGAAACCAATGCCCAAAGGTTTTTCTATAAATTTGCATTGATTACACCTTCTTTTCCGAGCCGCAAAATCCTCCAAGGCGAGACTTTACAATTGCCGTACTTCTTCGGTCTCCGGACCTACTGAAGGCAAAGAAGTCTCGGACCCAAATTGCAGCTAAAGCTCTTGATCACTCCCATGCATTGCGTGTTTTGTTTGTTGCACGTACAATTGAGATTTCTGCTGCTACTCTGAATTTCTTCCGTTCCATTGGCAGATACTGGAACAACTATCTTCCATTAGCCGCAAAGTTCCAGTCCAAAGGATTTCCTGATGCTGTTCTATCCAAGACCGGTGCTCATTTTGTACCACCTTTGGATTGCGCATGGATCTGGCATTGCCACAAGCTGAGCCCGGTAAGCCCTCCACAATTTCTCTTAGTGTTTAAATTGTCAACATGGAAGTACAGAAACAGGATAATGTCATCGTAGAGCTGTAGCCTGTGAATCTCAAATGGCCTCCGAACAATCGATGACTTCAGGTGCGGTATGCAAGTGACTGCAGAAGATTGTTTGGAGAGATCATTGACATCAGAACTATCCCCAGTGAAGGAACTGAGATAAATAACTCAGAACGAGATTCGTGCACTTTGTGGCAAATGGAATACCCGGATGAGCCATACCATCTAGTTCAGCCTTGGGAAGATGGCACCAGCATGGAGTTTCAAAATTCTCTGAACCGCACCCCGAAGGAGTCTTCTCTCATTGAGTCTTACAACCTTGAGGATGCAGCTGCCAGACAGGCCCCTTTCTACTTTCAGGTGCGTGCCGTCGGCTGAAACTAAGTAACTAAGATCGCCATGCTTTGTCAGTCAATGGTCTGAATACATTGATGGTCGTATTCCGCTGGCAGAAAGTGCTCGAATTGCTGAGCCGATCAATTCCGTTTGAACGTATTCTCCATTCCTCTCCATCGATATTTGTTTGCATTGAAGAGACTCACTTGTTGACCTGCAACTTGTTCATAAGATGACTCGGTTCAAACGCACATTATATTCAGCGAAGTTCCGAATTTTATATGTGTTTCTTCTGAGGTTAGATGTTTACGACTGCGTCACATGAGGATGGCAAGATGAAAATTCAGTTGGTTAAATCTGCACAGCTCCTTTCTTAGTAGTCCTTGACCCGGCCTCGGGGCCTGGATTGATTTACCAGGTTCAAAGGAGTTGGTTCACTGACGATGGGTACTTGGAGGGGGCCCTACAAAGATACAAAGGATATCTTTTCCTGATTCAGCAATCTTTGGAAAATCGCATGGCAAAGGATCGACCTGTTTTCATCGTTCCGACTTACGACATTGATCTGATTTGGCACAGTCACCAGCTCCACCCGATTGCTTATGCCAGACACACCAGAGCTCTATTTGGGACAATTCTGGACCACGACGACACTGACACGGATCGAGGCGAGGGAGCGAAGCTGCACAGCAGCTTCCTTGAAACATGCGACAAGTGGTGGGCTACTTTCGGGACCGTGTATGAACGAGCTGGAGCGATGTATCGAGGGCCCGAGCCGCAGCCTATACCGCAATCGCCCGATAATGATCCCAAGGCCCTTGAAGAAGAACGGAGGTTGCTAGAGTTTACATACAAGGGACGCTGGAATTCATCCTCCTTCGACAGCCACATGGAGTCTTGTGCTGAAGACAGTCCTGACGCTTACTTGAGGTCGATCTTCCAGGTGAGAATCCCGAGACAACCGAGATCGTGCTCCTACACAGACCCATTTAACTGCTTCTGGTGAATAATTCAGATGGGCTTGCACTTGAGGATGATTCCTTTTGTGATTCGCAATTTACTCCAGCTGTGAGGTGGAACAGGCTTAATGAGGAATTGAATTGCTATCAACTAAAGTTCACTCTCATTCAAGAGCCTTCAGGAGAAACTAGGAACAGAAAGTCAAGGTTTTGTTGGAAGATGAATACTGACTGGCGGGTAAATGGATACTAAAGATTTATATAGCAAAACAAAGTCGACTGTTTCCTATAGCGAGTCAAACCTGGTTATCTCTCGAGTCCAAATAGCAAATATGTGAGCAGCCAATCTAGGACCATCGACAGCCTCGAATCCTTCTTCATTCACAGTTCTCTTTTCAACATCAAAGTCGAATGTTCTCACAGTGCAAGTTTAAAACCAGCGGGAACCTCAAGAGAAAACGGACAGATCCACAGACCTACATGTCTGAGATTTTATCTCTTTTGGGTAGAGAGAATAATTCTGGTTCTTGGTTTTCTTTCATGAATATCTAAAGTATCCAAGTAAACGTTATCACTAAGTTAGTGGAATTCGTTGTTTAATATGTTAATTGTTAAAGGACGTTATGATAAAGGCAATGCAACCTCAAATATGAAAAGCTGAACCTGAAATTATGATTCTAATATACTATTACTAAATCACTGAATATTCGCAAGTTGCGATGGTTCAGTCTGAAATTTATTGCTCTAGAAGCTCAGCTTCACTTTTTTTAAGATTTGTTGGTGTCAAATGCCATGAATGCCAGAGGTGGATAATTTGAGCAACTACTGAGTCACTGACTTTAACTCAGGTGCATCTGGTGGTTCTGGGCGCCCGAAATCTGCCTCATCCGTCAACTAGGTTTAAGGAGAAATTCTGTGTTCGTGTGACCACCATAAAGAATTGCAAAGCTTTGAGGACCTATTCAGCTGCTATCAAAAGAAGCCCATTCGGAGATCATGCAGAATGGAACTATGGCCTTGCTATGGAAGCTGAACGGGGAACAGAAGGTCTGCAATTCGAAGTGTGCTACCACAGGTTCAGGAAAGAACTATTTGCAGGACGATGCTTTCCTTCGAAATCGTCGCCATACAATTACCGTCCGCACAATATAGTGAAATATGGGAGCCCAATGAAAAAAAATGAAAAGAGCGATACCCAGATCTTGGGAAAAGTTTCCATCCCTTGGAGTGATCTTAAACTTCACTCGTCCAAGCCAGACCAGTGGACAACTAAATCGATGGTTCTTGACCTTCTTCCCGTGAAACTCGACATATCCATTTCTGTAACACCATCTCAGCCTGGACCGAAGTTGCTCCGCGCATTGCGTTCGCCTGTGACAGATGATAGCTGCAAACGCATTGCACGTGATATTGACTCAGACGCACCTCTTCAATCAGGACGCTGGACGACCAAGATCGTGGTGAATTACACTGGAGAGCCCTTGTACGTGATTCGAACCAGGTATGTGACTCCCGAATACCATTCTTGTGATTTCCGCTACTATCAAATCTTGACAAGCTCGATTCTAGTTTCCACCTTGAGTACCATTAAACGCGGCCCAACCTTCTCCGGCGGTTAGAGGAGAGGTAAATTTCATGGCAGGAAACAGCAGTCCGACTATCAGTTTTCGATGTCTTGCCTCTCAATTTGAGTGAATGACTGAATCCAGAACGCTGATCTCGATCTGGTAAGCAAACTAGCTTGGAGGTCTTCAAGTTAACTATATCCACATTGAAGTAAGTACCAAGTCTCTTGTCTGCCTGTACTTTCCATGCAGATCAGCACATCTTGCAAGTGGTGCGCCGGCCTCGTTGCAATGCACCTGGGAGGACACTATTGTGCAGATACATCAAGCAGAATGTGTATCGGACGGAGTTACAAGTAAGCTACCACCATGACACTCGGGTTTTAACATGTTCTGTCTTCTAATGTTTCTACATAAGAATTTTCAATCGGCCAGAATTATTTCCATCCGTTGAGATAGCTTGGTCAGTTTCATCGGATTATAATTTCGAGCAGTTTCTTGCTTAAAAAGCAGAAAAAGTGAGTCAACAAATTTGCATCCTCACGAAGCATCTATGTCCGGAGTGCTAAGCTCATTCAACTCGAGAGCATTTCAGCTGCAGGTGCTGCCATAGCCACAGCCAAACCACTTGTGAGTGAGTTCCACAAAGCGGAAAAGGATCAGGTTCAGCAGTGGTCTCTCCTCAATGACGGAGCCATTCTGACGGTCCGTAAACCCCCAAACGACAGGCCAGGAAACCTCGACTGTGAAATCCACGGCAGATGTGGTCCACACCCGGTAAGAAGTCAAAGTTGAAAATTTTGTGTTATGGGTAGTTTTCAAATTGTCAGTGATCATTTTCTCTGAGTCTCACTTACATATCAGGAGAAACTGCACCCCATCCCACAAAAGTCGATCTGGGGATTGCTACCTCGCTTCAATTGTTTAATGTGTGCGATTTTCCCTGCGTGGAGAATTTCCAGATGAGGTTGCTCTCAGGCAGAAGAATCGACTACGCTACCGCTGACGAAACTTCCACTGGCAAGTTCCTAACGCTAGTTCGATATACTCCGGACGCTCCCAGAGGCAAGGCCACTGCTCTTCTCAGCTTGAGCTCAGCCTGCTTCGAGGTAATGCTATGATGTGAGCCTCTCTAGATCTTCCGACTATCATAATGTATCACGTTCCTTATTAAGGAATCACCTCCAGTTCAATCTGCAAGCAATTAGACCTCGAGAGCATGCTGTTCCGAGAGTCTCGTTTTTTAATCCTCTTAAGACTGATTCGCCAAATTTGCCCTTAGATAGACTATCAGCATATGCTTCGGCATTACGATTTCTGAGTAATTGTATGTAATTTCGTGTATACGTAGCTGGATGCTCGAAGATCTGTCAGCTATGAATGAATATAAATAACTGATACTCATCCACCTGATACCTCTGTCGTTGTGACAATATCGTATGAAAACGCAGATCATGCCAGGTGAAAGTTCGGTGTTAGTGCTCGTGATCTGCTCTGCGGTGAACATGTCTATGCACGACTTTGGCATACCCATACATTCAAATAATTCTATTAATTATTGCTATTCAGAAGAAAGGATCCCAGACAGAAATGGCGACCAAATAGGTGAGCAAATTGAGTTTCCCTCGAGACAATCATACGAAAAAACATGTCGAACGCCTGCTTATGAGTTGCTTTCGAGGTCCTCAGAAATTCCCGGTTGGAAGATTTTATGTAATTCATACCTGTCTGCTTAATAAGCCTTTAGATCTCAGAGCAAGTTCCGGGGTACGAGTCTTCTAGCTGCAGATGAGACAGATCCTTAAACCCTTGCAAGTCCTAAAAAAGGTCAACGAGTTGTATCACATGCGCAACCTCGGCCTGGGGCCCGGGTCAACACTTGCATGCTTGTCCAGACTAAGAAGAAATCAGGGACCTCCAGTTCTTAGGTTGTTGACGGCAATGTTGGCATTTCAGGTGCAATCAGGGTGCTCCGAAACCAGCTCTCGGCAAAATGGAGCACGCCGCTTCCCTCGGACGTTCCGGAGGTACAGGCCATTCGAGCTCTGTACCAACCGTGGTGGCAACTCGGCGGGGACTTCTGGCCTGTAGAGGCCTTAGGACAGGGCCAAACTTGCTGGCCTGCGGCATGCGCCGGCGCCGCTTGCGGGGGCAACCGACGTCGCCCTGCGTACAAGGCCAGTTCGTATTATGATGAGAGACGTGGCGGAGGTGCGGGTGGAGGTTGTAGGGGAGGAGGAGGAGGAGCATGTGGTGGTGGTGGTGGCGGCGGAGGAGGAGCATGTGGTGGTGGTGGTGGAGGAGCATGTGGGGGCGGGGGAGGGGGAGGATGTGGTGGCGGAGGTGGTGGTGGGTGCTGAGAGAGGGCTTTGAACGCAGTCAACCGAGCTACCAGAGTACAGTACCGTGGTTGCTTTTCGTGTTGATTTTCTGACCACTATTTTCTTCATTGTAGAGGAATTATGTGCGATATGATTGGGGAAAGAGTCTTGTAAGTGTGTGTTGCCAGTACTAAAATAGTATGCTGATTAGAATCTTCCCAAGTATACTCCTATTTTATCTTGAAACTTATTGAAGGTGTATGCATGTCAACATGATATGTTTAGGGTCTTCACGGGTGTATTTATATTTTCAATCTCAGCATTCTGAAATGAGTTTGCTGAGATCATGTTAATTCTACACTGCTCATAATGTTGAGTGTGTGTGTGGTGCATAGTTGGCAAACTTGTAAAATAAAATGTGCTATTTTAACAAAGTATTGTGTACATTGGATAAAGTATAGGATATGAATGGCGTGTGGGCAAACAGGGAAAAATAAGAAAAAAATGAATAGATCTTGGATGGATAGGAGCGCTATAGATGGCGAACTAGGTGCGAGACAGTACAGACGACCACAATGGGAAGCTACTTGTTCAATGATAAAGTAGCTGCAGTCATGTAATTGATGAATTCAAGAAGTTTGTTTCTCGCATGGGTGTTAAGTTTATGTTAATTATGAGTTGAGCATGGACTAAACCTAGATGAGATCATCAAAGTTTAATTTCTTTCATAAAATTGATACGTCAAGCTATTGACAAACACACCTCAAATTACCAATAAGACCAAGAGCTTTATGGAATGGATCACCAATAAATATAAGATTAAATTTCAACTATAAGTATTTAATAGAAGTTAATATTCTTGACTTTGCAAAATGTGCACATTGTAGAGGAATTTGCTGCCAAGTATTCAAGTTCAATTAAGGAGGTATGCTTCAAGAGATTCAGACAATTGCCAGAAAGTTGACATTAGAATACAAGAATGTTCTTATTATTTCAACAAATTTTTTTCTATTTGTATTTTCTTGTGAAATATTTGAGTTTGCGAGATAGTCAACTTTATGTGCTTGTGGAGGACAAGTTTGTAAATGAAGTGGATGATGAAGACAATTCAACCTAGGGGATTGAGTCATGAGTAAAACTTCATTAAGGTCTGAAAATACTTTGAAGTTTGCAAAATGGTGTCATAAATTAGACTAAATGTACTTGAAGTTTGCTTATGGACAAACACAACACATGAAATAGATATAAGAAATCATAACATACATAAAACAACATTTTACTACGAATCGTTTTGTCTTGAAGAATAATTATCAAACGAGTTTCGAATATACTTGCTCGTTGACGAGATGTTAAAGATGAAGGTTCGCCTGGTGTTTCTCTATATGGATTTGATTGAGTTAGGTGTCATGTATAATAGACTTCTGTTTTGATACGCACACGTTTAAGTAAGCACCTTGATGAAATACGCATTGTAATACTAAAATAATAGAATTCACATTTATTTCGTTCAATATGTTATAAGTTTTCACTAGGCGCAAGTTTTGATGATTTTGCGTATTACTTTCAGTTTGCCAATTAATGTGCAAGGAATTTTGTGAATTTTCACAGCTTTGGATTTTTTCTTAATTCCAATGATTGATATGTATTCATCTAACATTTGTATTTAGAACTAAGTGAAAGAACAAGCAGATCTCGTCTATATTGTAGATGGTTTCAGAAAATATTGGTTAATAAAGTAGATTTTGTATAAAGTTGCCAGCCATCAAGGATATGATTTGTTGACTTTAGGTCAATCTTTGTAAAATAGCATCTTTTACAACATTTGATGCACACCAAATTGACTTAGTTATTGCTAGGATGTTTGGGGTACAATTTCGAAATTGATCAGTTGATGTTATATTTTTTGCTTTGTCGATTATGGAAGAGGAGTATTTCTACCTGCTAAGTAAGCACAATCTTTTCATATTCAAGTTGAATATTAGAAAAAAAAATACTGCACGTGTCTAGATTGAGTTTCATAAATAGATAAATACATGAAGATTATTAGTGTGATAAATATGCAGAATTTAGAAAAACAAGATGAAGTTAATAAGGTAAAATTCCGAGAATCAACATATCAATAAATCAAGGACACCAACATAAAGACAAGATATAACTTGGTTCATCCTTCAGAGAGCTACGTACACGATGTAAACACGAGCAAACACTTTTTGGAATAACTTAAAAAATTATGTACAGTGCAGAAGCCTTGGGGTGTTTAACTCCCCAGTTCATGCGACTAGAATCTAGCAAAACAAGATAAATTTTAACAGGGTAAAATCCCGAGAATCAACATAGTAATAAATCAAGTGACACCAACATGAAGACAAGATATACCCGGGTTCATTCTGTCGGAGGGTTACGTACACAACAGAAATACACGCGAAATAGCTTAAAAAAAATTGTACAGTGCAAAAACCTTGGGATGTTTAACTCCTTAGTCCATGCAACTATTTTAGCTAGAATCCCAGGTTACTCAACACAGGTTAATATTATTTAATGATGGATTGTTATTTAAGAGAGATTTATAGGTTCGATACTGAAATAAGAGTAGAAAAATTTAGTTAGTTGAAATTGGATTCCAATAAAAAAAAGTGAACTTTCAATGATGTGAATTTATTACTAGATTATTTGTATGAAGCTCAAATGCACGAAAATTTGCCCAAGAATCTGCCTTTGAGCAATGGCTCTACTAAAAATTATATATTTTAAAAAAAATTTGAATTCCTAGATAAGTAATTAATAGAGACACTAGTTTGTAAGCTTGGTAATTGTATATTCATAAGCATATTCGTCATATGAAATAATTGTCTACTCAATAAATTGTTGAATTTTACAATCCATATCATGAATCAAAAAGATGTAATGGATAAATTTCAAGAATTCATAATTATAGATTTAACTGATGTTAGTGAAAAAATTCACTTTGAAGAATTATTTAAAATAAATATATCTTTTTTTTATTGAAAACTTGTTGTTACATTGAAATTCTTTTTTTAATAATAACGATCAGTTTTCAATGAAAAATTCATGTGATTTCACTTTATTGATTTTTAAGAATAACTTAAATTTTAGATATAGCATCAAGTCATGCTAATTCTAACTTGCTAATTCAATACAGGTTGCTCTTGCAATGAAGACTAATATATTTTTTTTCATTATGTTATCATTATGTCCAACACGCAATCTTTCCATATATGTCCTAACATTGCAACAAAATAAAAATCAATATAATTCTTTTCATGCATTCACAAAGGATTAAAAAAATTTAGATATCAGTTATCTATAGTCAACTTATCAATCTACTTAATTCTGAAAATGTATACAAAGTATAAAAAAGTTCATGTTACTTATATCCAGGCATGGATATAATAGTCTCCCGCCTAAACACGTATAATTTAGTCTACTAAAAAAAATTACTTTAGTCTATTCAAAAACATTAATTTAGGCGAATTCAGTCTCTTTACAAAGTTATTTTAGGCTAATTTAGTACACTAAAAAGTAATTTAGATCAATTTAATTTCTAAAAATTAAATTTAGGCTAATTTAATGTAGTAAAATTTTTTTCATGGTAAATTTTTTTTAAAAAAAAAATTCCTAAAAATTTTTACCTTTAATGTTTAAAAAAATAAATTTAAAATTCCATCAATTTGCATACGTGTCCACTGGTTATACCATGTAAACGCCAAATCTTAACTCCCTTAATTTAGTCGCCTAATCTTTATGAACTTTAGGTAATTTAGGCGACCGTATATACGGTCGCCTAATACAACCATGCCTGCTTATATCTATTATGTATAATATACTATATAAATTTGACTGAAAGATTGAAAATGAGTTACGTATTATTATATGGAATTTATCCTTTTCATATAAAAATAACATATTTACAAAATATTTTTCTAAATAGGAATATTTTTCAGATTTTATGATTTATCCCAAAAAAATGTTCCCTCTAAAAATATACATGAATCATGTTTTTCAGATGTAGAATAAATAAATAAATAAACATGTAATTATCAATTTATATATTTGAAATAAATTTTTTATTATGTTTCAATATTTTCTGAGTTTAAAATTTATAGTTTGAACTCCGTTATATCTATAAGTTTTAAAATTGAAAGAAATTACATATACATTTTTGTAGTTTTGATGATTTCTGACATGAATGTTCGATTATACGATGGATTTGAAAGTGCAATCTTTTGAAAAAAATTCTTTAAGAATATGCTTGTGCGTGGAGATTGGCATACTTTCAAAAATGAATGTCAATATGAATCATTCAGAGGGGTTTGCCATGATCATGCCCTTTGAGGATATCTATACGGATTTCTTCCCCTTCTTCAACTCACGTTGGCGCAGCCTTCACGACAAGGAAGAACCTTGTCGTGTAAAATGAACAACATTTCGTAAAATGAAAAACACTTCTTTTCCTTTCGTTCCCAGTTTGGCGTCCGCGTAGTGAAAGGTGTGCAACAAGTAGATTCCGTTCGTTTGAGTTCAAGAGGGAATCCACATGAGGACAAGCAAGAATATGCTGTACTGGACCAGTTCTGTAGGGACTGGAATCGCACCTCTTGATTACCAAGCCAAGTTCGCTTGCAGAGGTGTCAGATGGCCGTATCCCGTATAGCTTACCGTGCAGGAAAACTCCTCTTCCTTGCAGGTTCTGTGCATGATCCGCATAATCAGAGGAAGTCGTTTTCTTACATTGTCTTCTGTGAGGAGCTTGTCATGTCACTCTGATCAATGCAATGCTGTTATCCTCAAGATTCTATTCGTCACCCTGTCAATGCAGGACAAACGAATCCCTCACATTGTCCGAACCTGGACTCTGGACAAGAGTGGAGCAAGTTCCCAGAAATCTACACAGCATTGAGCACGAAAATCTATTTCTTCGCTGGGTCTACAAATTCTGCAGATTCAGTTCCACGAGTCCTCTTCTGTTCAACATTCGAGGTACAAGCCACCGAGCTGTGAAGCTCTGTGGAGAAGAGTGGGGCAATTGAGCAGAGATGATGATATATGGATAGACAAGTCGATCACTTTGCATCATGGATTCGTCAGTCACTCTGATTACAACGCTCGATGAAGCAACAGTCCGAGTGATAGAATCGAATTTATTAAGACCCAAACCCTCGTTCACTCATCAAACGTCATGCTGCTGGGTATGCAATTACTCTGCATCCCTTCGTCTAAACTTCTCTGAGTTGCTGCTGCTGCTGCTGCTGCTGCTTCAAACGCTGTAAGCACAGAGTCATCCATGCCCATCATGTGACATTCCCGGTGACAATTCATGTGATTCCTTTGGAATATCCGAGCTGAGTAAAGTACATGTGATTCGTGAGAGAGCGAATACGTGGGAGATTCAAATCTATTGTATAATATGGCCTTGTTTAAGGGAATTCATCGACGTGGCTTCGACGATCGGACCTCAGTCAATGATTTGAATGAGTGTTGTATCATGGGGGTGAGGCCCATACATGTGCATCGAACGTTTCGCCTCCATGTCTGCACCCATTCACGGGGTCCAGCCGGGACAGGTTCTCAGGACAGGACAGAAGCACTATATCGCGCCTCGTGACACTGCCACAGGCTCTTCCCGGAACAGGGCCGTCACGGCTGGAGACCGATTTGCCCAGCACAGCGAAAATGGCCCGCAACTGGGCACTTCGGGCTTCTGTCCGGACGGACCGCAGCAGATCCCGAGCGGATTCCCGAAAGAGGACAAAAGCGTCCGGTGGGATGTTCGGCCGGAAGTAGTCCATGTCGCTCGTGGGGACGGTCGAGCCCGATGCCGATTCCGGTCCGTGGGCCGCAGAGCTAATACGACAAAGGCCGGATCTGAGGATGACGTAAGGCAGAGAGCGAAGGAGTGCAAAATGGGGGATGTTTTGCGAATCGCGATGTCTCCTCCTGACATTCCCCCCGTCTCCCTCCCTCCCTCCCTCCCTCCCTTCTTTCCACTTTGCGTCGTATTTGAGATCCGCGGGTCCGGGTGCCGGGGTCGACGTCGCGAATGTGGAAACTCTCCTATTCGCGTTGCGCCGGGCCCGGCGAGGCGAGGCCGACCCGCGGAGCCAGGGCTCCCGGTGCCTCGTATTCCATCCCGCTGTCGAGTCTCCGGAGTCCCGACGTCGCGTTCCGAGGCGGGCAGCGGGCTCTCCCTCCGCGGGGGGCGTTCGCTCTTCTTGAATACGGGAAGATAAGGAGTCCGCAGCCCGCAGCAGTTTTGAATGTGGCGCTGCTGCTGCTGCTGCTGTCGATGCAGATGCAGTCTTCGTCGTTCTTGTTGTCGCTGCGAGCGAGCGAGCGAGGCGCGGGCCAATGGCTCGATGGAGTGAGTTAGTGTGTGCGTGCAGGCGGGCCATGAGGAACCTAAACCCAAGCTCTGCTGCTGGCGTCGGATGCAGCGCAGGTCGTTGAGACGGAGAACGGAAAGTGCTTCATCTTCTTGTTGCGAGTTTCTTCGGGCCGACGTAGGGAAGGTGCGCGCGCTGCTGCCGAGTGTGATGACGATGGAGGACTGAGGGAGCGCTGGGCTGACTGACATCGGTCGATCGCGCGGGGGCGGCATCGCGCGCGGATCCAATGTGATTCGATCAGTTTGTGTGGTTTCGGTAAAGTGAGAAAGCAAAGCACCGGGAGCGGGATTTTTAGGCCTCACTCGGGAGGGTTTGGACGCGGTGGCGAGATGGACGATGGAGGGCCGTTTGGGGTTGTTTCGGACAGGGATAGGGAGGAGAGCGTAGGGGATTACAGGTCCTCGGTGGAAGCCGCGATGGAGATTAACATGGAGGAAGCGTTTGCAGAGTTGCAGCAGAAAGAGAGGGACCGGGAGGTGAGGCACCGAATGCTGAACCTCCATCACCATCACCACCACCATCATCACCCTCACGGGGTGGAGCTCGCGATCGATTTGAGGCATGTTGTGCAGAGAGATAGCGAGAGTGACAATCTTGGATTCGAGTCGACGATAGAGGTGAGTGGAGACGGAGATCTTGGCCATCATCATAGAGGAATAGTGGTAGAGAGAGGCAACTTTTCGCTCTTAGAAGGCAGTGGAGATGCTGAGCTAGGTTTTCATGGTGAAAGGGAGGACGAGAGTGTGAGGAAGCTGGGAGATGATATGGAGGACACAGGTGATGCAGGGACAGCGCTGATGATGCATAGAGTTGGGGATGTGATCACCGAGAGTGAGCGCGAAAGGGAGCATGAGCGCATGGAGAGGCAAGCCGTGTTCGGAGCGCTGGCTGCAGCTGCCGTTGCCGTCAATGTGGCGCTGCAATCCATTTCAGGGGCCGGTTGCATCGCACTAAATACAACGGAGGATTCGAGTCTGGAGCATCGGAGGTTCAGGAAAAGGAAAAGGAAGAATGAAGAAGACACCGACTTCATTCCGGCCGTTCTGAGCACATTTGCCGATGCAGAGGTTATGGCTTCTCTGTCTGTCACGGAATCGTCATCCAAGAAAGACGCCTTTGTATTTGACGACATTGACTGGTTTTTGAAACCGAGATCGAGACGATGGTGGAGAAAGCTCTTTAGAGTTTCCAAGCCTACATTCGATTATATTTGCCAGTTGGTTAAACCTGACGTTGAGTCAGAAACACCTGCCTCTTTCCAGGGTATCGAAGGCAGAGTAATTACTGTCGAAAAGCAAGTGGCCATAGCTCTGCGAAGGCTCGCATCTGGCGACTCTTTGACCACTTTGGGAGAGCTTTTCGGGGTTGGAGAGTCCACGGTTTCCAAAGTGATTTGGAAATTCGTGAATTCCATGGAGAAGAGGGCAAGGCATCACATGAAATGGCCTGAAGGCGCAGACATGGACAGAGTGAAAGCGGGCTTTGAGGTCGATCACGGTCTCCCAAATTGTTGCGGCGTTATAGACGTCACTCACATTCTTATGGAGCTTCCAGGCACAGAGTCCTCCGCAGATTGGTTTGATAAGGAGCAAAATTACAGTATGTTGATGCAAGTTGTTGTTGACATGGACATGCGGATCAGGGATCTCTTCACAGGCTGGCCTGGAAGTATTACGGACTCTAGGCTACTGCGTAACTCTGGCTTCTTATCCCTTTGTGAGAGTGGGGAGAGGCTCAACGGTGCACCTAGGATAGTGCAGGGGCTTCAGGTCAGAGAGTACATTATTGGTGACTCCGGCTACCCTCTGCTGCCATGGCTTATTAACCCGTACACCTCGACGGGGTTGGCCCCCACCAGAGATGTGTTCAATTCGAAGCACGCGTCTACGAAGACAGTAGTAGAAGACGCTTTGGGTCGCTTGAAGGGAGCATGGAAAATCTTACACAAAGTTCTATGGCGTCCAGATATCAGAAAGTTGCCGAGTATCATACTCGTGTGTTGTCTGTTGCACAATATCATGATCGAAGCTAATGAAGAAATTGAGGATGGAGTGGCCTTGGTCGGCCACCACGATGAGGGATACAGGCAGCAATGGTGCCTTTCTTCAGAAGCTGAAGGACAACTTGTTAGGGAGGCCTTGGCAGAGCATGTGTTTATGAACGAACATCACTAAAAGCCGTCTCAACTCTTTGAAGAATTTTCCAGCTCCGGACATTCGTGCATCACAGTGGGATGTATGGCAGGCTCGCTCCTGTCCTTTAGAACTCATCAAACTCGGATGATTGACGATTGTACAAAGTGGGCGACCAGTGTCCCTCCTTTCCATTATATTCTAGGCCGAGGATCGCACCATATGATTATTTAGTTCCCTGTGTAAAATAGATGCACCAGTGTCGGAAGATGTAACTTATTTCATAGAGGCAAGGCATTATTAACGGCTTGCCATTTTTGTGGTCCATCCCCTAGTAGCGATCAGTTGTCCCTCCCTGATGTCCAGTATTTTATAAAACACGAGGGTGGGGAAAGCACATGTATAGTCAGGCTCTTGCAACTGTCTTGTGGCCCCTTTATTGTACGAGAATTTGGGGCAGAATAGTAAACACACTTGGTTCTTTCGCAATCTTGCCAACGTCAGCTCGCTATCTTTTTTCTCACATGTTCCAACAGACCCCATTGGGTGAGATTGGCTTTGTTTTATCAATGTGTGTAACATGGAAGTCTCTGAGGACAGCCATCACACACGTTTAGCATACAGAGGTGGGTTGTAGTAGAAGAGGAAACAAAGTTGAAGCATTGTTACTTATTCAGGCCAGTGACGACGAAGGTTATCAGAGTTCTCATGATATGAACTTCTGTAGATTGTGGGCAGAGCATTCTCACGGATGCGGGTTACATTCGTCATAGGCTGTCTCGTGGCACATCGACCGTTGTGAAAAAGTGTAAAAGCAAACCAAGGCAAAGTTTTATTAAAGAGTAAATGCCAGAGTGGCTTCTTGTACTCTTTGAAAACGTGGTGTCAGAAGCAACGAATAGAAATGAAGCAGTGTTGTGGTGTGGTCATGGGTTTATTAGTGGTTACTATCTAATCGAGAACACTCCTAATCTTCGATGATTCACTTTAGTTTGGGAGTTGTCACAAAAAACATGAAACCTAGATGACATTTAAGAAGTACGTTCCTTATTACTAAGTTACAATATAACAATACAGCAGTGGGCACATCGATGCAAGATATCGCAATTTAGAAAGTATTTTACAGTGTTATATAATGGATTCAAAAGTAACAATTGTTTGACCAACTACGCTCTAATTCTTCATCATTCACGTTCCGTTTGGGAATCGTTCCAGAAAAGGATGGATTTATACATCTAAGAAGTGTCTTGCTCTAAGGTACTATGAAACAACAACAGTGGGTTCATCACCGTAAGAGAGATGTCAATTAAGTTCAAATTATACATGGCTATTCAGTTCAGGTTACAAAGAGAATGTTTTGGAATAATTCCTGCAGAATCTAATTACAATAAAAATCACGTGATACTTAAGAAGAAACAGTGACATTTTCCTTTGGTGACTTACTTTTTGTTGTTCACATAGTTCTGGGATATAGATAGAAACCAAATACTGTAACCACTTGTGGAAGTATACTCTCTTATGTAGTTTTAACTTCAATATTTTCTAAGATTCACATTTTCTTAGTTGAAATTTTTTTCTTCAGTATTCTTCTCAGATGTATCGATGAATTAACATTCTCGGACTCGTCTCTTGTCTTTATTCAACATCAAATTTCCAATTTTGGTACTTTTATCAATATGGTTCATTTTATGTTCATCTCCTTTTTTAATATCCATTTTTTTTACCTGTATTTCTACGTTCTTTTGTAACCCTTATTGGAATCAATTTTCGAAGGTCTGTACCATTTTAAAGTCGTATGAGATATAAATTAAAATATTATGGATAGTTTATAATCTGTTGATGGTAAGTAAATAAATTCTCGTATGCCTTTGCAGTGGTCGGGAAAAAATGGCTTTGAAGTAGAATAAAAATGATATATGTGATATAATCTCACACCCAAAATTTCAACATGCAGCTCAAATGGTAAAACTCGTTCAAAGATTTGAACAGAAATAGATCTAAGATTAATATCAATCTCATATCAAGTATCAACTGGGTCGTAGTACCAAACTAGAGGAGCCTCATCAAAGAGTAACAACATAAAAATCCAAATCGTTTTATATCTTGGGCGGAGACTTCAACAGACTTCATCCAAAGTTTTACTCAGTTCTACCGTTAACTGCAATGTAGAAATAAACCATGCTTTTCTACAAGTCGCTAATCTTCGGGTCTGGGACTCGGTGGTAGACTTGGACTTGATCTTGGACCTTCATACACTTCACCGCTGAAAGTTATTTGTATAGTCCTTTAAAGGATAAAATGTTGCATGAAAGACCAAATTAGGAGATTGAAATTGTTTCCTCCTGTGATGGTCTAAACCTTTCGGCTACCATTCAGAAGTTACAGTAGCGACTGCTTGTTCTAGATAATGTTCATTGAGTTGCATTTAGCGTGGTGCAGATATATGCTCTACTATTCCTGGTTGAGCTTTAGTTCATTTCAAACTTCTCTCTTCGTACCATGCGGGTCGTGCAAGTAATCAGTATTTGCATAGAAGGTCTTAAGGTTTAAAAGGGGTGATGCATGCTTTCACATTTACCATTTACCATTTTACCATTTACATACACTCACAAGCATATGAAAGAATGATTCTAACAAGAAAAACCCCACATTCATTGGACTATCCAAGCTAAATCTCAAGTGGAGGATCGCGGATTTTTGCACGTGGATTGGCAATCACATTCGTGGTACACTATATGTATACAAAACGACATTTTCATAATCAAGAGAGCTCATGACAAAGTGTATGGATCAATGACTGGATTTAAGAGCACTTTTGTTATAGGCGGAGTCCGTCACGGTCTGATAGACCTGACATTTTGGCGGATTCCTCAACAGATGGCCTGTTCCACTTGACATAAATGGCATTTTACAAAATCTGATATCAGAAAGAAGATTTCTCTTGGCTGTCTTTCAGACAGTTCTGTCAGAATCTTCAAGAGGACCAGCCAACTTTACTAAATATAGTCACGGGATACTACATGTACAACTACTTGGGAGCCTCATGCCAACAGTGTACACCCTGAACCTTCTACGGCCCTTTAAATTGACGAGAATTTAACAATGGGATTGAATGATAGCAAACACAGTACAGATTTTTGTGACTATGGACAAACCATGATTTATGATATAATGAGGCGTAAAAGCTTTCCAGAGTATTTGAATGACAGTTCGGTCTCCTCCAAACAATGGTTCTTCTGATCACGAGTCCACTCCTGCACATGTACGACTAGGTGTGATTAATATTCCAAAGCTGCAGCCTAAAGTCAAGGCGAGGCAAAACTGTTACACCTGCAGTATCTTGCTACATCATTGAAAATTGACAACATACCAAATTAAATCTGTACATCTTCATGTCTTTTGTACGTAACGTGTAACACGTAGCATTATCTATATACTGCAAAGAACATAGTTACTCGTGGTAAGACTAGTACTATAATTTTTATATCATGGTGTGAAGTCGGTCGGCAGACCCTCGGATTGTCATTATCACATTAGAAACAACGCCGTTGTCTGATACTCTGTTCATCTCCATCGAACTTGAATACATAAAAACAACACTGGCTTTATAAACCATTCGAAAAAAGTTATACAGCGGCTTGATAAAACTCAAGCCTTAGTATCTAAACCTAGGGTACCATGGCTGGTGGCTTAATAGAAATGGGGAGATGGGAGCAATAAACAGGAGTAATACAAATGAGGTTGATTTGATAAAAGAAAATTTGGTGATAAAAATGATGTATAAGGTATGCTCACTACAAGATCTTTAACTATTGACGTAAGACTTGAAAGGTCACGGGTTCATGACAGAGACTTCAGACACAATACTGATACTATGTATCATCTTGTTTGACAAGATGATGTATCGAGTTAAGTACGAAATCCATATATGGGATTGTTAAGAGAAGCCTCTTAAAACCACCATATCTTATGTTCGGTAACATGGTGTACTGTCTGTTCTTGAGATACGTTACAATTTCTCAATGTTTTCAGGCTTCGGATGTAACCATAGACAAACTGCTCGAGCAGCTAAATTTCAGAAGCACACAATTCAATGTTTGTACAAATACCACAACAAGAACTAAAACCCTCGCAGAATCATTTCTCCTGAGTAATAAGAGTCATTATCCTGAGGGGGAGAAACACTTGAAACTCTTCCCGATCCAAACAGAATTGGCAGGCTATATTGAACTAGAGCAATCAAAACTAGAGCATGCTAACAAAGATCAACTGGGTTGGATACACAAAAACCGAACTCGATCTATGAAACCGAACTTAAAACCTCTCCAGAAATGAATAACATGCTCATTTCCAACTTTAGAAACATAAAGAGATCGTTGACCTCAAGTGCAATCAAACAAGAATCCTTGGATTTCATCTTCAATAATAGGATATATAATAAAATTTGATAAGCAGTTGAGCAAATCTAGTTTCAGTTTGATCCACCTCAAGTTCCAGTTTCAGTTCCATACAGGAAGGAAGAAGTAGAGACATTCCGTAGCGTGATACCACGGATAAAATTCCTTCAAAATTATCCACAAACCTCTAATTAACCAAGTACATCTCTGGAAGAGGTTCACTGTAGTTTCAGAAAAGAGGATTCTTCTCCACCATGTGACTAATGCAGGTCATGGAGTCAGAATATTCATTATTCTCCAGCTTATCCCATCATTTTTTTAGTGGGGTTACCTCCAAGAAATGTATCACTCTCTTTAAAGCACTGTAAATCGTATTTAGAATAAATGTGAAAAAGTTATATTGAAACATAAAAACTTTAAAAGTAGGTCAGAGAATAGAAACCATAAAAGTTTAAGATATAATTATCCCGTGGTTAATCTTGATTACTACTGGTCTGTTCGTCTCAACATAAAAGAAAGACAGATAGCTCTTGGTACTATTTGGAAACATGACACGAGAAAGGGACTCTCCATGGACAAATTCTATTCGTACTAATAAAAATTGACAATCTTCAAACATTAAGCAAACTTATAAGCAAACTTGTTACATTTCTTAAGGCAGATATGATGCTTTCTTCGCTCTCGCTAACACGTAATTAGTTTCATCCACCCATCTTTGTTCGTTCTCGAGCAGGTGTACAGATATGGCGGGGTTCGAAGGGGTTCCTGTCATTCCGATACTTATTAACATGAGCTCTCTAGAAATACAGGTGAGTGTGGTGATTTGTACCTCTGCAACTTTGTTAAGCTTTTCCTTCACGGCGGCTAATGTAGTCGAAAGATCACCTTCCCATTTGTAAAACTCCAATTCCTTTCCTTCTAGAACAGATTCACAAACCTGCAGACGTCGATGAATGTTAGATTGACGTACTCGGTAACTAGCGAGTGAGACAAAAAACATCTCCACATGCTGCTACGTAAACATTAGATCCCAGCTAACGTCAGATAGTCAACACCGTATGAAAAACAGGGTATTACCTTCTTCCCAATGAATCGACCACCGGCAGAATGTGCAAAATACACGTTGTAAAAGTGACAGATGAAAGCAGGAGGATCAGACTCTGACAAATTCTTCAATAACTCGGCATAAGTTATTCCTTCCTCTGACGGTTCTGGAATTTCATTTCCTTGACTCTTCAACCATTCCAAGTCCTTAGATAGTGCCGCTGACCTTTCAAGTCCAGTGTTCCTAAATTCTGCATCTGCGCCAAATTCATTTAGCCGTCGGACAAAATGAGATCAATGATGGCAACATCCTGGGAAAGACCTTGAGCTTTCGTAATGATGAGAATGATGTTTGTAAATGACTAAAATTTCACGAACTAAAATGGTGGAGATGGTGATGGTGACATCAAAGGGGCCAATGTTACAAAGGCGCATCCCTCCACTAATAATGAGATGCAGAATAGTGAAGCAGAAACAATGTAAAAAACAGTTCCAACAAACATGATACGAAACAAAACTGCCACTGTCTACTCAATGCGAGACTGGTCGAGGAAGGTAGATGATACATACAAGAGGGGTGTGAAGCTGTAGCCATGATTTCTTCCATACAATCGAATACAGCTTTGCTGTTAACTAGGAATTTAATGAACCCCGCTATCGTGGGTTCCCACTTGGCAACAGGCTGAACATCTGCTTGTTTTTCGCCTTCCTTCGCCTGATCCTTCGTGTGCAATTTCATGGCTACGAACCTCATCTCTTCTACAAATCCCTTGTTTTCCCCGGGATACCTTTGCTTGGGCTTGGTCGGAGTGGCAGATTCCGGTCCAGCCCTGACGACCAAACTGTTCCCATGAGTAGAAATCCGGCTTTTCCACCCACAACTACTTCCATGCGTGGGGGAAATCCCACTGGAGCTACCACTCGCGCTCGACAGCCCAACCCCACCATGAACACTCAAGCACGCAGGCTTCGAGACATTCTGCACTCGCCTCTGGCAACTGGACGCGTTCGACGCCGAACCCCCCCTGAAGCTGAACGCGCTCAAGGCCAAAGAAGACGATTGCTGCAGCAACTCAGACAGAGTGAAAACCATCGTAAATCCCCGAAATCGCCTCGCACAAACGCACCCGAATTCGCCTTCTACGTTCCGAATTCCACTCGCAACGGCAAGCGCTTCCAAGTTTCGAACAGGGACGGCCTCAGATGATTCAGGGCGCTGCTGGTGCAGTGGCGGTCGCGGAAGCTTTCGGAACCTGCACTGGCACCTCCTCGTCCTCCGTTGCTCCTTTGTTTTTCGTTATGTGGGTCGGGTCAGAGAGGCTGCTGATGACTGGACTCGGTGGCAGGCAATCCATCCCCACATTATGTCGTCTTGCCCTTCTCTGTCTGCCTCTGCCATATCTCGCCTCTCGCCTCTCGCGCTGTCGCTCACATCAGAGCCACAAGAACACTCTTCTCTTTTCTTCTGGTGGAATCTGCTTACTTAGAGCGCAGTTCGGCTTTTAGAGAGACGTGTGGCTTTGCTCTCTACCTCCCGTATACGCCAGTCCATGTACCATACGGAACTGCTCCTCTGCTTCGGTTGCGAGCCCACAGGCATCGTGAGGGTGTGCGCTCCGAAGCAAGCCCTTAGCATCAGGAACTGGATCGACTTCACGCCGTGCCCAGTGGTCTTCTAAGATATCCATTCTCCATTTGATTTCTTTGTCGGATTTGCTCTATCAGCTCTCCGGCCCATGGGATTTGCCTCATGGTAACATACGGCACTTTTATCACACAACTGTGTATTATATTGCCACACGGTTTCAACATACGAAGTCTTCCTGCGCCAACATAACGAAAAGATTTCGTTGTTCCGTGAAATGTCTCCCACCCTACCAACAATTACATTAGTTATGTCTGTCTATATGTCTTTTGGTCAATAGAAATATCTTGATGTAGTTTTAACACTTTGAGCTTATGTAGTTTCAATGTTGGTTGAGTGTATGTTGTAATACATACTTTTCGGGCTGAAAGCCGGATACAAGATGTGTGTGTTCGCATTTATCTTACTACATCAGTAACCTTATTTTATCTTCAACTGATTATTCAAATCAAACACATACACTATTGGATCTCCATGTAAAAATTTGAGGAAGACCTAGAGCAGTCTGTAGTAAGGTTTTTCTTTTTTCTTTTTTTTATGTTGTGCATAAAGACATAGAGATGAGCATTTTAGTATACTTATAGTCTTCATACTTATTTAAAAGTGTAAAACAACTATAATCATACTTCAATAACATATAAAATGAGATATATGATTATACATGCGCAGTCAGTTTATTATTTATATTTTCATTACAAAAATATTGAATTGATGAGGAAATTTGTTCTAATTTATACCAAATAAAATATACTTTAATGTGTTATGAATATTGGTATATCTTAACTTGCAGATTTTCTCGTATTCATTTTCTGCTTATCGTGGATTTTTCACAAGTAGGCTAATAAACAAGACTAGTAAACAAGACCTCATTGTTAAATATTGGAAATTTACAAAAAGTAGTGCATGTGTTGTATAAAATAGAATCAAGATATTAATAAAAAAGAAATGAAGGAGAAGGGCAAGGTGTTTCGTTCCACTCACTATGTCAAATTTTTTTTGCAGAAAAAAATCTGAAGTTTCTGTATAGCCGAAGAAAAACTTCAATCAAAGCCCGTAAAAATCAAATAGACAAGTTTTAAAATTAAAATTTACTTTTCCATACTAATGTCTTCTTCAGTTCTAATCCGATATATAAGCCTTTTCATCCCTAACGTCAAAATTTTCAATCGTGAAGTACACCAGGCATTTGGAATGAAACAGAAAGAAAGGTAAACAATCTTCGACACTTCACCAACTCAATATTTGTACACATCTTCAAACAATTATTTTACGAAATGCAAAGTAAAGATGCAATCACAGTTGATTTTCTTGTTACGTCTCCGGTTGCTCGTTCGTTAGCAATTCGGCAGAGAATCGGAGGGTTGATCATATTCTTACTGCACAGCTTCAGGGAAAGGAGCGAACCGTATGCAATCCGGTACTTAACGTCATAAACAAGTTTTACGATTGTCGTACACGTTGCAATTGTTCCAAAGAAGAGCTTCTCAAGGCAGCGGCTCGTGTTCTAAAAGTTACCATGTAAAGTTTTGAAACCATTCTGGACCATTTTCAGAAGTTTTTTTAATTAAATGACATCGGATATGTGGAAAAGACTCGCAGTACACCAAGTCTTTGCTGTCTTGTGATCAAGCAACACAAGACAGTTACTTCGGCATGATTTTTCTCCACAATCTTGTTTGTGTTACTTTTCATACTGGTTGGTCAAACTGTTACAGGGTGCACATGATCCATTCGACATAACCATTTGATTTCTCGCAGGAGTTTATATCTATATATGTGTGGAGATGCCTTCGCCTATAAAGTGCATTTTTTCTGAAGCTTCCAAAGCTCCCTATCTCGATACAACTACTTCAAATTTAACAAACCCATTTAAACTCCACCTGAAAGTGAAGGAGACCGGATGCAGAACACTTTTCATGACTGCACAGCGCCATGAGGCCGAGGTCCCATGTACCATCGGGCGAACAATCGTGGAGCGAGGAAGCAGCATCAAGTCCAAGATTGACTACGCTCCAAATTGTCACCCTCCTACCGCTGATGAGAAATAGACTATTGGTGAAAAGGGTCAATTGTCTTATCTTCATGACATAAATTAAGATAAAATGGAGAAGAAGGAGCTCATTTGCTGAAGACCCAGTCCCGAGATTAGTCGGAATTCGAGGCCCCGCGGATAAAAGCCCGTGTCATTTCCAAATGGCCAGTGTCAAGATGACGCTCATTTGCGGCGAGAGCAAGGCATCCACTCGCGCCATGAGCTCGTCCTCCAGTGGCGTGAATTCCATCCCTGTAGATCAACAGGAATCTGTGATAATGTGACGTATCCATACCAAAGACGGTGAGTCGGAAACTCGCCTCGGCAGGCATGCAGTGACCACATTTGGCCCACGGCATGGCAGATGTGTTACTACGAGTGGAGGCAATTCCAACTATGCAACAATCGTCACGGCGATTGGTGTTGACAGCCTACTTTGGCGTGGATTTTGAACCCAAAGAACAAGGCCAAATGGTCAACCACGGAAGAGTTGTTTTGAGTTGTAATCTCTAATGAAAGCAGAAATCGAGATCATACTAACGCAGTTGAGTAGAAATTAGACTTATATGGCCTCATCCCGGAATCGGTAAGTTTGATGCAACTACGTCTGTTGCTTGTGAGCACAGAATCACCAAGCACAAGAGATTCATGTGGGTCGTTATGGGCCTTTTATTGAGATTCATTATACACTTCAATGTGTGTTTGCTTCTCTTGCTTCTATCACTGATATAATGTTTTCCCGTGTTAATGTTCCATTCACTATGAAATCTACTGTTACAAAATGTCAGATTTAAATAAAATTCTAACAGTAATGTAATTCAAGTAATCCAAATAATAGTAATTAGTTGTACTATGGCTAATTTATATAGGTAACGGTTAGTTATCCTTTACTTAGGGTTGCTTAGCAGTACTATAGGTTATTCTCTGGTTGGTAGATGCAGGGTTATAGGGATAATTTGTGAATAGCAACTAATTCTAAAATAGTATCTTACACCAATAAAAGAATAGCGTATAGTTTAAATTATTTTTTTAAGACTAATTAGCCCTAAGTGAATTATAACTAACCCTCACTTTTATATAATTGGTAATTTGAGAATACGAGTGGGATGCTAAAATAAATCGACGCCCATTATTAGCTCTATACACGGAGGAACAGAAACATGCACATATCGAAGAGTGTCCCAATACACATTGACTTGAACTAAAACATACTAGGTCTTATAGAAGTTCCAAGAGGACTCTTAAATATTAATAACAGTTATTGTATAAATTAACCATGTTATGCTTGTATCACCGAACTAGTCAAGTACCATAGGCTCTTCTTTAGCTCAAGCACCATATGCTCATGTAAACTCCACTACAGCCCATCACTAACCACAGGCGATGATCAAATCGATCCCAGCTTTCGGTCGCCAATTCTCACAACACAACTACAGTACGTACATTTTTACGTTTGTTTGCCAATAAGACTTTGGCGTCATGAGACAGCTCGTTTCATGTTCGGTTTCTCTCAAGATATATGAGTGCTGTGGAGAACATTAGGGCAGCAAACGTTTGAAAGTTGATCAACAAATACAATTTGGGAGTAGTTCGAGAATAATCGGTATTCAACAAATTGGAAAAGAGAAAATTGACACATTTGTGAGCTCGGAACAAGGACGCCAACGATAGGTGAAGCTTTCTTTTCCGCATTTCTTGATTCCACACCCTACATGCACATTTCTCTCGTCACCCACTTTATTTCGATTGAGGGTTTCTTTTGTCACGGAAGGATGGACTTTTTGAAGCTATGCGCTTGTGTTGGTGAAAAGAATTAGTTGAAGTTCCAACTGTTTTTCTACCTGTTGCTGATTAGGAGGATTTTGGTATGCGTGAGTTTGCAAGATGATTCTTGCTGTTATCTTCTAATGTCCGAATGAAGGCAATGACAGAAAGAAGATTTTGGAGTAGGCACAGAATGCCAATTTAAGCATTTCGTTCCTTTAGACTCGGATCGCTTAAAGTCCACTTTAAGAGGATTTAGGTTTTAGTTCAAAGAGATTTATCTGTAAGCTTGTATGAGGCTCGCATCATTCTCCGTTTTAGTGTTCCGTTTCTTTAATTTTGGGATAACCAGACCATAACCATCAGTAGCAGCGACCCATGCCCACCCATGCTTTGTGTGTAATTTATTTTCTATTTAATCATTGATGATTTTAATAAAAGTATTAGTGTAAGATAATGACATGGATCATTTTCAAATTTTTTAATATGAAAGATGTGACTTAGATCGATCAAGATATGATCAAATGACATGAAAAAAAACTTCTGTTTGTTAAGGATACAAAGTACAATGAAATCTAACTAGATTTAAAGCATTGTTAAGTTTTAGTAAATTATTGTGTTCCTGTGGAATAGCCAGAGTTGAAGCACATAATCTGTCGGTGTCAAATCTGTGTGTTTATTTCTTTTTGTGTATTTTGTCACAACAATTTTTTTTTCAAAAAATTATCTCTTTAAACTTTAAATAAATGATCTGAAAACATTCATTTAATGCATAATTAGAAAAAACCTTGCAACAAATGCACATATCAATCACATGTGTTATATTTTGCTACAAATAAAGATAATTTGTTTTATTACATATGTTGATCTGGTTTGATAACTTAAGTCTACTCTATGTTTCTGAAAATACTCTTTATCAGTATTGACTATGTTGTACTTCAACTACATATTCTATCATTCTTAATCAATAATTAATTCATTGAAAAATATAATACATTTTGTTATTGAGATATTTTTCAT